CGCCCACCGCCTAGGCCAATTTTTCGAAAATGACTATCTAGTAGTAGCTCAGGGCAAGGCATCGAAGAGTTGAAGAATGAGATTCTGTTGATCTCCGAACTCCAACACAAGAATCTTTTAAAGCTCAACAAAAGCTTGGATATGATATCGATATTATTGGGTTAGTTTCACTGGCCCTTTATGTTTGGCTGCAATTTCTCATTGTCACCTAATCTTTCTTCAGTATCATTGATAATGTCTGAGTTCTTCCTATCCTAGTATGCCGAACTCAGGGGACTTTCATTTCTAATGGCAATGGGTGCATTGATTAGATCCAATGAGAAGAGCAGTGTTTGATTGGGCTAAACGCTTCAATATTATTCAAGGTGTTGCTAGAGGACTTGTTTATCTCCCCCATGATTCCTGTTTGAAGGTAAGTAATATTCTGAGAAGATGAGCCCAAAAATTTCAGATTTTGGATTGGCGCGTATCTTTCAAGGGACGCAGAATCTAGCAAACCCTCAGAAGGTTGTGGGTTGATTCTCGATGATAATGTGCAGCAGGGAACAAAGTATTTCTCTTATTATGTATTTGACAAAACTCTGATATATGGATATCTCTTCAGATGGTAGACTTATGTATTCCGATCGAACATGGTGAGAACTGGAATCTTAACTGGCAGGCCCAAAAGAATCCATGTGACCATTATGGAACACGTGGACCTTTTTGGGGTTTGCAGAACTTCTGAATCTCCAATCTGCAAGTGTTTGAAAGGGTTTGTACCTAAGTCACATGAGGAATGGAGCAAAGGAAACAGGACAGCAGGGTGTGTGAGGAAAACAAAAATTGTTTTGTGAGAGTAGCACTCAAGCAAGTCAGTCACTTCGAGAGGAAAAGGAGATGGGTTTTCGAAGATGGTACGGTTGAAACTACAATGAATATATCACGTCTTCGAATGCTGAAGAGTGCATGATACAATGCCTAAATAATTGTTCTTGCTTGGCTTATGCATATGTTAATAATATAGGGTGTTTGGCCTGGTCCAAAGACCTTAGAGCATCTCCACCCACAAGGGCAAAGTCTAGGGCAAGGGCAAGCAAGGGCTGCCACTATTCATGTGAATAGTGTCAGCCTTTGCATTTGTGGCTCCACCCACAAGGGCAAAGTCTAGGGCAAGTCTAAGGCAATTACTATTCATTGTACTTTATTTTCTATTTTTTTATAGTTTAAACCATTAATGTTGATAATCTTTTGTAATTAAATTTTCGGATAAGATTTTCACCCTCTAAAATTGTGCCACGTCTGATGTAGAACAAATGTCAGATTTTATCGCTTGAGCTAGAAAAAGGACGTAGTGGGAATTTGCAGATTTGTCGTCCGAGCTCCGATTAGGACGCAAAATACCATTTCGGAAAGGGAACGACGCCACGAGTCAAACTCACAGCTTTGCTGTGACATATGATGGATTTTGGCATTTTGAGGTCGTTTGGCCTTCCAAAACGGCATTTAAAGTTTCGTAGTTAATTTTCAGTATTTTAGATTTTAATAAAAATTATTCAAAGAAAATTCCTTTTAAAATTGTGCCACGTGTCAAATGTTAGATAACATTTTCAGATATTTTTAAAAAATTTTAATCTCAGATTTCAGATAAGATTTTCACTCTCTATAATTGTGCCACGTGTCAACTGTCAGATAACATTTTCAGATATTTTTAAAAAATTTTAATCTCAGATTTCAGATTAGATTTTCACCCTCTACAATTGTGCCACGTGTCAAATGTCAGATAACATTTTCAGATATTTTAAAAAAAATTTAATCTCAGATTTTTGATAAGATTTTCATCCTCTCAAATTGTGCCACGTGTCATCTCTATCTTCTAAATCCGTCTATAAACTAGACCTGATTTTCAAACCTCTCACACCATCTCTTATCTATTCCTTCATTTCTCAGATTGTAGAAAACACATTCTACTCTCAATGTCAAACTTGTTGAGGGTGTTGGAGAGGCAACGGAAAGAAAGGGAAGAAACAAGGCGTAGACGTGCTGAAGAAGATCGGGAAGCCGATGAAGAAGAGGAACTACTGCTTGCAGCAGCGGTGTGTATGATGGATCAATCAAGGCAAAACCGTCGTCCTCGTGCCCCGAATGTGGACAGACGTAGGGAGTCTCGGGGTAAGAATCTCATGGAGGATTATTTTATCCCAAATCCGTTATATCCTGCTTCTAAGTTTCGAGAAAGATATAGAATGCAACCACATTTGTTCCAAAAAATCATGCATGATATTTGTAATTACGACACATACTTCATTCAAAAGCATGATGCTGTTGGAGCTTTAGGTCTTATCCCGGAGCAAAAACTGACAGCTGCTTTGCGGATGCTTGCTTATGGGGCATCTGCAGAGCAGGTGGATGAGATTGCAAGGATGGGAAAATCTACTGTCCTAGAGTGCTTGGTGAGATTTTGTGATGCAGTGGAAAATTTGTACACGAGGGAGTACCTTCGCAAACCAACGCCAAGAGACCTGCAACGGCTTCTACAAAAAGGCGAGGCCCGAGGTTTCCCAGGAATGATTGGAAGCATCGATTGTATGCACTGGCAGTGGAAGAACTGCCCTACTGCGTGGCAAGGGGAGTACGGGAATCGGAAGGGCCAAAAAAGTATAATTTTGGAGGCCGTAGCTTCATTCGATTGTTGGGTTTGGCATGCCTTCTTCGGGGTTGCCGGTTCTCAGAATGACCTCAATGTCCTTGGTCAATCCCCAGTGTTCGATGAGGTATTGCGAGGTCATTCCCCCCAGGTGACGTACCAAATCAACAATACCGTTTACTCTGGTGCGTACTACCTTTCCGACGGAATTTATCCTAGGTGGACGACATTCGTGAAAACAATTCCGAATCCCCAATCCGAGAAGGAAAGAAACTTTGCTTCCTTTCAAGAAGGTTACAGGAAAGACGTGGAGAGGTGTTTCGGTATCTTGCAAGCTCGTTGGGCAATTATTAGAGGTGCTGCTCGGATGCTAGATGAGGAGGTGCTGCGGAGTATTATGATGACTTGCATCATCCTTCACAACATGATTGTGGAGGATGAGTATGACTATGATGCTCAAGAGGTGTTTGAACCCGATCCAATGAACACATCGTTGACAAGAATATATGAAAGGCCGATTGGACCAAATGGACTACCACTGGAGCCCGAACCCATACTTCGGGATGGTCAATTCAACAACCCCATGATTGATCGGTATCAAGAAATGCAATCTTCATATGTTCACGAGATACGTCAACGTGACTTGATCGAGCACTTGTGGGAGATCAAAGGCAATCACAATGGATGAAGTCAAGATTAGTGCTTTGTTTGGAATTATGCTTTGTTTTTAATTATGCTTTGTTTTGTGTGTGGTTTTGTTTGGAATTATGCTTTGTTTTTAATTATGCTTTATTTTGTGTGTGGTTTTTTTTTGGAATTATGCTTTTTATTATTATGCTTTTATGTATGGTTTGTTTTGTGTGTTGTTTGCAATCAATGAAGGTTTTTTTAAATTAATATTTGTTTTGATGCTCAAATGTTTTTAATAAATAGTCATTTAATTTAAGGCTTTTTTGATTGAATAAAAAGGGAACAATTCAACAAATTAAAGGATAAGGGAACAATACAACAAATTAAAAGGATAAGGGAACAATACAACAAAGTAAAGGATAATACAACAATACAACAACTTAAAGGATAATACAACAATACAACAATACAACAACCTAATGGTTTTCATCATTTAACCAATCCGTATTGCTAGGTCCGTCGTCATTGAAAAGTTTTTTCCTCATCACATCTCTTCGTCGTAGCTTCCAATAAGCCTTTGTTTCGGGAGACATATGGCTCGTATCCATAGCCATGATTTTCATCTCTCTATCCTCTATGTCTTTTTCTTGTGCCATTTGTTGTTGGAGAGCATATGCTTCCTCTCGTGCCTTGTCCATTTCATCTCTTTTCAAGTCTCTCTCGATTCTTAGTGTGGCGCTCTTAGCTATTTGCTCCAATAATTGTACACAATCATTGCTCGAAGTGGCCCCTCTCTTGGCCTTTGCCGCCTTTCTCCCAATAGGTCTTGGCGGACGTGGAACAAATGGTGACTCCGTTTCCATTGGGGAGTCCAATGGAGAATCGGTTGATGTTGAATCGTGGAGTGGCGTCTCATTCATCACAACCGGCGGACCGGTGGGAATAATTTTGAACCTCGAACAATCCTTCACAATTTCCCAACATTGGAAATGCACGAAACTTTTTTTGCCTTGCCCCATGGCACCGAACCACATTTGTGCTTGTACCATCTATTAAAAATAAATAATTGGAAGTGCAAGAAACAAAATTATTATGCAAGAAAATATAAACTATTTTGAAATGCAAAAATAAAATTGATTATGCAAGAAAATATATACAAATTAAAGGTGCACCAAGAAAAAAAAATTATGCAAGAAAAACAAATAGAATATGCAATAAAAAAAAAGTGACATTGAATTGATTAAAATGGCAATTATAAATATTTTACCTCATCGGTCAAATTTTGACCGCTTTGAATGTTCGCCTTTGCTTTTGTCAAGGCATTCCTCCATTTCCCTAACTCTTTATTAAGAAGTTTCCATCTACTAGACAACGCCATTTCGGTCCGAATCGAACCCGATCTTTGACAAAATTCTCCATGAATTTTGCTCCACATGTGATGAAACTTCATTTCATTACCCGTGATAGGGTCATGACTAATGTTCACCCAAGATTGACACAACGCAATATCTTCATTCGTTGACCACGAGCCTCCGACTTCAATAGAAGATGCCATTTGTTTTTTTTTATACAAATGGAAAGTAGTAGAAAGAGAGTAAAAAATATTGGAAGGAGAAGAGTTTGTATGGAGAATTGGTGTGGAAGTGAAAAATGTGAGTGGAGATGAACAAAAAAATTGGAAGGAGAAAAGTTTGTATGAAGAATTGGTGTGGAAAGTGAATAATGTGAGTAAAGAGTAAAAAATATGGGATGGAGAAGAAATTGTATGAAGATTTTAGTGTGGAAAGTAAATAAAATGGTTAGGTATTTATAGAGAAAAAATACAGAATTTTTGGGTATTTTTTTAAAAAAAATTCAGATTTTTTTCGATTTTTTTTGCAATTTTTTTAGCCAAAAAAACGAGGACCGTCGGATTTCTGGAAAAATTCCATCGGAGAGTCCCCGTCGCGCCACGTGGCGCCCGCCCGTTGGAGCTGTCAGTGGTGACGTCAGCGCTGGCGTCACGCTGACGCCAGCGCACGGTAAGTCAAATTTTTTTTACCGTTGGCGCGTGAATACACGCGCCAACGGTAAAAAAAATTTGAATTACCGTGCGCTGGCGTCAGCGTGACGCCAGCGCTGACGTCACCAACTCGGGCTTCAGCCCGGGCAAGATTTGCCCTTGGGCTTCCTCGGGCTCGTGGGACCCGCCATCAACTGGGCTACGGGCCCTGCGCTGGAGTGAACTCGGGCTGCCTCGGGCAGCCTTTCCCCCCTAGCCCGTCAGCGCTGGAGATGCTCTTATATACAGGAGTTTTCCTCCGGCGGAGTAAATGATAATAATATTGCTTGCACAGCTTTAAGTATAAATATCTTTCTTTCCTTTTCTGTCTCACACTATTTGCGTTACAAATTCATTTTTTCAGATGAAGGAAATCGAACCAAGTTAATTGTCAGCCTGATCACAGCTATTGGTTTAGTATCTTGGGTGCCAAAGGGATGCAATTCATTTGTGTAAGATAATGAAGAAATTTTGAAGGTTTTATCTGACTCAGTATTTGATTGTTATATTTGCCAAATCAGGAAAAGTCAAAGTAACAACGAAGTTCTTTAAATTGACTGATACTATTGAGACTTCAAGAGATAGTCTTCGGGGATATATTAGAAACCAAGATCCATCGGAGCTATTCATCTATAATTTTGACAGCATATTAATTGCTACGAACAATTTCAGCATCACAAACAAACTCAGTTTGGTCCTGTTTACAAGGTGAGTTTTTATTTTGCCTTTTCTCTTTCTAAAGGAAAAAATTGTATCACAACAGCTACAATTCTATGCAACTACAAGATAAGGACATGAATGCAGTGATTGATTTGTACGTAGGGTCCACAAGACGGGAAGGAAATAGCAGTAAAAAGACCATCTAGTAGCTCAGGGCAAGGCATAGAAGAGTTGAAGAATGAGATTCTGTTGATCTCCAAGCTCCAACATAAAAATCTTGCTTGGATCATGGGCTGCTGGGTCAAAGAAGATGAGAAGTTACTGATTTATGAGTTCATGCCAAACAGAAGCTTGGACACTCATCTATTTGGTTAGTTTCCCTGGACTTTATCTTTGTAATTTGCCTACTTAACTTAAAGCCACAAATGAATTCACTTGAACTAAATGTTCAGGGCACAAGGAATCAAAATTATTTTCGATTGATACACAGAATCACTGAATTATTTTCAACACACAAACAGTCAAGCAAGACATCCTGCAGATTTAAAGCTCAGAACTGTAAATTGAATTGTATAATACATGAGTACATTTCAGTTCTCTATAAAGTAGAATAGACAATGTTGAACTAGACCTGAAATCAATTTTGAATCTGATTACACCCCTGTTTCACTATTGTTCATACAAATGTTTCAATATCTTCCATAGCAATTAGAAGGTAAAAATCTAGTGACAGTCAACGTTTTCATTGTACAATGCATGAAACAATTGGTTATATTTCGAATGTTTGCATTTATAAGATCCAGCGAGGAGACCTGAGCTTGATTGGGGCAGACGCTTCAATATTATTCAGGGTATTGCTAGAGGGCCTCTTTATCTCCACCATGATTCGTATTTGAAGGTATTACATAGAGATTTGAAGGTCAGTAACATTCTCTTGGATGAGAACATGAACCCCAAAATTTCAGATTTTGGATTGGCACGTATCATTCGAGGGACACGGCATCTAACAAATACTCAGAAGGTTGTGGGAACACTGTAAGCATCATTCCTTTTCCTATTCTTGGAAGAACATCACAACTCAGATTTCAATGTTCAGCATATTGTCATTCATATCAGTATATTAGTGAATTTAATTATATGGAAGCAGAGATAACATGTAGGAAATCTAGCTGTACCATTCATTTTATTTAGAACCCCTGCAATCTTAACTGAAACATTTGTTGCATGCCATTAAGATATAAATTTTGTGGCACTTTTCCGAAGACCAGAAACAAAGAAGAAATATTGTAAATTAGACCAGATACAAAGTTTAAAGTTGGTTTCGAATTTGATTACAATTTGTTTGCTTTGTTTTCCAAGGTTGGAAGGTCTTAGTGCTGCTGCTGCTGCTGCTGTTACGTTTTTTGTTGAGAATTAATCTACTTACTCAGCTCAATACAAACTACAGATGACAATCCTGCAGATTAGAAATACTAGTTTTTTGGCAATATATGTCATGTCTAAACATTCTCATACCCTCTGAGTTTTTTTTCCTTCCTCTACATAAACGTTTTTATACCAAAATCAACATATTTGTCCGTTGACACCAACGATGTCAATGATCTGTTTGAAATTTCCCATAGAAATTATTCACTGAAGAAAAGGAAGGTGGTGGACATATGTTTTATGCTTGTTAAGCGGCATCAGAACAAAACAAAAGAATGATCATGCTTGGTTTCTTGATAGTGGCTATAATTAATATTAAAATACTAATTATTCACTAAATAAATCATAATTAAAGTAATAAAACAAGACTAAGATATTACTTAATTCATAATAAATACTAAAATTATTTTCAATTTCTGAAATTATTTCAAAATATGGTTTCAACTATTTAAAAATGATAGAAAATTATTTTAGTATTCCAAACCCTAAATCCAAGTCTTGAACCAATAACCCTAGCTTCCGAGAGTTATCTCGTTTATGTTTTGTACTAAGATGGATGCAAATAATATGTTCAAGAGTTAAAACAAATATGTACCCAAAAAAATGATAAAATAATAAAATAATAATAATTCAATAGAGAAATATCGTACTTGAAACAAATTTATTTGAATAATGCTACTCTTACCACATTTGTATACCACATTCTCATACCACCTTATGTGGCAGCTAAGGTGGACAATCACATCAATTAAAATGATTTAATATTTTCTTTTCTTTTATGGTTTATTCCAGTATTTGTTTTTCTAATTACCTTAATTAAAGTGCACTTCATTTATTTAATTGATGTGGCATATAAAATGGACATGTCACATCATGTGGTATAGAAATGTGGGATAAAAATGTGGTAAGTGTAGCATTACTCAATTTATTTTCATAATCTCAATCAGTTCTACACTCCTTTTAATCTCAACTCACCTATGAAGCGGATATGGATACGGCGATACAATACGAAAAGCAATACGGAAAATATCCAAAAACTAGGATATGATACGGTAATTAAAAATATATATATTAATAATTTAATATATAGTTATCAAAATATTTATAACATAAAAATAAGATAAAGATACAGTAGTAGAAGAAGAAGTGTTGGAGTATGATCGTGCAAAGTAGACCTACGGCTGGCAATCTCTTCGAATTTTTCAACCAGCAACAACTAAAGCTTATCTCCTCTTTATTTTCCCTCTTAAAACCTCTAATACGAGTATCCGACTCGTGTCCAGAATGTTGGATACACGTGTCCGTGCATGAAAGACTGGTTGACAACTCGTATCATAGCATATCCGACACGGGATTCGGATCTAAATCGGAGTATCCGTGCTGAAACAAACCACAAGAAAATTATAGTAACCATTGCTGATCACTACAATTAGAAGAAAAGGACCCCCACAAATTTGACATAATGCAGGACATGAGAGTTGCAGAAGTGATGGCGGCCATTGCAACTGCAGCATCATTCTTCTGCTTGTTCTGGTCAGCAGATTGTGGTGGGCTTGCCGGTTCCAAGACCTTGATGATAATCTTCTGGCCTCTCTCGCAGTGCCCGGAAACCCCACTAATGAAATTGAACAAACCAGGCCGGTCCAATGTGAACACGGTCACACCATTGTTGGAGAAGAAGATGGGCTGAGCAGAATGGCATTTTTCGTACTCGTCCTTGGTCACCACCATCACCGAGTCTTTGGTAGTTGAAATCTAAGTCCATGAAAAACAATATCTATAAAAATAAAAAATAAATAAAAGAGTCCCGCCTAGGCAGCCGCCTAGCGCCTAGGCGCCCGCCTAGCTCCAGGGCACCCACCGCCTAGGCCGATTTTCCGAAAATGACTATCTAGTAGCTCAGGGCAAGGCATCGAAGAGTTGAAGAATGAGTCCATGAAAAATATAGTAACCATCCATCGCTGATCGCTGCAATTAGAAGAAAAGGACCCCCACAAATGACATAATGCAGGACATGAGAGTTGCAGAAGTGATGGCGGCCATTGCAACTGCAGCATCATTCTTCTGCTCGTTCTGGTCACCAGATTGAGGTGGGCCTGCTGGTTCCAAGACCTTGATGATCATCTTCTGGCCTCTCTCGCAGTGCCCAGAAACCCCACTAATGAAATAGAACAAACCAGGCCGGTCCAATGTGAACACGGTCACACCATTGTTGGAGAAGAAGATGGGATGAGCAGAATGGCATTTTTCGTACTCGTCCTTGGTCACCACCATCACCGAGTCTTTGGTAGTTGAAATCTAAGTCCATGAAATACAATATCTATAAAAATAAAAAATAAATAAAAGAGTCCCGCCTAGGCAGCCGCCTAGCGCCTAGGCGCCCGCCTAGCTCCTGGGCGCTCCTGGGCTCCCGCCTAGCTCCTGGGCACCCACCGCCTAGGCCGATTTTCGAAAAATGACTATCTAGTAGCTCAGGGCAAGGCATCGAAGAGTTGAAGAATGAGTCCATGAAAAACAACATATATAAAAAAATAGACCCGCCTAGGCTGCCGCCTAGCTCCTGGGCGCCCACCGCCTAGGCCGATTTTTCGAAAATGACTATCTTGCAGTAGCTCAGGGCAAGGCATCGAAGAGTTGAAGGTTGAGATTCTGTTGATCTCCAAACTCCAACACAAGAATCTTGTCAAGCTCAACAAAAGCTTGGATATGATATCGATATTATTGGGTTCGTTTCACTGGCCCTTTATGTTTGGCCAAGTTTCTCATTGTCGCCTAATCTTTCTTCAGTATCATTGATAATGTCTGAGTTCTTCCTATCCTAGTATGCCGAACTCAGGGGGACTATTGATTTCATTTCTAATGGCAATGGGTGTATTGATTAGATCCAATGAGAAGAGCAGCGTTTGATTGGGCTAAACGCTTCGATATTATTCAAGGTGTTGCTAGAGGACTTGTTTATCTCCACCATGATTCCTGTTTGAAGGTAAGTAATGTTCTGTTGGATGAGAAGGATGAGTCCAAAATTTTCAGATTTTGGATTGGCACGTATCTTTCAGATAATGTGCAGCAGATCAAAAAAGCATAACAGGCCTTGCCTTTTCTCATGTTCTTAAAGTGCTTGTATCGTCGGGCTCTGATTCCCAGGTATGAATGTGCGAGTCTATATCTGTGCATGTCACTGTGCCTTTTTAAGGCTATAAGCAATGAACTAGTGACTAACAGAAGTAACTTATCACAAGAACGGATCAATGTAGTATTCAGAGAGTTTATTTATAGTACTTCAACTTCATAGAAATGGAAACTGATTCCCTGGTTACATTTGACGATTCACATGGAAATCATTTCATTTATCCGCAAGTGGACAATGCTTTTCTAAAATGCATTTCTCTAGAATTGCATGTGGTTTACTTAGTCACTTAGGTGTTGCTTGCCTCAGGCCTTTACAAAAAGCTGTTGCTTTTAGACTCTCTTGCTTTTAACCAATATAGTCTTCTGTTTCTGTCCTTGAACTTCATGCAAGCGAAGCTTCAATAGTTTGACTAGGTGTTGGTACTAATCACACATTTATAAATTGCCTATGTGATTGTAGAAATGTGATGGTGGAGACGAGGATGATGGTGGTAAGACTGCTACTATAGGTGATTAGCCCAAGCAATGAGCACAAAAGGCTGATGGTGGTGGTGAGCAAGTTAAAGTTCTAAAAATATTTTTTCTATTTTTTCATTTTTTTATAAATGTTTGTGTTATGTTGATGTTTCCATTCCAGGTCGGAACTTGAGTCACACAACAAGGCCAAGCATAGTGTTGAGAGGGATACCTTAATTTTGTGAAGGTTTTGGTGGTGATCGGTTGTGGTTTTATATGTTTAAACCTCAGTTTTTCTATTTTTCTTTAACTTTGATTAATAATTTACTTTAAGAACACTACTTTTAACTGTTTCTTTATTGTCAGCCACTTTGATTTACCACTTTTTAATTCCAAAATGAATCTCGCTCACTAATTGGGTCAAATTACTCTTGGTTTACATTGAACTTGTATACTTAATGCCGGAATACTTGCTCTATTGGTCGTGGGCCTTGATTGCTATGGCTAATGTCTTAACGAAAAATTGACCTACAATAACCCTCATAGCTAGTCATAGTCCAATTTCCTGTAAGCTTCTACAATCTGCCTGTAGTGTACAGAAAGTGCTTGCTCTATGAACCCTTCTTAGTTTTATAAGCCGCAGCATTGGAATTTCCTTCTTGATGATTTGATATAAAACTGTGACATTGATCTCCATCTTCACTTTTATGCCGAGGCTGCAAACTTTTATGATTTGATATAAAACTGTGACATTGACATTGATCTCCATCTTCACAGAAATGGTTACAAGCCATGATTCTGCCAATGTCTTTAACTAACATTCAAGGCCAAACATATGCACAATAATTTATGTATGTATATTTTTAAAATCATTAAAAACGTAACATTATATATGCTACTCATACGTAGAAAAGAAAATAATATTATACAGCTGAATTGAAAAAAAAATACAAACCTCTATACATAATCAGGAGGTTTGGACCTCATTGTGATCAAGGCTATAGCCTTTTGAAAGTGAGAACCTATCATCTCAGGTGAAATTTTTTAAGTCATGTAGATTTGTCGTACAGAACTTTATAATCTTGGTCGCTTATGTATGTTCCTGTAGAAGCCTCTGCTTTTCATCTGCTACAAGTATATACAGAGAGAGAGAGAGAGAGAGAGAGAGAGAGGAGAGAGAGAGAGAGAGAGAGAGAGAATTAATATATATATATATATATATATGTTGACAGATTTTTTTCTCATTAGTCATTGACTCATTGCTGAGAGAATTATCTCAAATGAAAATGGAAGTATATTAAGCTCCATTATACTTACAGAGTTAAGGTTGAAATTAGAGCTCTATGTATGCAAAACATTACACTGGTACAGGATCTTGTTCGAGGATTTCCTTTCCTGTATTTCCATCTTTCAAAGTTTTAAAGTAAACATTGTAGTCCTTCTCGGGGGGGTGGATACTGTAAATGGCTCACTAAATGGCACAACACTTTTAACCTGCAAATGAGTTTATAAGCATCTCAGAATCTGCAAAAGCTTTTAACTTCCAAAAATAGCAAATTACAGCCACAGCACACAGCACACAATTAAGGGACATAAGTCGGGCGTGACCTCAAATGTCTTGCCAGATGCATAGGGGCTTTCCAACGCAGCAACACAAATATGAGCAACCTCCTCTCTTGATATCTTACCCTGCATATATATAAATACTATAAATCATAACATTCAGATATTATTACTATTATAAGGGAAAGAAAGAGCAATACATGTCATCACATGCATACAACAAAGAGAGAATAGTGATCTTCTATTTGATTATATAGCGTTATGTTGTCTCCTCGGTAAAAAATGAGACTGCTCCGGCAGGCTCCTCAGTTAATGCACAAGGCCTCACAATTGTATATGGTATTCCAGTTTCCTGTGCTAAATCCTCCCCCTGCTCCAAAACTTATCAATGTACAAAATCGAAAGAGCTAAATCTGACCCAGAAAAAGAAAAAGAACAGAAAAGAGCTAAGAAGTGGAATTTTGATACACTGATTATGTATAAAAATATCAAACAGCTTGCACTGAATTAGTATGAAACCTTCAACTTGAATGTCAGTATAAAATCCAATTCCTTGTTTAAGGGAACAACAGGAGGTTGTTTATTTAGATCAAGTCTAGGCCTGTCAGGTCGGGTAACTCCTGCAAAACCTAAGTGTACGAACCTACACGCAACACAAGCAAAGAGATTCTTTAAAGACTAAAACAGAAAGTGCACCTAGCAACTCAATTATGTTTAGTCATAAGAAGATAATCCAACAAAATGCAAAGAATGTGAAACCTGGGAGTAATAGGCTCTTTTAGATATGCTCGTACACTTGATAATGGGAGCTTAAATGTCCGTTCCACAAAAGTAGGATTCAGTTTCCCATCAAATTCAAACTTGCTGAACATGAGCTGCCGTAAGTTTGAAAAATTGCTAGGCAGTAGGCTTAAAGAACAAAAGAAAAGAACCAGACCCACCCTGGCACCCAGACCGGCCTAGGGCCGCCTAGACCCTCCTAGACCCGCCTAGACCCGCCTAGGGCCACCTAGACCCGCCTAGCGCCACCTAGACCCGCCTAGCGATGTCTAGCGCCGCCTAGACCCGCCTAGCGCCTCCCAGACCCGCCTAATGCAGAGTATGGATTGGAAGGAATGGTTTCAACAAGAGGATTGGAAGGAATGGTTTCAACAAGAAGGGATGTGTACAGTTTTGGAATTGTAGTGATGGAAACAATCCCAAGAAGGAAGCCAACAGATGAGATGTTTGTTGGGGAAATGAATTCTAGGCAATGGATTGCAAACTCACTATTACCAGATGCAATGATAGATGATGCTGTGGATGACAGAGGAGGAAGATGATGTTTAATGGGTATAGCCGCGCGGCTATAACTTTGAAAAATTCTTTTTACACATTATAGCCGCACGGCTATACCTTTGGTAAATTCTTTTTCCACAATATTGCCGGGCGGTTATGATTAAAAAAATCTATTTATGGAGTCTAGCCGCGCGGCTAAACTGTTGGAAAATTCTATTATGGAGTATAGCCGGCCGGCGATACAATTTGTAGGGTACAGCCGAGCAGCTATACTGTTAAAAAAAAATTTCTATTTCTAGCGTATAGCCGCATGGCTGTCCTCATTTCACAAAAACACTCTTAGTGCTAGGCGGCTTCTTTTTATCTTTTATACAGAGTATAGCCACCTGTGGGCTGTTGAGCTCGTAACCCATGGGGCAGATACAGTATTTGCTTCTCTTCATATGCTGGATGTAGTTCATTTTGATTGCAACGCTAGGAGGCATTGGACCAAAGATCTTCATATCAGAGTCTTTGTCCTTCCAGTGCTCTAGTAGAATTGGACGTAAATAGCCATGCACATTTCCAACATAAAAGGCAAGAATCTGCCTCTCATAAAGGGGTTTGCCTCCAAGATCATACGCACATGTATGTTTCAAAATCGTATAGCCGTATGGCTATACTCGGGTATTTTTTTATTTATTAAAAAATTGTGTAGCTGCTCGGCCTTACTACGGTAATTGTTTAAAAAAAAATTGTATAGCCGTCTGGCTATACATGTTTTGACACGTGGACACTCGCGAGGAGGGTCCCATTTTCCCCTTATAGCCGAGAGGCTATACCCGTGCATATTTTTCAAAATAGTATAGCCGGACGGCTATAATCGGGTATTTTTTTTATAAAAAAATTCGTATAGCTGCACGGCTATACGTGTTCTCACATGTGGACGACTAGGCACTAGGTGGGTCCCTTTTTTATATTTATAAATAGTATAGCTGCGCCGCTATTCTTGGGTATTTTTGTTTTCTAAATAGTATAGCCGGTCGGCTTTACTCGGGTTTTTATTATTATTTAATTTAAAAATATATAGTATAGCCGAACGGCTATACGCTTAACGGCTTAAGGGTGTATCCTCTCGTTGTTGAGGCACATCCATCTGAACCCAATTAGTTTGCATAAGGACTTACAGATGGAGGAGTGCATGTACTTAAGCCATTAGAATCAGAAGGAAGATGGGGCACTTCCCCTCCGATTGAGAATGGTGATAGGCCGAGCACCACTTTTGGAGCAGCGTCCAGATCAACCCCAAAGGTGACATTTCCATGTGCATGACTCCCAATGAAATGAGGATCTTGAGTATATCTCTCGTGTGTGATCCCTTCTCCTGGTCTCACCATAGTTTATTTATTTATTGAGGGGAAGCTACATATTTAGGTATTTATAGTTTTAGAATACTCGAATTAACCCAATAGAATTCGTTATAGTAGCATTTGAAGGTGAGGCAATTTCCCCTCATTTAGGATAATTGGAGAAGTGATGGATCATGGAACTATAGTTATAAGTTTTGAAGACAACGCAGCACCATCGGGAAAAAGGGTCGAGATCAGACAATGAGGAATTCAGCAAAAGATTTTAGTTGCTTTGGTTGGTTCGTGTCTAGACTGTTTTATCCCTTTTTTCTTCTAAAGTTGTTGACAAACACGATTACTCATTTATTTTCTCTTCTCTTTAGTTAATCTCAGGTGTTAATACGAAATCTGCTTTTTGCATCAATATCTTTTCTCCTTAAGTTAATGTAGACACGAACTTAAGCCAATGTTTCATTCACATGCAATAGATTTTCTTCTATATTAAAATTTTAAGAAATTTGTTCTTTTGAAAGTTATAATCAACTGGAACAAAAGTGGGTTAGTTTCCATTACTTAGTAGATAATTCTCAACAAAAAATACAAATTTTTTTGTATCATTATTGGTCAATGAAATACAAAGATTTTAAAATGGAAATTGTAACACCTTTCTCTCTCTCCACAGTTTTTACTATTTACTGACCATTTAATCATCTCACAACATTTGGGTTCATCAGTTTTCGTTATTCTTCTTCATATTACCACTCCTCCTCAAGCATGTTGCCCTCAAACACGAAGTGATACCTTTGTGTCACAGTACTGAATCCTTTTTTCATAGGATTCCAAACAATCGAAATCAGAAAATCCTCCAATACAAGGCTTACAATATTACTATTGTTTGTTTTTTGACTGAAAAACTAATATTTTTTCTTCCAAAAGGAAAATTAATTTTCATTGATTTACATATATAGTCATCCACATTATGAGGAATGATGTTTTAGTTTCCTCCAATATTTTCATGTTTATGTACAATACAAATTTTTTATAGAATGTAAAAGGTGAAGTAGCATTGGGTGTTATGAAAATGCATTGCATTCTCATGAGACAGATGCAGTAACATTTATGTTGGGAAAACGAATTTAAACAGATAGTTGGGAACTAGAAATGATACAGTTTTTCATCCAACATTTATGTACATTTTAGTTTCATGAGAAAAGGATTTTTCTTCTGCTTAAGTTCATGAGAAAAAGGTTAATATGACATAAAATATTCCTCCTTTTTGGTATTGTAGAATAAACGTGATTGTTAGGTAACTATATTTCATAAAGATTTTGCTCCTAACTCTATCTATGTGTAATTGAACAAGATGCGCGAGCTAAAATAAATAAGGAAAGAAAAAAAGCCATGAATGTATCATGCATAAGCTTTGTCGGCATTATACTTTGTTGGAATACAGGCTTCTCACCTTCCTTGCTTTGCCCAGCAGCATCACACACTTACCGGATTCCCAGTAAAGCTCCTCAATGTATTGCTTGAGTTCCCATGCATTGTGCTCAACAGATGCCTTCATAAAAGAAAACATATGAAAAGGGAAGACAAATTTCACAAAGTGTACGGTGCCGTGATTGCCATAGAGGCCTGGAAAATCAAAGTTCCCATAACTATAGGTGCCACAATGCTAAATGTCGATTGAACAGGGGAGAAGAACAAAGTCCAAAAGAGAAAAATAAATTGTCTTTACCTGGAATAAGCAGATAGACAAATGAGCTAGGCAATGTGTGCTCCCCATTCCTGAAGTATATAGCATGACATACAAGCAATAGGAATATACAAGAATAGATTAAACAGATGTGATTACAAAATTGAACACAGTTCTTGAACAGGTCCAACCATCTAGTGCAGTGGAGCTATTATATTAGCTTGGTACCTTATTCCTGCAAGCAATTCCAAGAATCTTGCTGTACCATCCTCCACACCAGGCATGCCAGGAGCGCGTGGCAACCATCCAATATTGTCAGATGAACCTTGCAATGTTTTCTGTACTCGAGATGCCAGGCTGACAAATGCAAAAATGAAGCTCAACCATGAGAACCTAAAAGAATGAAACAATGAGTTGTAATTAAAAGCAATGAATTATTTGCATTGAGTAAAACAGAATCCAATCTGAACTAAAACTAAAAGAAACTATTCATAGACTCTATGGAATACGAGTCCATCAGTTTGCATAATTGATACAATACTTCTTTTACCTACAAATTCGAAGACGAGCACATCTAACGTACACGACAGAACTTCTCCAACAAGAAATTGCCAATCTCCAAGCAATTGTAAACCGTGTAATGGTAGTGTCAACCTACTCAAGATGAAGCAACATCACCCAATCTAACAATGAAGATGACTAGATTGAGGTTTGAGAAATACAAAACAGTTACAGTAGTCATACTTCTGATAAACACTTGTAATTGAAAGGGAAGGAGGTGAAAAAGAAAAAAAGAAAAGAACCCGACCCGCCGCCTAAAGCCGCCTAGACCCGCCTAGACCTGCCTAGACCCGCCTAGCAATTTCAGTTACATTGGCAGGCATTCTAGTCTAGTTTATGAATCAAAGCCTTACCAGAGTGACTGAGAAACACTAACATTCTGGAGGCATTAGCAACAAGAAATGCTATTCTTGTTTGGTTCCCGAGAAATGAAAGATCACTACTGACCTGAGCACTGGAAAGTACAAAACTTGAGGCTGAATTTCCTTTGAAGCCAAACAGAAAAACCCAAAACTGAGCAGTTCAAACTTTTTGCAAAAGAACAGTATGTATTGTTAGAGTATAGAGCTTTAGATTGTGACACTTGTCACAATCTGCTGTAGTAGTTAGTTTGTTTGATATATGTAGCTATATAGAAGACTTTCTCATGTAATTACTGATTCATAAGAAAATATATCAGATTGATATTCTCTCTAGCTTCTCTCTCTAGCTACTCTCTCTACTCTCTCTCTCTGTTCTTGGTTCAATATACCTATCAGCTGATATAGCTTAACATGGTATCAATCGCCATTGTTGCTTACACTTGAAGTTTTTCGATCCTCTGTTGCTTCCGCATTCTCTGATTCGGCTCGTCTTCTCCGATTCGATACTTCATCTTCTCCACTTTCTGATTTCTGCAATTTCTAGGGTTTCGTGTCTCTCTTCCTTTCTTGATCGGTTCTTTCTGAATCTTGCACAGCAGGTGTTTGTGGTATTGTCTCACTCACAGGTTGATCTTGCAATCACGATGGTGACTGCTTCGCAGCTTCAGTTGCTTCAATCTCCAATTACGGCCCTTATTTCCTCCATTTCTACATCTGTTAATGTCAAGCTGGATGATTCGAACTACCTCAATTGGAACTTTCAGATGCAACTTTTGCTTGAAAGCAATGGAATCATGGGGTATGTTGATGGTTCGATTCCTTGTCCATCTCAACACGGTTCGACCTCTGATGAATCTGGTATCATTTCTTCTTCTCCAACTGATGAATATATGGTATGGAAAATGCATGACAGAGCTATTATGCAATTGATCACTACAACATTATCACCTATTGCTATGTCTTGTGCGATTGGTAGCACTAGCTCCAAGGATCTGTGGATTAGGCTAAAGGAACAATTTTCCACTGTATCTCGGACTAGCATTTTTCAGATGAAATCTAATTTGCAAACAATAAGAAGGGTTCTGATTCGATATCTCAGTATCTTCATCGCATTAAAGAAGCTAGGGACTATCTTTCTGCTGCTGGGGTGTACTTTGCGGATGAAGACATTGTCATTCTTGCCTTGAATGGACTACCTGCTGAGTATAACACCTTCAGATGTGTTATACGGGGGCGTGAAAGTGTGATTTCTCTAAAAGATTTTCGCTCACAGTTACTTGCAGAGGAAACCATTGTTGAACATTCGGTTAATACTCCTCTTATGACAGCTATGGTTGCTAATACAGGTTCCACTTACACAAAAGGGCCTCCTTTTCAGCCTCAGAGTTTCTCCCCCCACTCATGGTCCATCTCAGGTGGCCACTAGAGGTTTACACCTTATAATGGGAACAAGAACAAGGGTAAAGGCAGATTCACTCAGGGATCTAGATTTTATCATTCTAGACCAGTGTTTTCCCCTATGGCACATATGCTTCCCACTCTACTCTTGGAGTTCTTGGTCAATCACCTGGTCAACAGTTTGGCATTCCTTCTGCACCCATGATTCAAATCTGTCAATTATGCAACTCTGAGGGACACACTGCTCCATTCTGTGGGGCTTCTCATGAGAAAACCAAATGTCACATCTGTGGTAGAAGTAATCATACACACCTGGTATGCTTCTATAATGATAAGGGTCCAAACTATATTGGGATACATACACTGCTTCATATTCTTCACGGCACTATCCGTGCAACCCAGAAATTTGCAGTACACTTCATATCAAGCTCTCCTCAGCATTCCTCATTCACACCTTCACAGTTTCGGCTCCGCAACCTTCTATGCAAGCCATGCACACAGTGCTCAATTCTGCATCTCAATCATCCAATTCTTCAGGTTCTTCTCGGTATGGTCACTGATTCCGGTGCCACCATCATATGACAGCTGATTTGACTAATCTGTCACTGGCCTCCCCGTATCCCACAAATGAATCAATTCACACTGCAAATGGTGAAGGTTTGAAAGTGTCTCATGTGGTCATTCTACCATTCATACATCAGTTTCCCCAATCAAATTGACCTGTGCTCTATGTTCCTCAATTAACTCAGAACCTGTTGTCAGTACATCGACTTTGTCTTGACAATAATTGCGGCTTATATTTGATGCCTTTTGTTTTTGGATTCAGGACAAAGCCACCGGGAGGATCCTTTACAGAGGCTTGTGCAGTAATGGACTATATCCTATCCACTCCTTGTCCACTTCAAACTACAGACACCTTCAAGCTAAGGCATTTCTTGGCCAACTTGTTCAGTCTAATCTGTGGCACCATAGGTTAGGTCATCCTACCAATAATGTTGTTCTTTGATGTTGAATAAAGCTAATGTTCATGCCCCAAAAACTCATCCCCTATGATGTGTCATACATGTCTAGAAGGGAAATTTAGCAAACTACCTTTCCACAACATCTCAATAAGTCTGTCACTCCCTTTGAAACTATCATATGATTTGTGGGGTCCTGCAACTTGTATATCAGTTGATGGTTATAGATACTACACATCTTGTAGATGAATGTACCAGATATGCTGGATCTTTCCATTAATCAACAAGTCGATTTGTTCTCTGCGGTTGTTGCCTTTTATTCCTTTGTTGTTACTCAAATTTTTGCTCCAATTAAATTCTTCAAGAGGGGGGGGGAGAGGATACCAGGCAACAAAATGAAAAATTATTCTGGAAAGGGCCATTTAAGGAACTATATGTCCATATACTCGGAACAAATGGGGTTGCTGAAGGGAAAACATGGCATATCATGGAAACCCTTTCACCTATTACCAAACAGCCAAATTGCAAATATCAGTATGGGTATGTGCTTGGAAAAACGCCACATATATAATAATCGTATGCTATGCGTTCTTCATAACAAATATCCTGAGATGTTTTTGGGGCATATCCAACCCTTGCCTCACCTTAGATTTTTGGATGTGTGTGTTTCCTTTAAGCAAACCTATAATAGCCACAAAATTGCAGGCCAAAATACAAAGTGTTGTGTTTATGGGTAGCACCCAATCTATTAAAGGGTTGCTTTTGCATATGTGCTAAACGAGCGTTTTGTTCTAGGCTGTTATCTTTGAGCAAGCACCATGTTTCAGCAGCCGCAAAAAAAAAAAAAAAAAAAAAAAAAAAAAAAAAAAAAAAAAAAAAAAAAAAAAAAAAAAAAAAAAAAAAAAAAAAAAAAAAAAAAAAAAAAAAAAAAAAAAAAAAAAAAAAAAAAAAAAAAAAAAAAAAAAAAAAAAAAAAAAAAAAAAAAAAAAAAAAAAAAAAAAAAAAAAAAAAAAAAAAAAAAAAAAAAAAAAAAAAAAAAAAAAAAAAAAAAAAAAAAAAAAAAAAAAAAAAAAAAAAAAAAAAAAAAAAAAAAAAAAAAAAAAAAAAAAAAAAAAAAAAAAAAAAAAAAAAAAAAAAAAAAAAAAAAAAAAAAAAAAAAAAAAAAAAAAAAAAAAAAAAAAAAAAAAAAAAAAAAAAAAAAAAAAAAAAAAAAAAAAAAAAATAGATGAAGAAAGGTGCGGAAAGGAGGGGGGGGAAAACAAACTGAAATTTATAAGGTTTTTGGACACATTTTTGTTTTTTATTAAGGCAGGACTCTATTTTGACAAGAAGACAGGGGGAAAAACAAAAAGGGAGGGAAATTGCAGAGGCTGGAACTGAAGATGTAGACGAGACTGCAGGTGAAATCCACAAGAATGATGATAAGGAAGATTCTGACGGTGATCATTCAGACGAATCTCATGAAACCGCAGATGACGCACCTAGAACTTCTTGGCTTTCTCGCCTCTGGCCTAGACGACTACTCGCAGCCCTCGGGCGGCCAGGATGCACCATTTTGTAGTCACACGTCTCTTCTTAATGTTTTAAGTCGGGCATTGTTAGTTTTTGAAGTTGCAGTTCAATGGTGTTCCGGCCATTGGCCTCACCAGTGGTTTAATTATAGATGGGTTTATAGTGAAAGGTTCAAGTGTTTGTAACCAATTGTAGACTATAGAGCGAATAGAAAAGTCCAAATACAAACGTTAAATCATGCTTCTTACTATACTCCACAAACGGTGGAAATAAAATTAGTTTAATTTCTTGCATGAGCTTGAAGAGCTCCAAAAATCATTGACTTTCAAGTTTCAAGGGTCCCTGTGAACCATTGATCTTCTTCACTGCTTGCATAATCATCAGGTCAATTGTTAAGGTTACAGACTGAGGTGGAGAAGCGAACGTCACCAATCACTTTCGAGGTCTCAAGGACGGTTTCTGTTTCTGTAAGGGCCATTTGACCTAATTCATCCCGACCTTGAGTTATGGAAGAAGACGCCATGCCCCAATTACAGAGTCGTTTGGGGCCTGCCTTTCTACCAGGTATTTGATTTTGTCATTTTGTATTTAACTGGGTCATTTGTGATTCTATTTGTTTTATCTCGTTAATCCTCCTCTCTCTCTCTCTCTCTCTCTCTCTCTCTCTCTCTCTCTCTCTCTCTCTCTCATTGTAATAATTAACCAATAATCGTATTAGCAATAATGATACCCTTTTTAAGACAATGATGGATGGTAATTATCATATTAGAGCTGCATTAAGACATTGAACAGAAACATGCAGAATATCATACAATAGCAAGTCAAATTTCAAACCACAACCAAACTAGCTAAACACTGAACAACCACCACACATAAAACTTAAAAGAAAAAATAATACCTATTTCTATTATCTCAACTAACCATTTAATCTACCATCTCTCTAATAAAAATGGGATCACCTTTTGTACGGATTTAAACTCTATTAGAGAGATAGTACGCTAGATGATCAGTTGAGATAATACAAATAGCAATACCCCTTGATAAGACACTGCAACACAAAACGACAAGCACACAGAAAACAAACACAAAAAAGGTGACAAAAACAAACTATAAACTCAAGCACCGATCAGGAAGATGAAGATCGACAAATCAAACTTTGGGGGTCGGCTACGTTGGGTTGGAGGCCATGAGAACGAACCTTGATGATGAAGAAGCCGAGGGCATGGCCGGCCACGGCGGCTATCAGGATACCAGTATTGAACGACATGACAGCGAGCATGACCAAGTAAGCCAAAGCTGTGCGAAAAGTGTAGACGCCTGTCTGAGTGAGGGTGCATATGAAAGTCTTGGTGCCTGGTTTGTGTTTGGGCGAAACAGACAGGACTTCAACGGCAACAGCGAGAAGGAAGACGAAGAAGAGGGCCAAGACGTACATGGGAACGCTGTCATCAGGCCAACCACGGAAGAGGACGGTGACGTCTGCGGTCCATGTGAGGCTAGAGCTCATGGCACCATCAGTTGTGTTCTTCAGGTCGCCCTTGGGCGCAGGGGGAGTCATAGACATGCCAGGCATGCCAGCCATGTCATCTTGGTTAGACATCTCTCTCTGCTTCTCTGTGTGTGAGAGAGAGAGAGGAGAGAGGAGATAGAGAGAGAGAGTTTGGAGATTGCAAGGTTAATTACTTTGGATGATCTGGTTTTTGGGGAAAAGGGATTTTTCTTGTTGGTTTTAATTTAATGAATGGAGGAGCTGGAAAGCAACGCTGTTGGAGGTGATGACGAGGGTTGAGAGGTAAGTGGCCTTCTGATAGCTCAGATTCTCTTTTATTTTACATGGGTTTTGTTTGTTTCTTCGTATGCTTTCTTTTTAAAAAGTAAATTTCCCACTATATTAAACTTGAGAAATGCTGTCGACTTTTATGTTTCTAGACTCAACAGAGACCATTAATCGAGCTTAACTTGTATACAAAAAAAATTAGCAAAGTTAATTGGTGCTTAGAAAGTGGAATTAAGGAATGGGCAGGTTTATAATTTTATACATAGGAAATGGCCGAATAGACCCCATCATACGATAGGATTGGTTGTGCTAGCTAGTGCTGTGTTCGAGCAACTACTGAACAAATAAAATTATTCTGGTTTTAATGGTTCATTTTCTTGGTAAAAAAAAAAAAAAAAAAGGGAATCCATGGGTTGATTCACTGCTTTCATATAACTGAGTCACATCAGAGCAAGATATTCTTCACGACAGAATTCATTCATTTCATTTCCTTGTGCTAAAAGTAAAGCCAATTCATTTACAAAAATGGTAGAATAATAAAACTAATCAACATATGGGCGCATACTCAGACATCAGGCTGGGAAGGTTTGGCCAGAGCTAGAGAACTGGCCTGACTATGAAGTCCCCAAAGGTGTGGCCTGCCACCGCGGCTATGAAGATCCCGACGTTGAAAGACATGACAGCGAGCATGACCAAGTAGCCCATGCCGACTCGAACAGAGTAAAACAGAGGCCTGAGCAATCCCGGCAACCATCGGATTGGTGGTTTGTTTAATAATGGGCCACACAGACAAAGCTTCCTTAGCAAAGGCCAGCACAAACACAAAGAAGAGTGCCAATATATACATGCCAGTGGTTTGGTTAGGCCACCCAGTGAATAGAATTGTGGCCTCATTGCCCCAGTGGAAGCTCATCTGCATGTTCATCTGGGCATGCCCTCCATTCTGCCCTTGCTTTTGCTTGAGTGAGAGATTTTACATTTCTCTCAGAGAGGGAGAGATGGGATGTGGTTTTGAGGGCTTGGCTTTGCAAGGTTCTCTTGTAGATTAGGTTACAATAAAGACAGATTAGTGTTGAAACCAATGTTTTTTTGGCTTAATTTGGGGGTGATTACAAAGGGATTAGGGACAAGTGGCCTTTTTAGAGTTATTCTAAAGATGGTATAGTACACATAAATTGAGAGGTGATCAATTCCAAACATGTTTATCATTTTTATTTATTAAACACACTACTAATTCCAAATATTACAACATGTAGTGAGTCATGCCAATGCACTGAAATGCAAAACACAAGTAAGTTAGGTCGGTTGCTCAGGACTGTGAACAGTAAGTTCGAATTCCCCTCCCCCTAGATTAGATTAATTTAAAGCTTTGAAGTTTGAACTATAGCTTGTAAATTAAAATGCAGAACACAGAGAAAGTTAAAATAAAAAAGGTCACCCTTTCATAAATTTACAACAAAAAGAAAAAGAAAAAAGAAAAATAAAACCCACCCAAGAATCGTTATTATCCGCACGTCATGGGAGGAAGACTCGCCTGTCTATCAATACCCGACCCGTACGACTTCTTAAAAGCCCGGCTCCCGAAAAGCAAAAACCCGACCGCATGCCCCGCCACCACGGCGAGGAAAACGCCGCCATTAAACGACATGACGGCGAGCATCACCAAATACGACAGCCCGGAGCGCAGCGTGTAGAGACCAGTCTGCAGAAACCCCACCGCGACGCCGTTCGCGCCGGGCTTGAAGAAGCTGCAGTGGGAAAGCAGCTCGACGAGGACGGCGAGAACGAAGACGCAGAGCAGCGAGAGGGCGTACATGACCGGGTTGTCGCGGCCGGGCCAACCTGAGAAGAGAACCTCGGCGCTGTGGCCCCAGAAGAAGGTCATGTGCATCATCATCTTGCGGCGGCGCGTGGGCATGAACCCAGTACTGGCATTAAACGCCGGAGGCGGCGGAGATGGGATGTTGTGATGTGAAGCAGCCATCTGGTTAGTTTATAGCAGAGTTTTGATTGGGGCAATTGTAATGGCTAGCCTAATATTTTCGACAATTGTCCATATATATATATATGTATTGTATATGGTTGATTGATGAACATGAAGAATGGTAGAAGATTATGTAATAGATTAAAATGTGGGCATATGGCAGTCGGCGAAACGGACGCAAGGCAAGGGTTTATGGACCCACGAAAGAGGGAACAGAATGAGAATTTCTCTCGTTTTGAACTCGTGGTAGCTCACGCTCTTTATTTTGTTGCTGCAGCATCGTATCATTATCAACTTTTGTGGTCTCACAACAAAAGCACAGTTTTATTTATGCCAATTAATTTAATTCCAAGTTTAAGAAAATTGCATGCAAGATATATCTGGCAAGAGATGATTTCTCTTAATAAATCTAATCTACCCAACAATTATGATTTTAAATGAATATCAAGTAAATGGTAAATAAGATAAATCTTACAAATGACATTCATTTGTAAATTAATCTAATCTACGAGAAAAAGTATTTATATCATTCGTAAATTAATCTAATGTACGAGAAAAAGTATTTAAACCTTATATAAGTGTGAGTGGAAATGTGGAAGGTGAAGGAGGTGCGCGTAGGAGTGGAATTAGGATTAGTTCACAGATGAGCTGTGAGTATGAGCATGACTGGTTTCCAAGCAATTCCTGTACGAAAGCTGCCAGACTCAAACCAAAACACTATTACACTCTCTCTCTCTCTCTCTCTCTCTCTCTCTCTCTCAGGCTTAAAAGGAGGCTCAGACTGAAACCAGAAAAGGAATAAGGAGATGTTGGATATTTCATGACTTGTCACTAGTCCCTCAGTCCATGCACACCAACCCTGATTGCCACGTGGAAACTGATGTAGCAGCAGCTGGTTTGGTTGGCTCTGCTGGTCTGCTACAATATTGAGCCCAACCCCATTTCAGTGTTTGTGCTTTTAAGCCATCTGGTTGTGCTTTCTTGGCTTGCTTTTGCTTGTTTGTTGATCAGAGTAATTCTGGACATTTTATTCTTCTGGTAAAATACAATGACTTTCTACAGTGAAACTTTAATTAGCAAACAACAGACTTTCAATTTATTTTTATTTATTGAAAGTTGGCAAATCCAAAGAATTAATGGGGCAAGAAATTATCAAACAGGTTGCTCTCAGAGTTTCGTGTGGCTATACTCGTTTTTCTAAATTGTTTTAAAAAATAGTCTAGCCGGACGGCTTTATCTTTTTGAATTTTTTTCCGAAAATAGTATTGCCGCGCGGTTATACTACTTTTTCCTTAATTTTTTTAAATAAAAATAGTAGCCGCCCAGCTTTACTAGACACATGACACCTATCTCATGTGTGCGTCCCTTTTTTCATATACAAATAGTATAGCCTGCGGCTATACTTATATACAAAAAATTTAATCCAGCAAATTTAAAAATATAAAATTCGTTTCTTCACTTTGTTTTTGGGTCTACTCCTTTAATTTAATGTATGTAATTCAGTAATATCTTAGCCTTTTGAATTACTTTAATTAGTTATTATATTTAATTACTATTTAATATATTTAAAAATTTGTATAGCCGCACGGCTTTACCGTTTTGACATGTAGCGAATTGGCATTGGGCTGGTTTTATATATAAATTGTATAGCCGACCGGCTACACTTGATTTTTTTGAATTTTTATTTTAATGAAATTAGTTATAGCCGTTCATCGTTTAAAACAAAAAAAAAAAAAAAAAAAAAAAAAAAAATATAGCCACCCGACGTTATTGGTTTGACACGTGGCACCTAGGCGCTGGTGCGTCCCTTATCGTTATGGCAGGCAGCATTTTGAGCGCACAAGGCAATAACTTTATCATAAAAAGAAATTGCGTCCAAGAAGCTGGCCCTTCTGCACTCCATATTACCCATGTTGTTAAGCCCTTCCAAACTCTTATGGTATGCAGAAGAAGATTGTGAACTTAAGAAATTTGGAGATTTTGGCATGCTCTTATTTCCAGCAGCCACATTGACCCTCCTTGTAATGTTTCCATGCCCATAATGACATCTTCCAAGGCCTAATACATGGTTTTTAGGCCTTGCTTCAATTGCTTGGCCATCTTTGAAATTCTGAGGAGATTTACATACGTTCCCAAGTGAAACACTTCTTTGATGATGAGCCTTAGCATTCTCGTCCGCGACCAAATTCCTGTTCTTTATAGCTTCACATGTTCTAGAGCTCTCTTTCTTAGATTTGGAGCTCCCTTCATTTGACAAACTCGAATTACACGGAGACGACAAGAAACCATTAGAAGCATCATTACCTTTGTAGCTCTCTGTCTTGCTCTGTCTATGATCAGAGCAATCCATCTCAGCATTCTTCACTTGGACATCCCATCTTCGAGGCCCGTGCTCTGTTTTCCAAAAAAGAACCCCGCAGGTGCCAAGAAACATTTTTTCATAAAACAAAAAGAAAACAAACCTCAAAAAACCAAAGATAAAGAGTACCAAATACCCACAAGAAAACCTAGTTTTAGTCTCAAAACAAAGAACAAAATGAAACTGGAAATTCAAGTCTGGATAGTGACGAAGATATTGTACATAGCAAGTAGTGTCGTTCCAAATAATAAAAAAATTGTGGGATTTGAAACTTGAAAGACATAATCGAAGGGAAATGTTTGATGACACACTTTGTTTTCGTTGTGGATTCCTATAGTGCAGGAACATAATTGGAAATTTAGTGAAAAAAACCATCCATCATTTTCTCTGTCTTATCTTCCATGCGTTAATTGATTTTGCGCGTGGTTAGTATGGGAAAATTGAAAAACAAAATTGAGGGGAAAGTTAAAGCTATATATTATATTTCCAAATCCATCAATATCAAGATAAAATTTTGATGAAATTTGATATAATGTTTGATTTCGATGAATTAGTGGATTTAAAAGAGTGGTTTTTTATTACTTCTTTCTCCATGATACTTCATCACAACTTCTGGATTGATAGATAAGTGAATAGCTATGAAACTACTCATAATAAAATAGACTTTAAAGACATTACCTTATGAAATTGTGTTCATCATGATCTGATATAGAAAGTTCAAAATAAACATATTTGCTTTTGTACAAACGATAATTTAAATTGCTCTAAATTACATGATGGAAAAATTAAACTCAAGCCCAATAGGGACGGCATATTGCCATATGGCTTAACTCACAACTGCAAAGCAGACAATTAGAAAACTGTTTTATAGCCAAATGGAGTAGGATCATTATTCGTTTGTTATATTAATTCATGGAACCATGCTACACTTGGTTTATAATAACCAAATTTATAATAATAATTCTTAGTGCCCAGAAATTTGAACGGCTCTGGTTGCATGAGGATAGAAATAACCTTCTCCTTCGGAACCGTGACAGTGAGCTCTCCATTTTCCATGAACACCTTCATCTTGTCAGCCTTGGCATTCTCAGGCAAACTCAAACGCCTGATGAACTTGCCGCTGCTCCTTTCGATGCGGTGCCAATGGTCCCTCTTCTCTTCTCTCTCCACATTTTTCTCCCCCCTAATGCGAAGAACCCTACCCTCCTCCACATCCACCTTTACTTCTTCTCTCCTGAAGCCTGGAAGATCTTCCTTGAGTACATAGGCGTGCCCATCTGAGGTCTCCTTCCAATCAATCACGGAGTTGGTGAAGGAGGTTGCTTCTCTTGGAAATCCATAGTGGAATTCCTGAAACGGGTCCCAAACATCGCGGTAGAAAGGATCATAGTGACCAACAAAAATGGTACGAGGAATTAGTGCCATGATCTTTGTAAAAAAAAGGACACACACGCACGCACTGGCTAGCTAGCTTTAATCTCTCAATGCTGTGAAGTTAAGGGGGAGTAGAAAGCTGTATTTATAGGCCAAAATTGAATGGTTGGAAGGAAAAGGATATAGTGATGTAAAAAATATCTATGGCAACGGTGCACATATTGCTGAAATTTCTGGAGAGAGAATCCTCTTTATGAAAGAAAAGATAATTAGCATGGAATAATATGCTATTGCTGTGTCATTGTCATGAGAGCATTTCTTTTTCTTTTTTCTTCTTCCTGGGTTTTTCACATTATTTCTTGTGTCTCCCATGAGAATTTGCCACACATGGAGCTGCAAGTTTTAATCGATCAGTGTTATATGCAACCAAATAAAAAGGGTATCTGATTTTATTTATTAATAATTGATCAATCTATTACAAGTTACAACCAAAAGGTTTGCAAAGTAAAACAACCATATTTCAATGCACCAAAGCCAAAGGAATGGAACAACACAAGAAATTCTAGTGAAAACTAGTTGTGGTGTTGCAAACTTCGAATGTGTTCGATGAGCTGCTCCAAGTTGTTGTGGGAAGATCCACCTTTGACGACACTGTCACGAGCCAATTTGGAAATGGTGTCCATGGAGCTCTGGATCTCCTCCCTTTTGGGTCCCATCAAAGTTTGGATCATGGTTTCAATGTTGCATCTGTCACAATTTTCCTTCAATTGGAGACCAATTTTCCACTTCTGACTAACAGTTCTGCTAATGATATAATGGTCCCCCAAATTGGGCCAACAGATCATAGGAAGCCCAGCCACAATGCTCTCAAGCGTCGAGTTCCAGCCACTGTGAGTCAAAAACCCACCCACTGCTTTGTGGGCTAAGACCTCCTCTTGCGAAACCCAATCCACTATGTAACCTCTTTCTTTTGTACCAATTTCAAGCTCGGCTGGTATTTGATGGGCCCTATATATGATGTCAGATCTTATGACCCACATGAAGAGGTGTCCACTATTGACCAGGCCGTACCAAAACTCTATTATTTGGGCACGTGTCAAGTTGACCAAAGTCCCGAAACTGACGTAGATAACAGATCTGGACGGCTGGGAATTGAGCCACGTCATGCAATTTGGGTCGCTTTTCCAAAGACCGCCGTGGGATGCCATACTCTTGGACACATTACCTATTTGAGCATTGAGGAGGGCGTGGAGTGGTCCGAGGGTGTAAATTTTGGGAAACATGAGGGCCATGTGGGAGAGACATGAAGCGTCGAGTTCATAAACTGTGTCGAGGATGAGAGCTGAGGATCGTCTTTGGGCTTGGGTCCAGGTGATGGCAAATTGAAGAGCTGGGTGGTCAGCTTGTTTGACTCTGCAAAAACTTGGCAAGTCTTGACGATGCAAAGGGCCATCCATTCCAGACACTCCGGTAATTTCCACACTCATGTCATCATCTGTTGTGTAACACACTTAAATGTTAGAAACTCACAAATCAAATCATTACAAGCCAGTTAATTAGGTTATCTTCATATGCTCTCTGTCTCTGACCTGGAAAAGGAAGTTGTCCTTGCTCAATGAGGTCCGGGAGACAAAGACAAGTCCACAAGTAACGAGCACAAGGAACGTTATAACTAAGAATGGGAATCTCCAACTCCTCCGCCAAGTCAAATGCAAAAGTGACGAGCCCATCTGTTATAATACAGTTGAGAGGCGGCACCGAAGCATCATTTGACTCGGCCTTGAGCGAAATGGTTTCGAGGAGCTCCCGGAAATGAGGCCTAATGGACGTCTTCAACGCCATCAACAACTCGCCATTCAAGGCGCGGGGGTGGTCGTCGGGGAGGCCGTCGGAGATGGACTCGAAGTGGAGGGTTGGGAAATGGGTGGAGAGCGCTTCGGGGTTGGCCAAGCGCTTGTGGTTGTGGTGGGTGTTGACGAAGGTGACGTGAAGGCCTGCATGGCAGAGAAGCTCTGCTAAGCACAGCAATGGCTTGATGTGGCCTTGGAGTGGGAAGGGAAAGATCACTACGTGAGATTGCTTCCCTGCCATTGCCAATTTGCCAGCAGTTGTATATTTGTGTGTGTATATATATAGCTTCTTGCTTGCTTTCTTCCTCTCAGGCTTTCATAATTCTAAGTCAATTATATAACGCCTAGTAGGTACAGGAGGGGGTTACATATAGTCGCTGAAGAGGGCATATAAAATTCCATGCGTGGAAAGCTATAAACATAATTAAACTAAAATAATATAGATGCACTCTATCTTAATTGACCCAAAAAAAAATTTAAGAACGGTGGAAAAGGAGACTTCTTGTATTACATGATTAAAATACATGGCAGTCATTTATGACGGATTTAGGAATTTTACTTCATAGAGTCATAGTGTAAAAGTTTCAAAAAAAATTTAAGATGAAAAGAACATTGAAAATGAAATAGCACTTTTATTCATAATTCATGTCAAAAAACAACATTACAAGCTACAATTGTCTACGACAAAATTTCATATTTTGAAAATGTAGCATTATAGCTTCATTTTCAATATAAGCAAAAACATGACAGGAATATTACAATGATTAGCTTATAACTAATCAAGCTTAAGACTAACTAAACATAAAAGAATTAGTTATGGTAGTCATGAGCTAAAATATTCTGTTATTATGTTTATGTCATCTACAAATCGATCTTGAAGAATTATTCATTAATAATATAAATAAAATGGTCCATTATCCACCACCCACTAATACTCTTAGCCAGGTTTTGTCAACATATTACAACCAACTTATTCAAAATAAAACAACCGTATATTTAAATGCAACAAATACAAGATGAATAAAAAACACAACAAATTCCAAGAGATTAGTACTGACAAATTCCACAGTCATGATCTTTTGGACCACAGGAGTCCAAGAGATTGCCGTCAACCACTGTTGGATATTAATCCAATGGTTAAAAAAAGTTTCTTAAAAGGAGTGCAAGAGTGAGTGAACTGTTGAATGTAATCGGGACTGAATGAAAACTAGCTGTGCTGTTGCAAACTCCGAATGTATTCGATGAGCTACTCCAAGTTGTTGTGGGACGATCAGCCTTTCACCACACCATTTTGAACCAATTTCAAAATGGTGTCCACTGAGCTCTGGATCTCCTCCCTTTTGGGTCCCATCAAAGATCTGATTATGCTCTCAGGAGTACTCATCACAATTTTCATTCAATTGGAGCAAGAATTCTATAGTCAGGGCCTATATATGAGCCACCATATCATGGGCAGCCCAGCCACAATGCTTTCAAGCATCGAGTTCCACCCACTTTGGGTCAAAAACCCACCCACCGCTTTGTGGGCCAGGACCTCCTCTTGCGAAACCTAAACCCACTATGTAACCCCCTTTCTTTCCGATCCATTTCAAGCTCTGCAAGTATTTGGTGGGCCCAAGATGTGATGTGGATCTTATGACCCACATGAATGCGTGTGCGCTATTGACCACTCTATTACCTGGGCATATTAAAAGTAACGTATCATTTTAGGGGATAAATTGACAGTTAACCCTTCTCATTAATCTAACCAACTATCGAAGCCCATTTTTTCTTTATGTTATTCACACATTAAGATCAATTACATAAGTCATGAAGGAAAATTTGAAACTAAACATTCATTTGGTTGAAAACGAAGATCATTTGGTTAGAAGACAGATTAGTCGTGGGGGAATTTGTTTCAATCCCACAAAACAATAGAACACCAACGTCCCTTGCATGCATCACTTCACTTGTGGATGAAAATTTTGGATTTTGGATTTTTTTGGATTGTTTATTCAAGAAGCAATGGTACATATATACTACCGCACACGAACAAGACATATAAACTTAAGCAATCTACTTGATACACAATTTCTTTTGTCTTCAATAAGTATCTCCACGTTATTGTACGAAGTACGAGCCAGCTTCACAAACAGCATATTCTGAGCCAATTTTGCGAACCTCGCCACAGACTTGGGAATGTGCTCACTTGCATGATCTTCCCTCAAAGCCCTTACATCAGACTTATCCTTCATATCGAACCCAATCTTCCAAACCTCATCACCAAATAACACAACAAATTATTCCAATGAAAAGTGAAATATATAGTATCACCAGCTAGCTAGCTAGCTAGTTCTGGTGTTGCAAATTTCTAATGTATTCGATCAGCTGCTCCAAGTTGTTGTGAGAAGATCCACCTTCGGCAACACTGTCACGAGCCAATTTCGAAATGGCATCCATGGAGCTCTGGATCTCCTCCCTTTTGGGTCCCATCAAAGTTTGAACCATGCCCTCAATGTTGGACCGGTCACAATTTTCATTCAATTGGAGACCAATCTTCCACTGCCGGCAAACAGTTCTGCTAATAATATAATGGTCCCCCAAATTCGGCCAACAGATCATGGGCAGCCCGGCCACAATGCTTTCAAGCGTCGAGTTCCACCCACTGTGGGTCAAAAACCCACCTACCGATTTGTGGGCCAGCACCTCCTCCTGCGAAACCCAATCCACTATGTACCCTCTTTCTTTTGTACCCTTTTCCAGCTCCGCGGGAATTTGGTGGTCCCCAGATGTGATGTCGGACCTCATGACCCCACAAGAACGGGTGTCCCACTGTTGACCAGGCCGTACCAAAACTCTATCACTTGGGCACGTGTCAAGTGGACCAAAGTCCCGAAGCTGACATAGATAACCGATTTGAAAGGCTGGGAGTCAAGCCATGTCATGCAGTTTAGGTCGCTTTTCCAAAGAGAGCCGTGGGATGCTAGACCTCGAGACATGTCACCTATTTGGGAGTTGAGGAGAGCGTGGAGCGGTCCAAGGGTGTAAATCTTGGGAAACGTGAGGGCCCATGTGGGAAATGCAAGGGGCATCAAGCTCATAAACTGTGTCGAGAATGAGAGCCGAGGCTCGTTTTAGGGTTTCGGTCTCGTTGATAGCGAATTGAAGAGATGGGTGGTCAGCTTGTTTGACTCGACAAAACCTGGCAAGTCTTGGCGATGCAAAAGGCCTTCCATTCCGGGCACTCCCGTAATTTCCACATTCATGTCATCATCTGTTTAGAACTCACAAATTATATTATTAAAAAAAAATTTAAAGCAAGTTAATTAATTATGATAGCTTTGTGTTGACGACTTCCAAAATATTGTATGAGTGTTACATTCGCGGGAGGATCTTGTTAGAAGCTTCCAAAATATTACATGTATCATTCCTTCCACCCCAACGTGTTACGTGTCAATTTATTAGTGTTTATATTTCAAGTTTTATTTATGTTTTCTATTCTCCAAAATCCATGTAAGTTTGTTTCATAAGACAAAAAACTTGAAGTCATGGAGGTCGTTCATATATGTAGAGATGAATAAAATAAGAGGTGAAGTAGAGACTCTTGCCTTGAAAAGGAAGCTGGCCATTCTCAATGAGCTCGGGGAGACAAAGACAAGTCCACAGGTAACGAGGACAAGGAACGTTATAACTTAGAATGGGCAGCCCCAGCTCCTCCGCCACATCAAACGCAAAAGTCACGAGCCCATCTGTCACGATACAGCTCGGAGGCGGCACCAGAGCATCATTCGATTCGGCCTTAAGTGAAATGGTTTTGAGCAGCTCCCGGAAATGAGGCCTAATGGACGTCTTCAACGCAATCAACAACTGGCTACTCGGGTACGGGGGTCGTCCTCGGGGAGGCCATCGCTGATGGACTCGAAATGGAGGGTGGGGAAATGAGTCGAGAGGGCTTGGCGGTTGGCCAAGCGCTGGTGGTTGTGGTGAGTGTTGACATAGGTGACATGAAGGCCTGCATGGCAGAGAAGCTCGGCTAAGCATAGCAAGGGCTTCATGTGACCTTGGAGTGGGAAGGGAAAGATGACTACGTGAGGTTGCTTCATTGCCATTGGGTTAATATTTTAGCTAGGTTTCTTGCTCTCAGGGCTTTCTTAATTGTAAGTTATATCAACCTATTACAGAAGGGGTGGTATATATAGAATCTGGAGATGGCATATAAATTGCACGGCGTGGAAAATGTAAACATAAACTAAGATGCCAATATAAGTCGTGCATACGTACCTTGAAATAAAAACAACTTCAAAAAATAAAAATAAAAGGTTCAAGGAAGGTGGTGGCCACCTCACATATGATATATATAGTAGTTAAAGTGCACTACCATTTAACACATAATAAATTAGATACGATAACTCATGGCACACAACACAGGCCCAAAAACAAAACAAGAAAAAAGATACTGTATCTCAGCTATTTTTCTCATCATCAATGAAATTCAAGTTGACCAAAAAAAAAAAAAAAAAAAAAAAAAAAAAAAAAAAAAAAAAGAGAGAAAAACTAAGAACAGAGGATTAGCTTATACAATGATGAATGATGAGAAGCTGGCATTTATACAGCAATGTTACACAAATTTGGAAGTAATAGTCAATATGAAGAAATGACACAAAATTGAGTTTCACGTTGTTTCGAAGTCAACCGATATGTAGGTAAGATCCAGCTACTCTTAATCGACGTAATATTTTTTTAAATGAAAAAATTCTTTCAGAATATATCGTATCGAAAACCTTGAACCTACATTACCTATAAATATTGTGGAAAATATAAAATACAATAGTATAAACATGTGAACATATATAATGAGTAAAATAACGAAGGAATTAAGATATTCTTCGTTTAAGTTGGCTTCTCTGAAAAACAAGTCTCAATAATGTAATTGTTTTTGTCGTTTGCCAAAAGTCTCAATGCAACATAGAAGGTCTGGAAATCTTCCACACATTCATCTCCATCTAGCGAACTATGGACCTATCGAAACCGATTCTTTCTATACATTATTCATACAATTAAGATCAATTACATAAGTCATGAAGGAAAATTTGAAAGTAGCATTCATTTCTTATTGAACAAATCTTCAAATCTAGTGAGTTATTCAATTCAATTTAATCTTCGATACCAAGCATGAACTATGGAATTTATATATGTTACAAGCTTATTGATTGTGAGGTTGCAAGACTGGATTGTTTAAGCTATGTCATAAATTTATGAGATATATAGTCATATATCCAATCTTAGCACAGAAAATATAAATAAACTCATACATCATTTATATTATAAACAAAAAAAAAAAAAAAAAAAAAAAAACACAAAAATAACAGTTGACTTTATTTAATTTAATTTTGATTATTAAATTACTTTTATGCCCTATTGAGTGTTTTGAGTATTTTATGCCATGTTGCGGTCTGGCAACGTTCCAATCTTGGAAGTCCCCCCCATCAAAGGCCGAGAGGTCCACCAAATTGTTTTTCAGATGAGCCACCAGCCTCTTTGGCATCCCGCCATCTACAGAGGGGCCGAGGACGCAGGAGTCGGTGGCGGTGCCATCGTCATTAGTCCAAGGTGTGACGATGTTGGGTAAGACCGAGCCCTGGATTTCTTGGCAAATTTCTTCAAACTCAGTCTGGAAGACTTGGGACCGAGCTTCAACAGATGTAGGGGTGTTAGAGGCCATTGCAACGGATTAAAGTAAGGGTATGTTTGAAAAAAGTCGAAGGAAATGTGATAAACACGAAGAACACCAGGGAGCCGAGCGCTCAGAAAAGGGGCGAAGAGTTCGAGAGTTTTTAGAGAAATACAGGAAAAGCGACTGAAGTCGTTGGTCACTAACAAAGGGGGATAACTGTGCAAAAAAAGGGTTGGGGTGCTGAAATGTGGAGTTCGAAAGGGTTGAAGAATTGAGAGAAAGGTTTGGCAGAATTTAAGCGTCTGAAGGTTCTGAAAGTGTAAGGAAGGGATGAAGAATGACAGGCTTTTATATTGGCGCTAGAATTCGAAACGAAAGGGCGTGGCTCTCTCGAGAGACGTAACAGCCTGACAAGCGTGCTCAAAGGGCGCGATGACGTGTTGAAAGCTCAGAGGCCGTCGCTTCGTTTGATAGGACGAAACGACGGCTCGTGCAAGTCTGGGCAATGATGGCCTGCGAGACGTGCTTGCGCATTTAATGCGCCGATTGACCTACACATTTAAAGCACCAACTGTCAATCACTTCAGGGGGAATGTAAAGGGTCCATCCCTTGGAATCCTTTCGACCTCTGCCCAGGCCGCGACCGAAGAATCTAGGGATGTGGGGGCAATGTTTGTGCCTAATAGATCACGGTCATGAACTGATTGAAGGGACTTCCCTTCGGCCATGGCGCCTACCGTTTCGTCAAGCATTTCGCCTTCCTAAAAGCAAAGAAAAAGGCTGCAAAGGCAGAATCTTCTCAGCCTCGCGACCGCAGTATTTAAGGCCGAGGCCGAAGGCCGTAAAAGACACAGCCTAAAAAAGCTGTGGTTGAATCGCCACGTGGCCTCAGGGCCCCACACTCCATTTAATGAAGTAATGCCTCTGACTTCGCAGCAAAACCCACTAGTCACAAGAAGCATTCAATGCACGAGGGAAGTGACTGAAGTCAGGATTGGGTGATGGAAATCAGGGTGGTTAGGCGCAGACATTCTTACAAGTAATCTTACGACTTAGGGTCAGATCACCAACCACCAGACCAGGGCATTAAATGCGTTCCCACGGCCAAGGGGGCAGAACCCACGATCAGGGCGGTGGCCGAGATTTGCTGAGATTTATGGGGGTCACACCACCATGCTTCTCAACCCCAAACCACCATGCTTCACGATCCCAAATGCCGATTTGACTACCCACTTGCCCCGGTCAGGCTCCACCACGCAGGTCTTGTCAGCCTCAAATGTCCTTCCACGACTCCTATAAATACTAAGCTCAGGACTACATCAAAGGGTTCAAACATCAAACCAAAAGCCTCCCATGGAGCAAATTATATTTTCCTGTAATGCACTTTCAAAACATTTATTTGTTTTCTTAGGAGTAGTGGTAGATTGTAAGGAAAATCAGTTTATCAATATATTATACGACCCTTGATTTTCAAGGCACCAGAGCACCGCCTAAAACCCGCCACCAACACCACCACCAAACGGCCTTGTAGCTCAGGCTGTGAACCTAACGGCCGAGATTAGTTCCTCTCTCGGCCACAATCGTTTGATTAGGAGTCGAACGCAAAACAGGCGCAACATTTAAACCATCTTTTACCAGAACCTCATCATCATCTCGACGCACGGTAGACTGTGCTTGCACGCCCGCGCACAACCGCACCGCATCCAAAAGAAAGACGTCACGTGTTGACGCATATACCCTCGGCCCGGAGCACCAGGCCGTGAGATTCGCGACAGGACCAACAATCTTGTTCCCATTAAGTTCAAATTAGAGTTTGGTTCCATTTTCCCTTGTTCATTCCGGTGTTTGGGGACCTGCTAAAATTGCCACTCCGGTAGGGGCGCGATGGTTTGTTACGTTTATAGATGATTGCACACGCATGACTTAGGTTTCCCTTCTCAAAACAAAAGGGGAAGTCAATTCCAAGTTTCAACAGTTTTGTCAAATGGTGGAGATTCAGTTTCATGCCAGAATTTAGGTTCTTCATTCTGACAATGGCAGAGAATTTTTTAACCATGACCTTAACCAATTCTTACAAGATCATGACATTATACATCAAAGCTCATGCCCTTACACTCCCCAACAGAAAGGGGTGGCTAAAAGAAAGAACATACACTTATTGGAAGTCATTCATGCCTCTCTCTTTGGTGCCAATATGCCACTCTCTTTTTTAGGAGAAGTTGTTGTCTCTGCAGCATACCTTATCAATCGGATTCCCTCTAGTATCCTAAATTTTCAAACACTTCACCACCATATCCAAACACCTCCCACCCCAAACCTAGAACCCTGGATTTTTGGTTGTGTTGTATTTGTCCACTTACATGATCACCAACGAAGCAAATTGGACTCTCGAGCCGAAAAAATGTGTTTTCATTGGCTATGCGCCTCATTAGAAAGGATATCAGTGTTATCATCCTCCTAGTTAGAAAATCTATACTTCTATGGATGTTGTGTTCAGGGAAAACGACATATATTTTTCAGTTGCACAGGAGGAGCATTGCAACACGAACACTTTAAAATTTTCGATTTTTTTCCTCTAGAATCGTCCTAGCCTGAAAGCGACTGGTCACATGTTGAAAGCGACTGGTCGCATGTTGAAAGCAACCTGTTGTCAATGACTCTACCTAAAAACGACCGATCGCAGCCTGATAATGACCGGTCGCTTATGACTCTGCCAGAAAATGACCGGTCGCAGCTTGGAAGCGACCGATCGCTACTTGATAACCAGCCTCAACCTGATCTATCGTCTCTTTGCTGTCCAACTCAGGAGAAGGAAATTGATGAGATTTTTCCCACTTCGGAGACTTCTTCAGCTCCAGTACCACACCAATCACCTGCTGAGGATGTCATTCAGGAAATATCTTGTCCTAAAACTGATAACATTAACTATCCCATGATAATTTGATTTCAGAAGGCATAGAGACTGCATATCAGATTCCGAAACAGAAGAACCGTGGCAAACCTCCAATACACTATGAAGCAGATCTTAATGCCAAAGGAAAATATCTCATCAACAATTATGTATCCATTAGCGGATTATCAGAGTCACGGGTACACTTTGTGAAATAGTTGGCCAACATACATGTTCCCAACAATGTAACCGAAGCATTAGAAGACCCAAAATGGAAAGAAGCTATGAATGAAGAAATGCGAGCTCTCCAGAAGCATGGCACATGGGAACTCATGTCATTACCTCATGGAAAGAAGACAGTGGGATGCAGGTGAATTTATAATGTGAAACTCAAAGCAGATGGATCCATTAAAAGATATAAAGCTAGATTGGTGGTGAAAGGGGTACACACAAAGATATGAGATAGACTACCAAAAGACCTTTGCTCCAGTAGCCAAGATTAAAACTATTAGAGTCCTTTTGTCTCTGTCTCTAGCAGAAAATCTCGATTGGCCATTACATCATCAGTTTGATGTAAAATTGCATTCTTACATGGAGACTTAGAAGAAGAAGTATATATGGACTTACTACTAGGATGTAACTTAGCTCGTGACAAGGAGAGTCAAGTTTGCAAGCTCAGAAAGTCATTATATGGGTTAAAGCAATCCCCCAGGGCATGGTTTGGCATATTCATTAAATCCATGAAGAATTTTGGATATATACAGAGTAATGCAGATCACATTTTATTCTTGAAACGTGATGGAAGAATACTTACTGCATTAATTGTTTATGTGGATGACATAGTCGTAACTAGAAACGACACAGGAGAGCAGCTGAAACTGCAAAAGTATTTGTCTCAAGAATTTGAGATGAATGATTTAGGTGATTTGAAGTACTTTCTAGGAAGTGAAGTAGCCTGGCCCACAACTTGTATATTTCTGTCTCAAAGAAAGTATGTATTAGATCTACTCACTACAACAGGAATGCTCAGATGCAAACCTGCTGATACACCCATAGAGATGAATCACAAGTTATGTAAAGGCATGGATCAAAAACCAACCAATAAGGAACAGTACCAATGCCTTGTTGGAAGGTTGATGTATTAGCCAACACAAGACCAGATATTGCATATGCTGTGAGTGTGATTAGTCAGTTTATGCATTCACCCAGTGTGTCCTATAGGAATGCAGTTGATCGGATCTTAAGATACTTAAACTCAGCACTTGAGAAATGATTAATGTTCTAAAAAAATAGAGATCTTAAAGATGTTGGATATACATATGCTGATTGGGCTGGCCCCATTACTGATAGACGCTCTACTTCAGGTTACTTTACCTTCTTAGGAGGTAATCTAGTCACTTGGCGGAGTAAAAAAATAAAATGTGGTTTCTCGGTCTAATGCAGAAGCAGAGTATTGAGGAATGGCTCACGGAGTTTGTGAACTACTATGGATCAGAAAACTATTGACAAAATTGGGTTTCAAGCCAGGAAAGCCAACGGAGTTTCATTGTGATAACAAATCAGCCATTGCCATTGCCAATAATCTAGTTCATCATGATCGAACCAAACATGTTGAAGTGGATAAACATTTTATCAAAGAGAAGATTGAAAAGAAGATCATCTGCCTACCATTCGTAAAATCAGAAGATCAATTGGCAGATATCTTAGCAAAAGCTGTTTGTGGCAGAGTATTTCATGACTCACTTACCAAGTTGGGCATTGGTGACATATATACACCAACTTGAGGAGAAATGTTGACGTGAGTCTCCTAATTAATCAAGGAGATTTATTTCTTTGATTAATTAAGGGATTTACTTTCCCATTTTATTTAGTTCACAAATCTTTGTATAATTAGGAGATACTATCCTAATTGATTACTGTATCTATTTCCTTGTAAAGCACTCATGTAAACTCCTATATATACCTCCTTATGGAGAAGAATATAATTCAACCTAATACATTCAAACTATATTCATATTTTAGCAATTGGCACAAAAAGATACCTTTCCCCTATGGGTCTCGTGGAAGAAACCACTCAGATATAATGGTTGATAAGGGAAAGGGAAAAGATTCAGGTCAGAAGATCACTTCAGAAATGGGAAATGCGGTAGCAAACTTGAAAAGTTACGAGTCTTACTCAGTCAAAAGGAAGAGGATAGCACTTGGGATGGTCAAGCTAAGAATACCAAGGAGTTGCAAGAATCAGTTATCAAGAGGAAGAATATTGATCGAAGAATCTTTTCGGAATATCAAAGGGAGCTATGTTGTCTAACTTGAGAAGATATGATGTCTCACTTAGTTCAAAAGGAAATGCAATTGCTTCCTATGGTAAAACTGAGAAAAGGATGGAGGAGTTGCAGAAACCAGATATTAATTTATGTCATCAATGTTTCCCTGTTGAGGAGAATACCACTGTTCTCTCTCCACCAAAGGAATTGCCCCAAAATGGCTTTACAGAGGTACTGGAGCTTTCAAAACCAAGAGCATCACTGGATGAGCGTGTGACAGAAGCTAAAGGGATTAGCTTCTCAGGTGGCTTTTCTACCAAGGAGATGGACTTTGCAGAACTCTGTTATGAAGTTCCACACTCATGCCCACTGCCTTCTGGAGTTGAGTTTAATAAAGTGTTAAACATGATGTCAAGTGGCTCAATTAACAGTAACAGTATGGGGCCTTCCTTTATTCCATCTCACATGCACTCATGCTCAAAAGGAACACAAGACCTGCTATATGATGATAAATTTATAGAGAAGAAAAATTCATAGAAAAAGCTTACCTGTTCAAGTTTTGATACTTCAAAAACATCAGATCAAGAAGAGTTGGCAACTAGAAATGGCAGAAACCCAACTCCCAATCGCCGATTTAGCTTCAACTTAGGTCGGCTGGTAGAAGTTTCAGTTTTAAGGAAAGTTCAGATATTCCACAGTTAAGTTCCATATATGTGACAGCCAAATCAGGTCCTGTGAGATCTAGAACTTCTGATTGTCCAACTAATCCAAACAGAGAGAAGGGAATTAGTCGTAAGCACGTATTTGTCATGTTTAATACACGTATTTTTCACAAAATTTTAAAAAACAATCACAAAATTCACGTATTATTGAGTTAAAATAACATGTATTAAAATAAATGGTAGAGCCGACCGGCTATACTCAGGTTTTTAATTGTTTTTTATCGATCGTATAGCTGGGCGGCTATACTCGTTTATAAATTGTTTTGAAATATATTACAGCCGCACGGCTTTACATTTTTTACACGTGGTGCATTGACATTGGTCTAGTGTAGCGGACCGACTATACTCGTTTTTCCTTTTAAAAAAAATAGTATAGCCGGCCGGCTTTACGGTTTTGACACTTGGCATCTATGCTCTGAGCGTGTCCCTTTTTTTTAAATATATATATATAAATAGTATTGCCGCCGGCTATACTTTTTTAAAAGTAAATTTAATACAGGAAATTTCGCCGGTATAGACCTCTGTCGATGAACTTTCGTCGGGAGAGGTTTTTTTAATTTTTGTTTTAAAATAATTCGAAAATATAAAATTCGTTTCTTTACTTTTGTTTTTTGGCCTACTTCTAGAATTTAATGTATGTAATTCAGTAATATCTTAGCCTTTTTGAATTACTTTAATTAGTAATTATATTTTAATTATTATTTAATAATAATAAAAAACTAAAGAAAAAGTCCACAAAATAATTAATTTGTATTTATTAAGTCTTTTGTGAAATCTTTCGGGTGTCTTAATTAAATTTCTCCATAGCCTAAGGGCCCTATCCATTACTATTAATCAATTACTCGACTATCTATTGTCCTTTTTTGATTTTTACTTTTTTCAGAATATAAAGATTTTAGTACTTTCACGTTTAATAATATATTATATACGTAAGAACATATTTTTTACCACATTTTCCAAAAGACTCACAAAATTCACGTATTATACACATAATGAAACGACCCGACCCAAATTCCACTTTGAGAATCGGGCCTAATCCTGTTTAAGATTGACACCTGGTAACTGTGGGTCATAAAAGACCAAAATACCCTGAAAACAGTAACATAAATTCTGAGCCCCTAACTCGTGGTTGCGCTTGATAACTGTAGGCTGCCTACGTACCCTTTCTGGGGGATCAAGCCACACGTAGTTCTTTCCTCTGTTCTTGACCTGCAACTGGTTCGTTATTTGTAACTGGTTTAATTATCCGTAAAACATACTCTAGGGTTGACATTTCTGGAGTATCCGGGACTCCGTTTTACGATCCGTCAAATACTATACGATCCTGGAAATACCTAGATCAACATACTTGAAATTGACTACGATCCAACGGTTCAAACGTATAGAACCCGGAAATCGCATACTAGGCGAGATCCGTTCGGGGTTCAAACGTTATCCGAATTAAGATCCGCGAAATCCTACGCGCTCGTGAGGACTGGGAGATCATTCTAGGACTGACTGTGGTCCCCACCCTGCTGCCCACGCGCCGCCACACGCGCTGGCAGCGCGTGGTGCCTAAAGCGATAACGCCTCGCCGGAAAATCTCAACATCTCGGTTCAAGACTCCTATCCTAGGTAAAACACCCTATTTGGAACCACTTTTGTTCTTGGACCTACCCCAAAAAGTGGCCGGAAATGGCCGGAACAGGGACCCGAAAGTCTGCTGAAACCTAACTTAAAAATTGAACGATCTACGCTTAAAATCTCTGAAATCCTACCCAACCAGCAGCTAGATCATGGAAAATTGCTAGAAAACCATACCTCACTCGTCCGATTTGGTGACCGGACGACGGAGAACGAGAGCTCGAAAGTTCTGTCAAAAACGGCTGTTTTCGACGGCCGGAGCTACTGCCGGGGGCTGGGATGCGGCGGAACTGAAGGATGGGGTGACGGCGGTCCTAGCCTGACCGGTCTCGTGGCCGGCCGTGGTATGTGGCGGTGCTGGTGGCTTGAAGAAGCCACGGCTGGAGGAGAGAACCGAGGGGGGGGGGCTGGGTCGCAGAGGAGAGAGAGAGATCAGTTTTAAAACATCTGACCTGACAAATTACCATTTTGCCCCTAAACGTATTTTGACCGTATCTCCCTCAATACAACTCGGAATCGAGTGTACTGCATGTCTACGACTCGGATCGTCGCGCTCTACGCAATGATATAACTGAAAGCCCAATTACTTCCTGCTCAAAAAGTCAACTTTTAAACTAATAAAATATTCTGGGGGTATTTTAGTCTTTTTCTCAAATAAATTAATAATTAAATATTAATTTTGAGTTTGGGTTATTACACATAATCCTCACGTATTATTGAATAAAAATGACATGTATTAAAATAAATGGTACCGCTGCACGGCTATACTCAGGTTTTTAATTGCTTTTCAAAAACCGTACAGCCGTGCGGCTATACACGTTTTTAAATTGTTCTGAAACATATTAGAGCCGCACGGCTTTACTGTATGACATGTGGCGCGTTGGCATTGGGTTGATCTTTATAGTATAGCCACCCGGCTATACCGTATTTTTTAATTGTTTTTAATATTAAATAGTATAGCCGTGCGGATATACTCGTTTTTCCTTTCAAAAAACAGTATAGCCGCCCGGCTTTACATTTTTGACATGTGGCACCTATGCGCTAGGTGCACCTTTTTTAATAGGGTAAACTGCCCAAAACCCCCCTGAACTTTAACGCTTGTCAAAATGTTTACCTTGAATTATTTTTTCAGCAAATTTAACGATCATACTATTTTAAATGGCCAATTTAGCCCCTGCCGTTAGTTTCCATGTAGTTTCATCCAATTTTTCGTTAAAAATAATTAAATCTTTAAAAACAAAAAAAACAAAAAAAACAAAAAAAACAAAAAAACAAAAACAAAAAAACCCTAGCAATCAATGTCTTCCCCACCCCATCCCCCAAACCCTCTCTCTGCAATCCCACATCCGCAAGGTTTTTTTAGTGAAAGAGCTGCGGATGTTTTTCCAGTGAAAGAGCAACATCGGAGGTGGAGAAGAAGGAGGACTTGAAGATATACCCACCTCTACAACACTGCCACAGACATTGCTATGTTTTTCTGAGCAAACCAATTTGCAATGTTCTCAAGCAAACCAATTTGGGTTTAGGGATTTCTTCTCCTTCCTCTTTCTGGGTTTTGAGTTTAGAAATTTACAAACAATGGCTTGATGGTCTGCGACAGCAATTGGGTGATTTGAGTTTCAAAAGTTTTGGGCTAAATTGAGTTTCAGGTAAATTGAGTTTTTAGAATTGACAAAAGGGCTTTTGATAAAATAAATCAAAAAGCTATTTGGAGTTTATCTCAGAATTTAGTGGCTTTTTTTTGTGAGAGAGAATTTGGTGGCTTTGCCAAGAATTGTTTGGTTTTGCCAATTTGGTGGTGCGGCAAGCAGTTGGGCCAAGTTTAACTGTGCTGATGATAGGTACATGGATTGATCTGAAGCAACATTTGATTCAGTCGCATTCCATGACGGCAGTGCAGATGAAGAATGATGGTCCCCTGGTTTTCTGCAATGGGTGCGGTGACCCAATGCTTGGGCCTAGCTACAATTGCTAGTGTTGTCTTTGGATATATGGCCCCTTCATTCTCCATAAATCATGTGTCGAGGTACCGGATGGAAGTGTAAAAGCTTGACGGTAGGTGTTAAATTGGCGATAAAATTTATATAAGGGCTAAATTGGCTGAAAAATAATTCATGGTGGACATTTTGACAAGCGTTATAGTCCAAGGGGGTTTTCAGCACTTTACTCTTTTTAATATATATAAATAGTATAGCCGTCCGGCTATACTCTTTATAAAATAAATTTCATCTAGGAAATTTCGCCGGCATAGACTTGTGCCGACGAACTCTCGTCGGGAGAGGCTTTTAATTTTTTAAGAATTTTTGTTTTAAAAAAAATTGAAAATATAAAATTCGTTTCTCAACTTTTATTTTTTGGCATACTTCTTTAATTTTATGTATGCAATTCAGTAATATCTTAGCCTTTTTGAATCACTTTAATTAGTAACTATATTTTAATTATTATTTAATATATAAAAAAACTAAAGAAAAAGTCCACAAAATAATTAATTTCTATTTATTAATTCTTTTGTGAAATCTTTTGGGTGTCATAATTAAATTCCTCCATAGCCTAAGGGCCCTATCCATTACTATTAGGCCATTACTCGACTAGCTATTGTTCTTTTTTGATCTTTTACTTTTTCAGATTATAAAGATTTTAGCAGTTTCACGTTTAATAATGTATTATATACGTAAACACGTATTTCTCATGTTTAATACACGTATTTTTTTCAAAATTTTCAAAAAGACTCACAAAATTCACGTATTATTGAATAAAATAACATGTATTAAAATAAATGGTACAGCCGTATGGCTATACTAAGGTTTTTAATTGTTTTTTTTTAAAATAGTCTAGCCGGGCGGCTATACTCGTTTTGTAATTGTTTTGGAACATATTACAGCCGCACGGCTGTACCTTTTTGACACGGCATTGGTCTGGTCTTTATATATAAGGCTTTTTTTTTTATCACAAATGGTCTTTCACGTTTATGAAATTATCATGAATGGTCATTGAGGTTTTTTTGTGATACTAATAGTCCTTAACATTTGGGATTTTTATCACAAATGGTCCATGACATGGAAGATAAGTGAAACCCACATGTCCAATCACATTGTGACATGTGGATAAAAAGAATAATTAAATAATTTTTTATTTATTTCAAGTTTTCATTTTTGTGGGGAATTGTTAAATTGAAGGTCTGGCCTCTGATCTGAAAGCAGAGTTATCCAAGGAAGCTTTCTTTAATCTGAAGGTCTGGGAAGTAATTGGAATAGTTGTTGCATTATTTATCCTCTCTGTGTTATCAATGTGCCTTACTTCATGTAAGAAATTAAGGAAAGCTAGGGACAAGATTCCCTTTAGTCAAATCCCAACCGTCTCAAAAGAAATTAAGGAAGTTAGCAAGTATCTGCAAGTGAATTTGCTCCTCGTGATGGAATTCTTCTCACCATTCACGACAAATCCAGTGACAAAGAAGCAGACAAGATCATGCTCCGTTTGGGTACGAGGAAAATCGAAAAATGGAGAGAATAGCAGTCAGTCAGGTTCATTTAATCAATTAGAAAACGATGGTGGCCTGTACCAATCTGGATAAGAGGGGAGTTCCAGCACTGTTACAGTGTATAAGGCTTCTTCATCGTATCCAATAATGCCCCGTCTCCTCTAGTTGGCCTGCCTGAATTCTCTCACTTGGGTTGGGGCCACTGGTTTACATTGAGGGACCTTGAGGTGGCAGTGGGAAAGAAAAAAATAGAGGGAGAAGAAGAGGACAGGGAGAAGAGATGGAGAGCAAAGGGTGGAGAGCGAGGGGAGAGGGGGAGAGAGACGAAGTAAGGGGAAGGGGATGAAAGAGAAAAAAAAAAAAAAAAAAAAAAAATGGAATTTTCATTAAAAAAATTATTTAATTATTTCTTATCCACATGTCACAATGTGATTGGACATGTGGGCTCCACTTATCTTCCACGTCACACTTAACGGAATTTATAACGGTAGGGACCATTTGTGATAAAAAGTCAAAACGTTAAGGACTATTAGTGTCACAAAAAAACTTCAATGACCATTCGTGATAATTTCATAAACGTGAAGGACCATTTGTGATAAAAAACCTATATATAAATAGGCTATACTCGATTTTTTGAATTTTTTTATATTAAATAGTATAGCCGTATGGCTATATTAAATAGTATGACAAGAATATTACAATGATTAGCTATAACTAATCAAGCTTAAGACTAACTAAACATAAAAGAATTAGTTATGGTAGTTATGAGCTAAAATATTCTGTTATTATGTTTATGGCCTCTACAAATCGATCTTGAGGAATTATTCATTAATAACATAAATAAAATGGGCCATTATCCACCACCCACTAACACTTTGAGCCAGGTTTTGTCAACATATTACAACCAACTAATTCAAAATAAAACAACCTTATATTTCAATGCAAACAAATACAAGATGAATCAAATAACACAACAAATTCTAATGAAAACTAGCTGTGCTGTTGCAAACGCCGAATGTATTCGATGAGCTGCTCCAAGTTGTTGTGGGACGATCCGCCTTTCACAACACTGTTTCGAACCAATTTCGAAATGGTGTCAACTACGAAACCCAAACCCACTATGTAACCCTCTTTCTTTCGGATCCATTTCAAGCTCTGCGGGTATTTGGTGGGCCCAAGATGTGATGTGGATCTTATGACCCGCATGAATGGGTATCCGTTATTGACCACTCTATCACCTGGGCATATTAAAAGTAGCGTACAATTTTAGGGGGTAAATTGATAGTTAACCCTTCTTATTAATCTAACCAACTATCAAAGCCCACTTTTTCTTTAGGTTATTCACACATTAAGGGCCAGTTTGGCATTGCTGTGCTTTGAAAATAATCGCTGTCAAATTTGCTGTGAGAGAAATGTTAATGTATGGTTTTTACTAATTTCTTTTGGCTTCCCTTGACAACTTTGTAATAGGATGTGTAATGTAATTTATCAAGCTCAAGTCTAGATTAGGGAAAACATTTATTGGTGCTCTTCTCTATTCTCTGCTCTATGGTGGCTCAAGCAAGTTGACAAAGGTATTGAGCATTGCATATCATTACATAAAACTGTTTTCATAAAAAGATGACTAGTCAACCGTTTCTCATATGACTAGTCATCCTTGCCTCCAGCTGGATAACAAACTGTTTTGTCCTATTCTTCTTTCTCTCTCTCTGCTGTCAAGTGGGTTTGGCTGACCTAACGATTTGGTTGGCTGTATAACCCACGATATTTCTGATTTGCTGTTGTCTCTTTTCGGGTGGAAGTTTTGGAAAGTTTGGCTTGCCATCTTTCGCTTCTTCTTCCACGAGAGAACCATTATTTCATCTATGAGTTTTTCCAATTGATTTCTTTTTGAAAAACTGCATTTGAAACACGAATCTGCATCTAGCTATTTAAATCATTCTATCATTTATATCTAGGTCGGATTCAAGATTGATTTCTTCAAGAGTATGGTTTCTTGAAGAAATTGATCTTTCTCCTTTGAATCCAAATTGGTTTCGGTTTGTGTTGGAGCTTGCAAGCTAGTGCCATGGGATGAACGAGCTGGAGAAGGAGCTGCCATTGCCATGAAGGACTGAGCTTCAAGCTTTGCTAAGTTGGAGAAGAAGATTGCACAAAGGAGGTATTGCTCATATTCCTAAATAGACCTAGGTGCTTCTTGAGCTTGGTTGTGTTTCCTTTGTAAGAATCTTTTTCTACTTAGTGGATTGCCTGGTCGGTTGATGACTCCCAGTTTTTCCCAATGGTGGGTTTCTGGGTGAACAAAATCTGTTTTGCATATCTGTAATTTTTCTGGGTTTGTGTTCTTGGTGGTTGACTAGTCATCTGTATCTGCTGTTTGATGTTTACATGATAATGATGTTTTCACACACTTTCACCATAGTTGTTGCTAGCACAGGGGATGCCTAGATTGATGGGTCCTTCTGAGTGCATAGGTTGTCACTAGTAATCTTCTAGGATTGCAGGTACATTGTGGCATGCTCTGTGTATTCTATTGGTTGTGATTGTTTCTTGACTAGTAGTTGACTAGTCATATGTGTATTTGGTCAAGGTTTAAAGTGTGTGAAGCTAGCTGTGTTGTTGTGTCTTGTTTATGTGATTAAGTTTACCCCTCGTCACCTAAGTATCATTTTCAATTGGTATCAGAGCGTCAGCTCTTAACAAAAATAGAGAGATCCTAGGATTTGTTTTGGTGTTTAGGTGTGCTCACTATGGAAAGGGATCGAGTTGCTGGATCTTGCAACTCCCCTCCCTATTTTGACGGCAATAACTATGCTGCATGGAGAGAAAAATTTGAGATATTCCTTGATGCTCTTGATGAGTATGCAAGTGGGTATCTCACAAAAGAGTGGGTTGCTCCGGTCAAGACTGTTGAGGGTGAACTTGTGTCCAAGCCTAGGTCAGAATGGACTGAAGCTGAGGTGTTTGCTGCATATTCGAACAAGAAGGCCAGAAATGCCTTAGTTACAGCTTTGTCTAGCACACAATTTGCACATATACAACACATCCCTAATGCTAAACAAGCTTGGGATAAACTAAGGGTAGTTCATGAAGGGGATGACCAAGTTAGAACCCTAAAACTTCAGATGGTGCTTGCACAATTTGAAGAACTTAGAATGTCTGAATCTGAGTCCATTTCTGAGTTCTATGGAAGAGTTGAGATGATCACAAATGAAGCCATGAGTCTAGGTCAACCCATTGAAGAGCTTCTTGTTGTTCAGAAAATTCTTCGTGTTCTACCATCTAGGTTTAGAGCAAAGAAAACCGCAATCATGGAGGTCCAAAATTTAAATGAAATTAAGCTTGGCAAGCTTGTAGGAAAATTGAAAACCTATGAGATGGAATTGAATATGGAAGAGAATGACTCCAAAAAATCAAAAAATGTTGCACTTCAAGGAGTGCATGTTTCGTCTCCGAAAGGTGGTGATAAATCCTCAGGTTTTGAGGATGAGATGGCTTTGTTTGTCAAAAAATTTAGGAGAATTCTTAAGGATAAGGGAAAGTTTGCTAGAGACGGCAGCTCTGGTAGTGAGAAAAATTTTAGACCATCAACTGATCGGTTTAATGAGAGGAATAAGGATGTCAAACCTTTCACGAAAGATTTTAGAAAATCTGTCAAGTGCTTCACATGTGGAGGCATTGGGCACTATGCTGCTGACTGTGCAAACAATCAGAAAAAAATACTCCAAAGGAAAGGACAAGGCCATGAAAGTGAGCTGGAGTGAGAGTGAAAGTGAAGGCTCTCAAGATGATTCATCTTCCTCTGATGATGATGACCAACATGTTGCCTTTGTTGCCTCTGTACAGCCCATGTCTGATGAATCTGATTCTGAGTCAGATGACCTGTCATACGAGTCATTAGGAAGAAAATATGATTGTTTGTTTAAAGAGACCTTGTCCTTGAAAGAAGAGAGCCTCAAACTTGAGGCAAATAAACAAGATCTTCAAAATGAAATTCTCATCTTAAAAGAAACCAAAAAGGAGTTGAGTGACAAATTTGAGTCTCTAGAAAAAGAAATTGATGCTCTTGTGTCAATTAGGAGTAACCTCGAAAACCAAGTTAATGTGCTCAAGGAAAGTAACATTGGTTTCCAAAACTCAAACAAACAGCTCCTAGGTGAATTGAATGAAGCAAATAGGAAGATTATATCTATGACCATTGGTGCATCAAAAATTGACAAAATGTTGAATATGGGAAAACTTCATGGGGACAAAGGTGGTCTTGGATTTAATCACTTTGGTTCTAGTTTGTCTAGTTCTACCACTAAGTTTGTCAAATCAGAAAATCCAGTCACGATTCCTCTTGATGTTCAGCAGGTTGTCAAGAAACCTAAGTTTGTTCCAACTTGTCACAGGTGTGGGTTGACTGGTCATATTCGACCAGTCTGTCATATGTATAGCAAAGATAAGACCAGAAAATTGTCTCCAAAATCTAAAAGGAATCCCAGATCTTTGCAAGATCAAGTTGATCATTTGCTGAATGAGGTCACTAAGATAGCCAAACTTGTCTCCCTCAAAATGAGTTCCCTATTGTGCCTAAGTCTACTTGGATTGCAAGAGGTCATACCAAATCTCTTGTTGTGCTAAATGCTTTTGCTGCTTCAAATATCAACTCTTGGTATTTTGATAGTGGTTGTTCCAAACATATGTCTGGAGATAAAAATGTTTTCTCATCTCTCAGCCCCTTTGATGGAGGCACTGTGACTTTTGGTGGAGGTCATAGATCTCAAGTTGTTGGAAAAGGTACTGTTTGTATCCCTGGTCTGCCCGAGCTTAAGAATGTTAGATTTGTTGAGGGTCTCACATCCAATCTCATTAGTGTGAGTCAGCTGTGTGATGATGGAATAGTAGAAGTCAGATTCTCCAAGCATGGCTGCAAAATCATTGGAAAAGGTGGAAATGAGATTGTGAGCGTGGCAAGGTCTAGGGACAATTGCTTCTGCATTGATGGTGTCAACGATGCAAAAGAAATTGTTTGCAACAAGGTTGTAAATGAAACAAGTATTTTGTGGCATCAAAGGCTTGGACATGTTAATTTTAGAGACTTGCATAAGTTGTCCAAGAGAGAGCTAGTAAGTGGCTTACCAAAGCTGGGAAAAATCTGATGAGCATGTTTGTGAAGGATGTCAATTAGGCAAACAGGTCAGAGTGTCACACAAAAAGGTCAAACACATTCAAACAAATGTAATTCTAGAACTTGTTCACATGGACCTTGTTGGTCCTATTCAAACCGTGTCCCTTGGTGGAAAGAAATATATTCTTGTCATGGTTGATGATTTCTCTAGGTTTACTTGGGTCTCATTTCTACGTGAAAATCTGAAACTTTTCAAAGGTTTAAGTCTGTTTGTCATCTTTTGCAAAAAGAGAAGATGACTAGTCATCTGCCTCTTGTTAGAATTAGAACAGACCATGGCTCTGAATTTGAGAATTCTCAGTTTCTGAAATTTTGCGAAGAGATGGGAATTAAACATGAGTTCTCTGCACCTATTACACCTCAGCAAAATGGTGTTGTGGAGAGAAAGAATAGAGTGCTTGTAGAGATGGCAAGGGTGATGCTAAATAGCAAAAATCTTGCTAAACACTTTTGGGCTGAAGCTGTCAATACAGCTTGTTACATCTCAAACAGGGTATTTGTGAGGTCTGGTACCAAACAAACTCCCTATGAGATTTGGAAAGGAAAGAAGCCTAATGTGTCATATTTTAAGGTCTTTGGTAGCACATGCTATATTTTGAGAGATAGGGAGCATCTTGCTAAGTTTGATTCTAAGTGTGATAAGGGAATCTTTCTAGGATATTCCACTTCTAGCCGAGCCTATAGAGTGTACAATTGTAGGTCCAGAACCATCATTGAATCCATAAATGTCACTATTGATGATTTTGCTGCCTCTATAGAGATGGCATTAGATGAGGATGGTCTTTTCCTCCTCCTCCACTTGTGCAAGAATCTCCAGGTCTGGATCTTGTGGTTGACCTGTCAACTTTTGAAAATTCTGTCCCGGTTGACCTGTCAAACCCCTTCAACTTCTAGTTCCATCTCCTCTGTCCAGGCTGACAGCTCTCATACTGATCATAGTTCTCTCACTCCATCTGCGAGTGTCATTATTGGCCCTCTTAATCAAGGAGTGAGAACTAGGAAACAACTTGCTCAAGAAATTAGCCATGTGTGTTATGTTTCCAAGGAAGAGCCTAGAAATGTGAAAGAAGCCTTGCACCATGGTGAATGGTTTCTTGCAATGCAGGAAGAATTAAATCAATTTGTGAGAAATGATGTTTGGTACCTTGTTCCAAGACCAGTCCACACTAATGTCATAGGCACTAAGTGGATTTTCAAGAATAAAAACCGATGAACAAGGTAATGTGGTGAGAAATAAGGCTAGATTGGTTGCTCAAGGATACACTCAAATGGAAGGCATTGACTTTGATGAAACTTTTGCCCCTGTTGCACGATTAGAATCAGTTAGATTGCTTCTTGCCATTGCTTGTCATTTGAAATTTAAACTTTATCAAATGGATGTCAAAACTGCCTTTTTAAATGGTGTCCTAAATGAAGAGGTCTATGTTGAGCAGCCAAAGGGTTTTGAAGATCCACATCATCCAAATGATGTGTTTCGTTTAAAAAAGGCTCTCTATGGTTTAAAACAAGCTCCTAGAGCATGGTATGAGAGGTTATCCTCTCATCTTCTAGGAAATGGGTATGTTCGAGGGTCCGTTGATAAAACATTGTTTGTGAAAAGGTTTAAAAAGGATGTCTTGATTGCTCAAGTGTATGTTGATGATATTGTGGTTGGTTCTACATCTGATTTGCATGTTCAAGATTTTATTCATGTCATGACTAGTGAATTTGAAATGAGTCTTGTCGGTGAGCTTAATTATTTCTTAGGTCTCCAAATTAAACAGAGCCATGATGGGATCTTTGTATCCCAATCTAAATATGCAAAAAATCTTGTGACAAAATTTGGTTTGGAAGGAGCCAAATCTGCAAGAACTCCAATGAGCACTAGTGCTAAGATTCATAGAGACTTGCATGGCAAAAGTGTGGATCAAACTCTCTATAGAAGCATGATAGGAAGTCTTCTCTACTTGACTGCTAGTAGACCTGACATTTCCTTTAGTGTTGGTGTATGTGCTCGGTTTCAAAGTGACCCAAAGAGTCTCACTTGTTTGCTGTTAAGAGAATTATAAAATATGTGAGTGGGACTAGTGAATTTGGGTTGTGGTATACCTATGACACTTGTGTCAATCTTGTTGGGGTATAGTGATGCCGATTGGGGCAGGTTGTAGTGATGATAGGAAAAGCACTTCCGGGGGGGTTTTCTATGTAGGCAACAATCTTGTTGCTTGGCATAGCAAAAAACAGAATTCTGTCTCCTTATCCACTGCTGAAGCAGAGTATGTTGCCGCTGGGAGTTGTTGTACTCAACTCCTTTGGATGCGACAAATGTTGGAAGACTATGGTCTTGCTCAATCATGTTTTCTAATCTATTGTGACAACATGAGTGCCATAGATATTTCAAAAAATCCTGTTCAACACTCTAGGACAAAGCATATCGACATTCGGCACCATTTTATTAGAGACCTTGTGGAAGACAAAATTTTAACTTTGGAATTTGTTCCCTCTGAAAAACAGCTAGCAGATATACTCACCAAGGCCTTGGGACTTTCAGAAACATGGTACACTAAGGCAATCCATTGGCCTTTGTTCCATTGATTGATTAGCTAGTCTGCTCCTTGTCTTCAGCACACTTCCAAACAGTTGACTAGTCATCTTGCTTGTAAGTTGCCTAGTCCACTATGTTACTGTTCATATCACTCATCTCTGCTGGTGTGCATGCTGAATGTTTTTGTGCTTTGTTTGACTTGTGCATAATCCCTTTTTCTTGTTTTTGAGCTGTTAGTTGAGACCAAAATCTTGCTATCTTGTCCTCTTGGTGAGCCATGTATCTCGGCTTCATTTGGGACTGTTCTTGTTATTCTCTCTTAGCTGGTCTCACTCTCTTTGCCAATCTATTTCAAATTTTAACAAAAAAAAAAAAACAAAAAAAAAAAAAAAAAAAAAAAAAGGGAAGTGTGACCAATGTAGTCACGGCTCTAGGAAGGTATAAGGTGGTTTGATTGAAGAATCTAGAGCAAAGAGCCGTAAAATGGGGCCATTCTAAGCACTTATGTTCGGGATGTGCAAGTACCACAACTCAATCATCAAATATTTTGTCCATAGAGAGTGTTGATTTTTGCTGTGAGCCCATACTATGATCATGTCTTAAGAATGCAGTGTATACGTGTCTCTCCAAGAGAGATTAGATTTCATCTCTTGTGTCCCTTGGCTCTAAACCTCCTTCTTTCCTAAATATGCCTTGTCTCTGAGCATGAATTGCATCTCATTGCGTGTATCTCAGAGTTGTTGTCTATGTACACTGCATATGTCTTTAAACTATTCCTCTTTTTCATCTCTTTTCTTCATGTGTTGTAGACTTGGTTTAGACTATTGTGCTCATGCCACCTTGGTCACTTGATATATGTGCTGGTTCATGCTTAAAATTTAAAAATAACGAAATAAAAAATAACCAAAATCATGTCTTTCACAGGGTCGATATTATTTGGTGTGTGTCATAATGCTGGTTTAGTTGACTGGTCATCATATTTGTGGTTGCCTAGTCATCATATTTGTGGTTGACTAGTCATCCGTCTCTGCCTGTGCCACTTTTGCCTGGGTTGACTAGTCATCTTGCTTGTGGTTGACTAGTCATCTGCTTTGTTCCCTAACCAATGCGTCCTTTTTCCATTTCTCGTGCTTTGCCTGTGCCAATTTTGCCTGGGTTGACTAGTCATCTTGCTTATGGTTGACTAGTCATCCGCTTTGTTTCCTAAACATTGCGTCTTTTTCATTTTTCGTTTTGGCGGTTATTTTTTCCATTTTTGGTTCTGAGCGGTTCTTTTTTTTAGGTCGTGTCGTTTGCGCCTTTCTCCTTTTTAGGTCTTTATTTTCCCTTCTTCGTCACTTTCGCTTGTCTCTTCCCTCTCACTCTGTTCTGGTCTTTTCGCCCCCTTCTTCCATTTGTTTTCTCTTCCAAATTCCTTCCCGCTGCTGACCATGTCTTCCTCCGAGCCTCTCCACACTTACCACCGTCGCTCCAAATCAAAATCCACTGACAGGGTGGATTTCAATCCGTCAATTCCTAGGGTTCCTCGAACCCGTTCTTCTTCCTCTGTTCCTGTTGGCGATTCTTCTCCTTTTGTGTCTAATGAGGCTGCCTCCTTCTTTAATGAGGTTGTCTCAAAGAGAAAATTCATTCCTGAGAGGACTTACCAGTTTGATGCAGTTCCCTTGGCGGCTCAGGAGTCTGCAAATCAGATTTTGGAGCACTACCACCTTCAAGCCCTAAATTCTCTCTCTAGTAAGTTTAACATCCCTGTTGTTCAAGAATTTTACTCTAACTTTCCTGCTGACCCTAAGGAGTCCAAGTATCAGATTTTGGTTAGGTCAGTACCCATTACTCTGAAACCATCTGTTATCAATCGGGTCTTAGGTTTTCGATCATGCCCTGGTTTTGATTTTGCAAAATTTGCTCTTGCTTCTGCTGAATACTCTGTTGATCTTTTAAATCCATGGCATACACTGATCAATCCTTGCCTTTGACCTCTAAAGGTCTGCCTATCAAGTCTTACCTGTCCCCTTTTTATAAATTTTTGTGGGATTTTATCCGTCATAATGTTCTCCCCACTGGGAACAATTCTAATCCCACTCTTGCTGCCTGCCAACTCATGATATCCATGGTGAATCATGATAAAATTCCCCTTGGTGATATCCTATATAATGCCATTCTTGGGAAAACCATTGGTCATGGTACCAAGCACAAGGGGACTCTTGTGTTCCCCTGTCTGATTCAGCGCCTTTGTGAGAAAAATGGGGTGGCATTTCTTGATTCCGATCAGTGGCATCCCCCCATGGTCCTTATGGCAAGGCCTCTGCTGCCCTTAGCCAGAGAGTTTCCAGGACCTTTCTCACTTCTGTGTCGTCTTCCTCTGAGAATGCCTCTCTCAGAGCTCAGCTGGCTGCCAAGGAGGAGTATATCCAACATCTTTTGACCCTCATTCCATCCACTTCGATTCCTGCACCTGCTGCTGCTGCTGCCACTGCAGATCCTCAGCCTGCTTCTGCCACTGATGAGGACTCGGATGACTCTGTGGATTCTGGTGGCTCTTTGATCTTTTAGCTTGGTGTTCTCTTGGCTGTGTCCTAGATAGGAAGATTAAGTCTAGATAGGTTGTGCATTTTGAAAAGGGGAGGTGTTTTGTAATCTCATTGTGAGTAGTCTGTGCATTTTGCTAGGAGGGATTGTTTTTGTAACCACATTATGGGTAGTCTATGCATTGTGATAGGGGGAGTTGTTCTGTCCTATTTGAACAACTGGTATTTGACTAGTCATAACTCTATGGTCTGTACTGTTTTTAAACTATTGTTGGTTGACTAGTCATCCATCTATGAACATGTGCTGTTATCCTTGTTCCTATATGCCTATCACTTTGTGGTTAATCCCTTTATCTGTTGTTTCTATCTCTCTGCCTTTTTGCACTTTCCTTATCAACAAGGGGGAGAACACTCTCAACCCCACATCGCATATCGTTTTTAAAAAATTTCTGTGATAATATGCTTGTTTTTGTGCTGGGAAGATTGGTTGTTCTTGCAGGTACCCTCACTTCATCATCTCCTTAGTCTCGGTTTTGGGTTGAGTGTTCTTAGAGAGTGTGTTGCCAAGGAAAGCCAAAAAGGGGGAGATTGTTAATGTATGGTTTTTACTAATTTCTTTTGGCTTCCCTTGACAACTTTGTAATAGGATGTGTAATGTAATTTATCAAGCTCAAGTCTAGATTAGGGAAAACATTTATTGGTGCTCTTCTCTATTCTCTGCTCTATGGTGGCTCAAGCAAGTTGACAAAGGTATTGAGCATTGCATATCATTACATAAAACTGTTTTCATAAAAAGATGACTAGTCAACCGTTTCTCATATGACTAGTCATCCTTGCCTCCAGCTGGATAACAAACTGTTTTGTCCTATTCTTCTTTCTCTCTCTCTGCTGTCAAGTGGGTTTGGCTGACCTAACGATTTGGTTGGCTGTATAACCCACGATATTTCTGATTTGCTGTTGTCTCTTTTCGGGTGGAAGTTTTGGAAAGTTTGGCTTGCCATCTTTCGCTTCTTCTTCCACGAGAGAACCATTATTTCATCTATGAGTTTTTCCAATTGATTTCTTTTTGAAAAACTGCATTTGAAACACGAATCTGCATCTAGCTATTTAAATCATTCTATCATTTATATCTAGGTCGGATTCAAGATTGATTTCTTCAAGAGTATGGTTTCTTGAAGAAATTGATCTTTCTCCTTTGAATCCAAATTGGTTTCGGTTTGTGTTGGAGCTTGCAAGCTAGTGCCATGGGATGAACGAGCTGGAGAAGGAGCTGCCATTGCCATGAAGGACTGAGCTTCAAGCTTTGCTAAGTTGGAGAAGAAGATTGCACAAAGGAGGTATTGCTCATATTCCTAAATAGACCTAGGTGCTTCTTGAGCTTGGTTGTGTTTCCTTTGTAAGAATCTTTTTCTACTTAGTGGATTGCCTGGTCGGTTGATGACTCCCAGTTTTTCCCAATGGTGGGTTTCTGGGTGAACAAAATCTGTTTTGCATATCTGTAATTTTTCTGGGTTTGTGTTCTTGGTGGTTGACTAGTCATCTGTATCTGCTGTTTGATGTTTACATGATAATGATGTTTTCACACACTTTCACCATAGTTGTTGCTAGCACAGGGGATGCCTAGATTGATGGGTCCTTCTGAGTGCATAGGTTGTCACTAGTAATCTTCTAGGATTGCAGGTACATTGTGGCATGCTCTGTGTATTCTATTGGTTGTGATTGTTTCTTGACTAGTAGTTGACTAGTCATATGTGTATTTGGTCAAGGTTTAAAGTGTGTGAAGCTAGCTGTGTTGTTGTGTCTTGTTTATGTGATTAAGTTTACCCCTCGTCACCTAAGTATCATTTTCAAGAAATCAGCTGTGAAAGAAAGAAGTTTGGCGTTTGGTAAAATTTTTGTTAGAAGTGTTGTTGGTATTGATTTTACGTATAATCAGAAAATGATTGCTGCATAATCATTAAACCCAACATCTCTTCGAAACTGATTCTTGCATAATCAGAAAATGAAAGCACCTCATTAGCTGCTTTCCCTTATAGCTTTATCTCACAGCAATTTTAACAATAAGTGATTTTTTTGCAGTTTACCAAACGGGTTGGGCTTCTCAAAATTTTTAAAAAATCACTTATCACCCCAAATAAGCAATGTCAAACTGGCACTAAGATTAATTACATAAGTCATGAAGGAAAATTTGAAACTAAACATTCATTTGGTTGAAAACGAATATTATTTCAATCTAACGAGTTATTCAATTCAATTCAATTTTAGACAGCAAATGTGAACTTTGTAGAATATACTCTTTTATATATACGTTACAAGGTTATTGATTGTGAGGCTGGAAATATGGAATATGGAATAAAAAAACTCTAATTGCAATGACTTTGGTATATATGCTTGACAATTGACATAAAACAAAAAAAAATAATCCAACACTTGGTGATTGTGGGGGATTGTCGGAATTTTCATAAAAAAATATGAACAACTCTTGTCGTGGTAAAAACAAAACAATATTTTTTTTTTTTTTTTTTTTTTTTTTTTTTACCTACCTTACTTTGCATACCCTTTTATTTTTGTGGGAAAAGAGCTCGATTTGACCCCTTGTATGCATGTATCACTTCACTTGTGGATGAAAATTTTGGGATTTGGATTTTTTTGGGATTGTTTATTCAAGAAGTAATGATACATATATACTAAGCACACACGAACAAGACATATAAACTTAAGCAATCTACTTGATACACAATTTATTTTATTAGGTCTTCAATAAGTTTCTCCACGTTGTTGTACGAAGTACGAGCCAGCTTCACAAACAGCATTCTGAGCCAATTTTGCGAACCTCTCCACAGACTTGGGAATGTGCTCACTTGCATGATCTTCCCTCAAAGCCCTTACATCAGACTTATCCTTCCAAACCTCATCACCAAATAACACAACAAATTATTCCAATGAAAAGTGAAATATATAGTATCACCAGCTAGCTAGCTAGCTAGTTCTGGTGTTGCAAATTTCTAATGTATTCGATCAGCTGCTCCAAGTTGTTGTGAGAAGATCCACCTTCGGCAACACTGTCACGAGCCAATTTCGAAATGGCATCCATGGAGCTCTGGATCTCCTCCCTTTTGGGTCCCATCAAAGTTTGAACCATGCCCTCAATGTTGGACCGGTCACAATTTTCATTCAATTGGAGACCAATCTTCCACTGCCGGCAAACAGTTCTGCTAATAATATAATGGTCCCCCAAATTCGGCCAACAGATCATGGGCAGCCCGGCCACAATGCTTTCAAGCGTCGAGTTCCACCCACTGTGGGTCAAAAACCCACCTACCGATTTGTGGGCCAGCACCTCCTCCTGCGAAACCCAATCCACTATGTACCCTCTTTCTTTTGTACCCTTTTCCAGCTCCGCGGGAATTTGGTGGTCCCCAGATGTGATGTCGGACCTCATGACCCACAAGAACGGGTGTCCACTGTTGACCAGGCCGTACCAAAACTCTATCACTTGGGCACGTGTCAAGTGGACCAAAGTCCCGAAGCTGACATAGATAACCGATTTGAAAGGCTGGGAGTCAAGCCATGTCATGCAGTTTAGGTCGCTTTTCCAAAGAGAGCCGTGGGATGCTAGACCTCGAGACATGTCACCTATTTGGGAGTTGAGGAGAGCGTGGAGTGGTCCAAGGGTGTAAATCTTGGGAAACGTGAGGGCCATGTGGGAAATGCAAGAGGCATCAAGCTCATAAACTGTGTCGAGAATGAGAGCCGAGGCTCGTTTTAGGGTTTGGGTCTCGTTGATAGCAAATTGAAGAGATGGGTGGTCAGCTGTTTGACTCGGCAAAAACCTGGCAAGTCTTGGCGATGAGGCCTAATGGACGTCTTCAACGCAGTCAACAAATGGCTACTTGGGGTACGGGGTTCATCCTCGGGGAGGCCATCGGAGATGGACTCGAAATGGAGGGTGGGGAAATGAGTCAAGAGGGCTTGGCGGTTGGCCAAGCGCTGGTGGTTGTGGTGAGTGTTGACATAGGTGACATGAAGGCCTGCATGGCAGAGAAGCTCGGCTAAGCATAGCAAGGGCTTCATGTGACCTTGGAGTGGGAAGGGAAAGATGACTACGTGAGGTTGCTTCATTGCCATTGGGTTAATATTTTAGCTAGGTTTTCTTGCTCTCAGGGCTTTCTTAATTGTAAGGTTATATCAACCTATTACAGAAGGGGTGGGTATATATAGAATCTGGAGATGGCATATAAAATTGCACGACGTGGGAAATGTAAACATAAACTAAGATGCCAATATAAGTCGTGCATACGTACCTTGAAATAAAAACAACTTCAAAAAATAAAAATAAAAGGTTCAAGGAAGGTGGTGGCCACCTCACATATGATATATAGTAGTTAAAGTGCACTACCATTTAACACATAATAAATTAGATACGATAATAACTCATGGCACACAGGCCCAAAAACAAAACAAGAAAAAAGATACTGTATCTCAGCTATTTTTCTCATCCAATGAAATTCAAGAAGAAAAAAAAAAAAAAAAGCGAGCTAAAAAGAAAAAAAACACACTAAGAACAGAGATTAGCTTATACAATGATGAATGATGAGAAGCTGGGAATTTATACGCAATGTTGCACAAAATTGGAAGTAATAGTCAATATGAAGAAATGACACAAAATTGAGTTTAACGTTGTTTTCGAAGTCAACCGATATGTAGGTAAGATCCAGCTACTCTTAATTGACGGAATATTTTTTTAAATGAAAAAAATTCTTTCAGAATATATCGTATCGAAAGCCTCGAACCTACATTACCTATAAATATTGTGGAAAATATAAAATACAATAGTATAAACATGTGAACATATATAATGAGTAAAATAACAAAGGAATTAAGATATTCTTCGTTTAAGTTGGCCTCTCTGAAAAACAATTCTCAATAATGTAATTGTTTTTGTCGTTTGCCAAAAGTCTCAATCAACACATACAAGTTGGTCCCTGAAAATCTCCACGCTTCATCTCCATCTAGCGAACTATGGAACTATCGAAAACCGATTCTTTCTATACATTATTCATACAATTAAGATCAATTACATAAGTCATGAAGGAAAATTTTAAAGTAGCATTCATTTCTTATTGAACAAATCTTCAATCTAGTGAGTTTATTCAATTCAATTTAATCTTCGATACCAACATGAACTATGGAATTTATATATGTTACAAGCTTATTGATGTGAGGTTGCAAGACTGGATTGTTTAAGCTATGTCATAAATTTATGAGATATATAGTCATATACCCAATCTTAGCACACAAAATATAAATAAACCCACATCATTTAATTTCTATAAACAAACAACAAAAAAATAATAGTTGGCTTTATTTAATTTAATTTTGATTATTAAATACTTTTATGCCCTATTGGGTGTTTTGAGTTTTTTTTTTATGAGCTAAGAGCCATCGTGTCCTGTTCCCATTAAGTTCAAATTAGAGTTTGGTTCCATTTCCTTGTTTATTGATGTTTGGGGACCTGCTAAAATTGCCACTCCGGCAGGGGCGCGATAGTTTGTTACGTTTATAGATTATTGCACACGCATGACTTGGGTTTCCCTTCTCAAAACAAAGGGGAAGTCAATTCCAAGTTTCAACAGTTTTGTCAAATGGTGGAGATTCAGTTTCATGCCAGAATTTAGGTTCTTCTTTTGACAATGGTGGAGAATTTTTAACCATGATCTTAACCAGTTCTTACAAGATCATGCATTATACCAAAGCTCATGCCCTTACACTCCCCAACAGAATGGGGTGGCTGAAAGAAAGAACATACACTTATTGGAAGTCATTCGTGCATCTCTCTTTGGTGCCATATGCCACGATCTTTTTTCGGAGAAGTTGTTGTCTCTGCAGCATACCTTATCAATCGGATTCCCTCTAGTATCCTAAATTTTCAAACATTTCACCACCATATCCAAACACCTAACACCCCAAACCTGGAACCCTAGATTTTTGGTTGTGCTGTATTTGTCCACTTACATGATCACCAACGAAGCAAATTGGACTCTCGAGCCGAAAAATGTGTTTTCATTGGCTATGCACCTCATCAGAAAGGATATCGGTGTTATCATCCTCCTAGTCATAAATCTATACTTCTATGGATGTTGTGTTCTGGGAAAACAACATATATTTTTCAGCTGCATAGGAGGAGCATTGCAACACCATCACTTTAAAATTTTTGATTTTTTTCCTATAGAATCGTCCTAGCCTGAAAGCGACCGGTCACATGTTGAAAGCGACCGGTCGCATGTTGAAAGCAACCTGTTGTCAATGACTCTACCTAAAAATGACCGATTGCAGCCTGGTAACGACCGGTCGCTTATGACTCTGCAAGAAAACGACCGTCGCAGCTTGGAAGCGACCGGTCGCTACCTGAAAACCAGCCTCAACCTGATATGTCGTCTCTTTGCTGTCCAACTCAGGAGAAAGAAACTGATGGGATTTTTCCCACTCCGGGGACTTCTTCAGCTCCAGTACCACACCAATCACCTGGTGAGGATGTCATTCAGGTACTACCTTGTCCTGAAACAGATAACATTAATTAACTATCCCATGATAATTTGATTTCAGAAGGCATAGAGCCTGCATATCAATTCCAAAACAGAAGAACCGTGGCAAACCTCTAATACACTACAAAGCGGATCTTAATGTCAAAGGAAAATATCTCATCAACAATTATGTATCCATTAGCATATTATCAGAGTCACGGGTACACTTTGTGAAATAGTTGGTTGACATACATGTTCCCAACAATGTAACCGAAGCATTAGAAGACCCAAAATGGAAAGAAGCTATGAATGAAGAAATGCGAGCTCTCCAGAAGCATGGCACATGGGAACTCGTGCCATTACCTCATGGAAAGAAGGCAGTGGGATGCAGGTGAATTTATAATGTGAAATTCAAAGCAAATGGATCCATTAAAAGATATAAAGCTAGATTGGTGGTGAAGGGGTACACACAAAGATATGAGATAGAATACCAAGAGACCTTTGCCCCAGTAGCCAAGATTAAAACTATCAAAGTCCTTCTGTCTCTGTCTCTAGCAGCAAATCTCGATTGGCTATTACATTAGTTTGATGTAAAATTGCATTCTTACATGGAGACTTAGAAGAAGAAGTATATATGGACTTACCACTAACTTAGCTCGTGACAAGGAGAGTCAAGTTTGCAAGCTCAGAAAGTCATTATATGGGTTAAAGCAATCCCCCAGGGCATGGTTTGGCATATTCATTAATCCATGAAGAATTTTGGATATATACAGAGTAATGCTGATCACATTTTATTCTTGAAACGTGATGGAAGAATACTTACTGCATTAATTGTTTATGTGGATGACATAGTCGTAACTAGAAACGACACAGGAGAGCAACTGAAACTGCAAAAGTATTTGTCTCGGGAATTTGAGATGAATGATTTAGGTTATTTGAAGTACTTTCTAGGAAGTGAAGTAGCCTGGCCCACAACTTGTATATTTCTGTCTCAAAGAAAGTAGGTATTAGATCTACTCACTAAAACAGGAATGCTTGGATGCAAACCTACTGATACACCCATCGAGATGAATCACAAGTTATGTGAAGGCATGGATCAAAAACCAACCAATAAGGAACAGTACCAACGCCTTGTTGGAAGGTTGATGTATTTAGCCAATACAAGACCAGATATTGCATATGCTGTGAGTGTGGTTAGCCAGTTTATGCATTCACCTAGTGTGTCTCATAGGAATGCAGTTGATCGGATCTTAAGATACTTAAACTCAACACCTGAGAAATGATTCATGTTCTAAAAAAATAGAGATCTTAAAGTTGTTGGATATACATACGCTGATTGGGCTGGCTCCATTACTGATAGACGCTCTACTTCAGGTTACTTTACATTCCTAGGAGGTAATCTAGTCACTTGGCGGAGTAAAAAAATAAAATGTGGTTTCTAGGTCTAATGCAGAAGCAGAGTATTGAGGAATGGCTCACGGAGTTTGTGAACTACTATGGACCAGAAGACTATTGACAAAATTAGGTTTCAAGCCAGGAAAGCCAACGGAGTTTCATTGTGATAACAAATCAGCCATTGACATTGCCAATAATCCAGTTCATCATGATCGAAGCAAACATGTTGAAGTGGATAAACATTTTATCAAAGAGAAGATTGAGAAGAAGATCATCTGCCTACCATTCGTAAAATCAGAAGATCAACTGGCAGATATCTTAGCAAAAGCTGTTTGTGGCAGAGTATTTCATGACTCTCTTACCAAGTTGGGCATTGGTGACATATATACACCAACTTGAGGAGGAGTGTTCACGTAAGTCTCCTAATTAATCAAAGAAATTATTTCATTGATTAATTAAGGGATTTACTTTCCCATTTTATTTAGTTCACAAATCTTTGTATAATTAGGAGATACTATCCTAATTGATTACTGTATCTATTTCCTTGTAAAGCACTCATGTAAACTCCTATATATACCTCCTTATGGAGAATAATATAATTCAACCTAATACATTCAAACCATATTCATATTTTAGCAATTGACACAAAAAGATACCCTTCCCCTATGGGTCTCGTGGAAGAAACCACTCAGATATAATGGTTGATAAGGGAAAGGGAAAAGATTCAGGTCAAAAGATCACTTCAGAAATGGGAAATGCGGCAGCAAACTTGAAAAGTTACCGAGTCTCACTTGGTCAAAAGGAAAAGGTTAGCACTTGAGATGGTCAAGCTAAGAATACCAAGGAGTTGCAAGAATCAGATATCAAGAGGAAGAATATTGATCGAAGAATCATTTCGGAATATCAAGAGGGAGCTATGTCGTCTAACTTGAGAAGATATGATGTCTCACTCAGTTCAAAAGGAAAGGCAATTGCTTCCGATGGTAAAACTGAGAAAAGGATGGAGGAGTTGCAGAAACCGATATCAATCTATGTCATCAGCATTTCCCTGTTGAGGAGAATACCACTATTCTCTCTCCACAAAAGGAATTGCCCCAAAATGGCTTTACAGAGGTACTGGAGCTTTCAAAACCAAGAGCATCACGGGATGAGCGTGTGACAGAAGCTAAAGGGATTAGCTTCTCAGGTGGCTTTTCTACCAAGGAGATGGACTTTGCAGAACTCTGTTATGAAGTTCCACACTCATGCCCATTGCCTTCTGGAGTTGAGTTTAATAAAGTGTCAAACATGATGTCAAGTGGCTCAATCAACAGTAACAGTATGGGGCCTTCCTTTGTTCCATCTCACATGCGCTCGTGCTTAAAAGGAACACAAGACCTGCTATATGAAGAAAAATTTATAGAGAAGAAAAATTCAGAGAAAAAGCTTACCCGTTCAAGTTTTGATGCTTCAAAAACATCAGATCAAGAAGAGCTAGCAACTAGAAATGTTAGAAACCCAACTCCCAATCGCCGATTTAGCTTCAGCTTAGGTCGGCTTGGTAGAAGTTTCAGTTTTAAGGAAAGTTCAGATATTCCACAGTTAAGTTCCATATATGTGACAGCCAAATCAGGTCAGGTGAGATATGGAACTTCTGATTGTCCAACTAATCCAAACAGAGAGAAGGGAAGTAGTTGTAAGCACATATTTCTCATTTTAATACACGTATTTTTCACAAAATTTTAAAAAGACTCACAAAATTCACGTATTATTGAGTAAAATAACATGTATTAAAATAAATGGTAGAGCCGACCGGCTATACTCAGGTTTTTAATTGTTTTTTATCGATTGTATAGCCGGGCTGCTATACTTGTTTATAAATGGTTTTGAAATATATTACAGCCGCACGACTTTACAGTTTTTACATGTGGTGCATTGACATTGGTCTAGTGTAGCCGACCGGCTATACTTTTTTTTCCTTAAAAAAAAAAAAAAAAAAGGTCGGGCCGGCTTTACAGTTTTGACACTTGGCATCTATGCTCTGAGCGTGTCCCTTTTTTTAATATATATATAAATAGTATTGCAGCCCGGCTATACTTTTTTAAAAGTAAATTTAATCCAGGAAATTCGCCGGTATAGACCTCTGCCGATGAACTTTCGTCGGGAGAGGTGTTTTTTAATTTGTTTTAAAATAATTCGAAAATATAAAATTCGTTTCTTTACTTTTGTTTTTTTGGCCTACTTCTAGAATTTATGTATGTAATTCAGTAATATCTTAGCCTTTTTGAATTACTTTAATTAGTAATTATATTTTAATTGTTATTTAATAATAATAATAAAAAAAACTAAAAAAAAAGTCCACAAAATAAATAATTTTTATTTATTAAGTCTTTTGTGAAATCTTTTGGGGTGTCTTAATTAAATTTCTCTATAGCCTAAGGGCCCTATCCATTACTATTAATCAATTACTCGACTATCTATTGTCCTTTTTTGATTTTTTACTTTTTCAGAGTATAAAGATTTTAGCGCTTTCACGTTTAATAATATATATATACGTAAGAACATATTTTTTACCACATTTTCAAAAAGACTCACAAAATTCACGTATTATACACATAATTCTCACGTATTATTGAATAAAAATAACATGTATTAAAATAAATGGTACTGCCGCACGGCTATACTCAGGTTTTTAATTGCTTTTCAAAAACAGTACAGCTGCGCGGCTATATTCGTTTTTAAATTGTTCTGAAACATATTAGAGCCGCACGACTGTACTGTATGACACGTGGCGCATTGGCATTGGGTTGGTCTTTATATATAAATAGTATAGCCGCCCGGCTATACCTTATTTTTTATTTTTTATAATATTAAATAGTATAGCCGTGCGGATATACGCGTTTTTCCTCTCAAAAAAAAAGTATAGCCGCCCGGCTTTACATTTTTAACACGTGGCACCTATGCGCGGGGTGCACCTTTTTTAATAGGGTAAACTGCCGAAAACCCCCCTGAACTTTAACGCTTGTCGAAATGTTTACCTTGAATTATTTTTTTACAAATTTATAAATAAACCCAATCCTAGACATATATTTATAAAAAACCCAAGCACTATTTAAACATAGAAACACACCCAAAATCAACCCCAAAGTCAATTTTTGGGTGTGTTTATAAATGGGTTTTGAGTGTATGTAATGATGGGTTTTGGGTGTGTTTATATGTTTTAGTGCTTGGGTTTTTTTTATAATTTCAACCCCCATTTTGGGTGTTTTAGTGAAACTCAGCAAACTTAACCATTATACTATTTTAAATGGCCAATTTAGCCCCTGCCGTTAGTTTCCATGTAGTTTCATCCAATTTTTCGTTAAAAATAATTAAATCTTTAAAAACAAAAAAAACAAAAACAAAAAACAAAAAAACAAAAACAAAAACAAAAACAGAAAAACCCTAGCAATCAATGTCTTCCCCACCCCATCCCCCAAACCCTCTCTCTGCAATCCCACATCCGCAAGGTTTTTTGTCAAAAGTTTTGGGCTAATTGAGTTTCAGGTAAATTGAGCTTTTAGAATTGACAAAAGGGCTTTTGATAAAATAAATCAAAAAGCTATTTGGAGTTTATCTCAGAATTTAGTGGCTTTTTTTTTGTGAGAGAATTTGGTGGCTTTGCTAAGAATGTTTGGTTTTGCCAATTTGGTGGTGCGGCAAGCAGTTGGGCCAAGTTTAACTGTGCTGATGATAGGTACATGGATTGATCTGAAGCAACATTGGATTCAGTCGCATTCCATGACGGCAGTGCAGATGAAGAATGATGGTCCCTGGTTATGTGCAATGGGTGCGGTGACCCAATGCTTGGGCCTAGCTACAATAGTGAGTGTTGGCTTTGGATATATGGCCCCTTCATTCTCCATAAATCATGTGTCGAGGTACCGAATGAGATCCACCACCCGATCCACTGCAAGCACCCATTTACTCTTGCGAAATTAGGGAGGAAAAGAGTTGCAGTGGGTGTCGTCAAGATTGCAGCGACAACTTTTTTTTATTATAAATTTTTATTAATATTGTACTTTGTAAATGACAAACTTACCCCTGTAATTGACGGAAATTGGATGGAAGTGTAAAAGCTTGACGGTAGGTGTTAAATTGGCGATAAATTTATTATAAGGGCTAAATTGGCTGAAAAATAATTCATTGTGGACATTTTGACAAGCGTTACAGTCCAAGGGGGTTTTCAGCACTTTACCCTTTTTAATATATAAATAGTATAGCCGTCCGGCTATACTTTTTATAAAATAAATTCATCTAGGAAATTTCGCCGACATAGACTTATGCCGACCAACTCTCGTCGAGAGAGGCTTTTATTTTTTTTTTAAATTTTTGTTAAAAAAAAATTGAAAATATAAAATTCGTTTATGAACTTTTATTTTTGGCATACTTCTTTAATTAATGTATGTAATTCAGTAATATCTTAACCTTTTGAATTACTTTAATTAGTAATTATATTTTAATTATTATTTAATATATAAAAACTAAAGGAAAAGTCCACAAAATAATTAATTTCTATTTATTAAGTCTTTTGTGAAATCTTTTGGGTGTCATAATTAAATTCCTCCATAGCCTAAGGGGAGACAAAGACAAGTCCACAGGTAACGAGGACAAGGAACGTTATAACTTAGAATGGGCAGCCCCAGCTCCTCTGCCACATCAAACGCAAAAGTCAAGTGCCCATCTGTCATGATACAGCTCGGAGGCGGCGCCAGAGCATCATTCGATTCGGCCTTAAGCGAAATGGTTTTGAGCAGCTCCCGGAAATGAGGCCTAATGGACGTCTTCAACGCAATCAACAACTGGCTACTCGGGGTACGGGGGTCATCCTCGGGGAGGCCATCGGAGATGGACTCGAAATGGAGGGTGGGGAAATGAGTCAAGAGGGCTTGGCGGTTGGCCAAGCGCTGGTGGTTGTGGTGAGTGTTGACATAGGTGACATGAAGGCCTGCATGGCAGAGAAGCTCGGCTAAGCAAAGCAAGGGCTTCATGTGACCTTGGAGTGGGAAGGGAAAGATGACTACGTGAGGTTGCTTCATTGCCATTGGGTTAATATTTTAGCTAGGTTTTCTGCTCTTAGGGCTTTCTTAATTGTAAGTTATATCAACCTATTACAGAAGGGGGTGGTATATATAGAATCTGGAAATGGCATATAAAATTGCACCGCGTTGAAAATGTAAACATAAACTAAGGCCATCTCTAATTATAGAGCTAAATGTAGTTCATGGCTAAAAATTTAGCCTTCCAAAATAATATTTTTTAAAGAATACTGTAGGGCTAAATTTTTCCATCTCCAGCCATGCATGGCTATATTTTAGGGTCCTTCATATTTATTATTTTGAGAAAAACTATTGGTACAACATTCATACATTCCACAACTATATATTGTTTAACTTAATTAAACTACTAATTAGAGACATATTCTATATTTAATTAAACTACTATTTAGGGACAATTTTTTATAATTTTTTTTAAAACAACACTTGAAAACATTTAAAAAGGTGGCCATATTTTTTTTTTTTAAAGAAAAAAAAAGAATGGGTTTCAATGGTTTGACCTCAACGGTCATGACCAATAATATTTTATAGTTTTGTCTTCAACAACACGAATTGAAACGTTCAAATAGGCTGTTAAAAATTATATATATATATATATCCAGCTATGACATCATCGTGCTTTACTGTTGGTTGTTGAAAAGCAAATGCATGGGGCCCACTAAAATTTGGCCTAGGCCAAAGCTGGGCTATATGTGGCCCAGTTGGAGGGCTAAATGGCCAAATGTGACCCTCCAAATTTGGCCGAAATTTTGTTTAGCCTATTGCTGAAGCTGGGTTTTGCATTATTTTAAGGCTATATTTGGGATATAGCACATGGTTGGAGATAGCTTAAGATGTCAATATAAGTCATGCATACGAACACATAATACTATACCTTAAAATAAAAATAAAAATAGGTTCAAGGATGGCGGCCACCTCACATATGATATATATAGTAGTTAACGTGTACCCAAAAACAAAACAAGAAAAAATATACCGTGTCTCAGCTATTTTCTCATCCAATGAAATTCAAGTTGGCTTCCCCACAAAAAAAAAAGAGAGGAGAGAAAACTAAGAACTGTGGATTAGCTTATGCAATGATGAATGATGAGATGCTGGCATTTATACATCAAGGTTACACAAAATTGGAAGTAATAGTCAATATGAAGAAATGACACAAAATTGAGTTTCACGTTGTTTTAAAGTCAATCGATATATAGGAAAGATTTAGTCACTCTCAATCAACATAATATTTTTTTAAACGGAAAAAATACTTTCAGAATATATCGTATCGAAAACGTCAAAAATATAAAATACAATAGTATAACACGCGAACATATATAATGAGTAAAATAACAAAGGAATTAAGATATTCTTCCTTTACGTTCGCCTCTCTCAAGAACTAGTCTCAATAATGTAATTGTTTTTGTCGTTTGCCAAAAGTCTCAATGCAACACATACAAGTTGGTGTGGAAATCTTCCACGCATTCATCTCCATCTAGCGAACTATGGAACTATCGAAACCGATTCTTTCTATACATTATTCATACAATTAAGATCAATTGAAAGTAGCATTCATTTCTTATTTGAACAAATCTTCGAATATAGTGAGTTATTCAATTCAATCTTCGATACCAAGCATGAACTATGGAATTTATGTAGGTTACAAGCTTATTGATTGTGAGGTTGGAAATCCGAACCAACTATTGGATCCCAGCCTCAGGGCAATATTGTTGTTGTTTCGATCAATATACAAGGTTGGCTATCAAATAAGATGCGGTGGAAGTGGGTGCCAAGATCAGCAAATCGTGCAGCTCACATGTCTGCGACGATAGGTTTGAGAGCTATGGAACTGCAAAGTTGGGTCATCCGACCACCATTGTCTCTTGTTGGGGTCCTCTGATGGTTTGCCCTGTCCCCCAGTTGGGTCATCTCTCTTGAACTAGATTTCTTTTCTGTTTTTGGTTGGGCTTGAGACAGTTTACTAAACTCCGACGGAGTTTTAGATTTGTCTAACCCTTATTGTATTTTGCTTCTGTTCTGTGTTCTTGCTGGTTTTGCCAGCTGTGTTGTATTTGCTTCCCGTTTTGGGCTTTTTTAATACAACAATCTCTTTCAGACCAAAAAAAAAAAAATAATACCATGCAATCAACCTATTCCAACGAAATGACTAATATATATCATGTGCAGCATTAATTTTCCATGGAGATCCAGCTATGTTTGGCAACTGGGAATTGGAAGAGAATCTTTTAAATTCCTTTTTTTATTCCTCCAGAAGATGAGGAAAACATGGAATAAAAAAGACTCCAGTTGCAAGTGGCAATTATTTTTGGTATTGGTACCATATATATATGTGCTTGACAACTGACATCAAGATCCAACACTTGGGGATCATGCTGTGTAGTGTGTTTACATGCGACTTTTGCTATGGTGATTGTGGATGATTGTCGGAATTTTCATAAAAAAATTTATGAACAACTCTATCTGTCGTGGTTACAAAACAAATAATCGTTTTTTCACCAACCATTACTTTGCATACCCTTTTATTTTTTGTGGTCAAATTTCTCTGCTTACTATTAGGTCATGCATGTATGCATGAGGCCTTTAATATCTGCATGATAAATTGTGTTTACATGTCTCCAGATTTTGTCAAACAAAACAATTTGTGGGAAGTTAGAAGACAGATTAGTCGTGGTGGAATTTGTTTTAATACAAATTTATAAATAAACCCAATCCTAGACATGAATTTATAAATAAAAAAATCAACACTGTTTAAAACATATAAACACATCCAAAATCAACCCAAAAATCAACAATTGTACACTTTTGGGTGTGTTTATAAATGGGTTTTGAGTGTGTTTAATAAATGGGTTTTGGGTGTGTTTCTAAAGTGTTTTCATGTTGGGTTTTTTTTTATAATTTCAGCTCCTATTTTGGGTGTATTAGTGAAACTCCCTTGTTTTAATCCCGCAAAACAATAGAACACCAACACCTACAATTAAAGTTACAGACAGCAATTTGTGGGAAAAAAGCTCGATTGACCCTTGCATGCATGCATGCATATCACTTCACTTGTGGGGGATGAAAAATGAATGGATGGATTTTTTTTTTTTTTTTTTTTTTTTGTTTTTTTTTTTGTTTTTTGTTTATTCAAGAAGCAATGATACATATATACTAGCACACACGAACGAGACATATAAACTTAAGCAATCTACTTGATACACAATTTCTTTTATTAGGTCTTCAATAAGTTTCTTCACGTTGTTGTACGAAGTACGAGCCAGCTTCACAAACAGCATATTCTGAGCCAATTTTGCGAACCTCGCCACAGACTTCGGAATGTGCTCACTTGCATGATCTTCCCTCAAAGACCTTACATCAGACTTATCCTTCATATCGAACCCAATCTTCCAAAACCTCATCACCAAATAACACAACAAATTATTCCAATGAAAAGTGAAACATATAGTATCACCAGCTAGCTAGCTAGCTAGTTCTGGTGTTGCAAATTTCTAATGTATTCGATCAGCTGCTCCAAGTTGTTGTGAGAAGATCCACCTTCGGCAACACTGTCACGAGCCAATTTCGAAATGGCATCCATGGAGCTCTGGATCTCCTCCCTTTTGGGTCCCATCAAAGTTTGAAACCATGCCCTCAATGTTGGACCGGTCACAATTTTCATTCAATTGGAGACCAATCTTCCACTGCCGGCAAACAGTTCTGCTAATAATATAATGGTCCCCCAAATTCGGCCAACAGATCATGGGCAGCCCGGCCACAATGCTTTCAAGCGTCGAGTTCCACCCACTGTGGGTCAAAAACCCACCTACCGATTTGTGGGCCAGCACCTCCTCCTGCGAAACCCAATCCACTATGTACCCTCTTTCTTTGTACCCTTTTCCAGCTCCGCGGGAATTTGGTGGTCCCCAGATGTGATGTCGGACCTCATGACCCACAAGAACGGGTGTCCACTGTTGACCAGGCCGTACCAAAACTCTATCACTTGGGCACGTGTCAAGTGGACCAAAGTCCCGAAGCTGACATAGATAACCGATTTGAAAGGCTGGGAGTCAAGCCATGTCATGCAGTTTAGGTCGCTTTTCCAAAGAGAGCCGTGGGATGCTAGACCTCGAGACATGTCACCTATTTGGGAGTTGAGGAGAGCGTGGAGCGGTCCAAGGGTGTAAATCTTGGGAAACGTGAGGGCCATGTGGGAAATGCAAGGAGCATCAAGTTCATAAATTGTGTCGAGAATGAGAGCCGAGGCTCGTTTTAGGGTTTGGGTCTCGTTGATAGCGAATTGAAGAGATGGGTGGTCAGCTTGTTTGACTCGACAAAAACCTGGCAAGTCTTGGCGATGCAAAAGGCCTTCCATTCCGGGCACTCCCGTAATTTCCACATTCATGTCATCATCTGTTTAGAACTCACAAATTATATTATTAAAAAAAAATTTAAAGCAAGTTAATTAATTATGATAGCTTTGTGTTGACGACTTCCAAAATATTGTATGAGTGTTACATTCGCGGGAGGATCTTGTTAGAAGCTTCCAAAATATTACATGTATCATTCCTTCCACCCCCAACGTGTTACGTGTCAATTTATTAGTGTTTATATTTCAAGTTTTATTTATGTTTTCTATTCTCCAAAATCCATGTAAGTTTGTTTCATAAGACAAAAAACTTGAAGTCATGGAGCCATTCATATATATAGAGATGAATAAAATAAGAGGTGAAGTAGAGACTCTTGCCTTGAAAAGGAAGCTGGCCATTCTCAATGAGCTTGGGGAGACAAAGACAAGTCCACAGGTAACGAGGACAGGGAACGTTATAACTTAGAATGGGCAGCCCCAGCTCCTCCGCTACATCAAACGCAAAAGTCACGATCCCATCTGTCACGATACAGCTCGGAGGCGGCACCAGAGCATCATTCGATTCGGCCTTAAGTGAAATGGTTTTGAGCAGCTCCCGGAAATGAGGCCTAATGGACGTCTTCAACGCAATCAACAACTGACTACTCGGGGTACGGGGGTCATCCTCGGGGAGGCCATCGGAGATGGACTCGAAATGGAGGGTGGGGAAATGAGTCGAGAGGGCTTGGCGGTTGGCCAAGCGCTGGTGGTTGTGGTGAGTGTTGACATAGGTGACATGAAGGCCTGCATGGCAGAGAAGCTCGGCTAAGCAAAGCAAGGGCTTCATGTGACCTTGGAGTGGGAAGGGAAAGATGACTACGTGAGGTTGCTTCATTGCCATTGGGTTAATATTTTAGCTAGGTTTTCTTGCTCTCAGGGCTTTCTTAATTGTAAGTTATATCAACCTATTACAGAAGGGGTGGTATATATAGAATCTGGAGATGGCATATAAAATTGCACGGCGTGGAAAATGTAAACATAAACTAAGATGCCAATATAAGTCGTGCATACGTACACTTATACCAATACTATACCTTGAAATAAAAACAACTTCAAAAAATAAAAATAAAAGGTTCAAGGAAGGTGGTGGCCACCTCACTATGATATATATAGTAGTTAAAGTGCACTACTATTTAACACATAATAAATTAGATACGATAACTCATGGCACACAGGCCCAAAAACAAAACAAGAAAAAAGATACTGTATCTCAGCTATTTTTCTCATCCAATGAAATTCCAAGTTGACCAAAAAAAAAAAAAAAAAAAAAAAAAAAAAAAAAGAGAAAACTAAGAACAGAGGATTAGCTTATACAATGATGAATGATGAGAAGCTGGCATTTATACAGCAATGTTACACAAAATTCGAAGTAATAGTTAATATGAAGAAATGACACAAAATTGAGTTTCACGTTGTTTCGAAGTCAACCGATATGTATGTAAGATCCAATTACTTTCAATCGACGTAATATTTTTCTAAATGAAAAAAATTCTTTCAGAATATATCGTATCGAAATCCTCTAACCAACATTACATATTATGGAAAATATAAAATACAATAGTATAAACATGTGAACATATATAATGAGTAAAATAACAAAGGAATTAAGATATTCTTCGTTTAAGTTGGCCTCTCTGAAAAACTAGTCTCAATAATGTAATTGTTTTTGTCGTTTGCCAAAAGTCTCAATGCAACACATACAAGTTGGTGTGGAAATCTTCCACGCATTCATCTCCATCTAGAGAACTAAGGAACTATCGAAACCGATTCTTTCTATACATTATTCATACAATTAAGATCAATTACATAAGTCATGATAACAAAATAAACAGCTTATAAGGACTAAACACGTGGACAAAATTGAGCCTGGTTGTTGTGGCCTTCGGCACCCTACCTATAGATCCGGCGATTAGGGCAACTCCTTTCTCTAGGACACATGGCGTGACCACAATCGACGTCTAGTCCCACATTGAAATTCTAAACAATATGCACACCTCCCAATGCCTATAAAAGATGACTACTATCTCCAAATGGAGGTAATCAGAACTTACGGCATAGTGCTTATTGATCTGTTAGCTTAAGCTTACTAAATCCGTACTTACTTAAGCATCGGAGAGTCTTCGGCCGGTATCACACCGGTGCCCTAGAGTCTTACCGAGCATTTGTTGTCTTGCAGATCATGCGCTCTATCGAAGCCCAAAGCATACCGAAGGCCCAACATCACTAAGTTTAGCTGGAGTGCCAAACCACTTTTTCACATCAACAAAAGTAGCAAGTGGCAAAAATAGCTCTCATTTTTTTAATTCCTCCACAAGATGAGGAAACGTGGAATAAAAAAGACTCCAATTGCAAGTGGTAATTACTTTTGGTATTGGTACTATATATATATGCTTGACAATTGACATCAACATCCAACACTTGGGGATCATGCTGTGTAGCGTGTTTGCATGCTACTTTTGGTATGGTGGCTATTTGACCCTCAAGTTTAAGAGCACTTCCACCAGTTAGCCCCTTGCCATGGCAAGGGGAGCCCTAGGGCAGCTACTATTCATGTGAATAGTGGTTGCCCTAGCTCCCCCCAGCAAAGTGTGTTTCCAGCAGTTAGCCCCTTGCCATGGCAAATACTATTCATTTTTTTGTTTTTTTCACAACTTTGTTTATTTAAAAAATTAATTTGGATAATATTTTCGGATAAGATTTTTGGGTTCCTACGTGTCAATACTATTCATTAACAATTATTAGAAATGCAAAACAAAATTTAAACATTGCAAGAAACATTCATATTAATATTGGAAATACAAGAAATATTAACAAAATATATAAATTGCAAGAAACTTTTAAATAAAAATTAATATGACATAGAAATTAATAAAACGAAAATTACAAATAATTTACCTCACAGCTTTGTTTACTTAAACAATTAATTTGGATAATATTTTCGGATAAGATTTTTGGGTTCCTACATATGAAAAATCATTTTCTCAAGATTTTTAGCGGAGGTGCAATATTGACTAAGTATGAAAAATGGTTTTTCGAAATAATCATTTTCTCAAGAAAATTTTTGGCGGCTTTTATTCCTTACACATCAAATAAGAAAACTTGATTTTATGGGATTTTAATATGAAGTATATATTGACTTAATGAGCCATCATTTTTAGCCTAAATCGTATTTGCACTAAAACCGATTTTTCATATTTTGATTTGGTGGGAATTTGATTTTCTAGTATTTTTATTTGAATCCAAATGGGGGGTACTTCCTTATTTACATTGTAAACTTAAGTAAATGGAGTAATATAAAAATAAATAAAAGTAAAAGGACAAAGACATTTACTTAAATGTTGAAAATGGAAATAAGGTATAGAGAGAAGAAGAAAAAAAAAGTAATTTTTTGGTTTTTTTTCAAATTTTTATTACAAAAATATTGGTTGTTGATGTTAAAAGTGAAGAGTATTGGTTGGTATTTATAGAAAACAATTTCAGTATTTTTTTGGTATTTTTTTTCATTTTTTTATTGGGCAAAAAATTCCCTGCCGTTGGATGGCTGGAAAAAAAAATCGAAAAGCCCAGAAGCTTCCACGTGTCACAGAGCCGTTGGGGCTTGCTTTTTCCGATTTTTTTATTCGCAAAAAAATGGCTGCCGTTGGATAAGTTTAAAAGCAGATCGGATGGCCCAGCATGCGACACGTGGAATCATGCCGTTGGGCGGCTACTGTAGCGCACGTCAAATTTTTTTTATATCGGGCGCGTGTATTGCACGCGCCAGCTTTAAAAAAATTTAAACAGCAGCGCTGACGTCATCTCAGCCTGCGGGCTGGAGCTCGGGCCAGCCTCCCCCTCGGGCTTGCCCAGGTTTGTGGGCCCCACTGTTTGCCCTGGCAGCTTGTTGTTGCTGGAAACCACATTTTGGGTTTGCCCCCCCCCAACCCTCCCCTTGGGCCCCTTGGTGGAAGTGCTCTAATCGCATTGATCGAAGCAATAATTTTTATTTATAAGAGAGAAGAAGAGAGTAAGTTCGGAAAATTTTTTTTATTTTATATTTCCTTTTTTTTTGGAACAACTCAATTATTGTCATGGTTACAAAACAAAATATTTTTTTTTTTTTAATTTTTCTACATATTTTTTTTTTTTTTTTTTTTTTTTTTTTTTTTTGGGGTTTTGGGGGGGGGGTTTCTCTACTCTACCATTACTCTGGTACAAACACTTATTAGAGCTTATTAGAGATTAGGTCATGCATGTATGCATGAGGATATAATACATGCATTATAAATTAAATTAAGGGTGTTGTTAAACCAATTTTAAAATTAAATGAATACATCATATGATCTAAGTATACTCTAATATTTAAATTAAAACTAGCCCATTGGCACATGCTCATGTATGTGCCAATTGGTTTTATTTTATATTTTATTTATTTTATTTTTAGAATTAAGAAAAGATAACATGGGTAGTTATGTTCCATAAAAGTAGGACCTAATCTAATTTTTTTTAAATTTTTTTTTATATGAAAAAAAGTGAATTTACCATATTATCCTCATTTAATTAATAATTTCAATTCTTAATATTTGAATTAACCAATGACATTTTTTGGTATTTTGAATGTTTCACCATTCTTTGCCTTTTGCTTTATATATACTAGCCTCTCTGCATGCGCTTCCGCGCCTACGAGAGACTTTTTTAAAATATATATATTTTTTATAATTAAAAAAGATAATGGGTAGTTGTGTTTCATAAAAATAGGATCCCATTATCTTATTTTTCTTTTAATTTTAATTTTTTTAATATGAAAAAGTGTGAATTTACTGTATTATCCTTATTTAATTAATAATTTCAATTCTTAATGTTTGCATTAACCAATGACATTTTCTGGTATTTTGAATGTTTCACCATTCTCTACATTTGCTTTATATATATAGATATAGATATAAAAGTAATTAAGTACACCCAATTTAACTATTAAAATACCTCTGGTACACCATAATACATTTTATCACACAACACCAAACTCATTTGAGAGCTAGTTGCCGAACACTATCAGACCACCAATTCAAGAGCTAGCTGCCGAATACAATGGTAATACAATAAATAAATAAAATCAACAAAGATAAAGAACATCAACAGAACTTCAAATAGCATCAGCAATAAAACGTTTATATATAATAATAATAAGTCCTTTTTGAGCCCAGAAACAAAAGTAAATATTAGTATAGCAAGGAAACATTTTCTACTGAGACTTGAGAGAATAGAATAAAGCTTTCTCAACCAATGACCATTTTGGACTCAAAATTTTCCTTAACTCTCAAATTCCTTTCTAGTGTCTCTTTTCCAAGCCTCATCTCATATGTACCTCAAATTAGAAAATATTATCACTATCAAGACTCAGATAAGCTAATCTCAATTATTCCCATCCAGCCAACAAAGACAAGTCACGCATCTCGTACAAGATACACACAATTCAGTTTTTCAAAATCTATCCTTTAGGTTAACCCAGCATCATAGAAACTCGGATGCCATTTCTCATCTTCATTTCTTTTCCCTCCAGAGAAGAGCTTATAACTTATCAAAGTTCTAGAAACTCTTCTTCTTTGGGACATAAAGCATACCTAAATAGTTAAAAAGTTAGTACTTATTAAAATTACATTTGTTTCACAATTCAATTTATCTTTTTCGGCCATTTTATATTATGATAAATTAGTAATTCAATAAATAATTTAATAGTAGAATGTACGCAATTAATTTTAAGATTCATTTAACAACACCCTAAATTAATTCCTCAAAGATCTCTTTAAAATGTCTCTAGGTTTTGCCACGAAGACCCACGTTCACTGACCCCGAACCCAAAATCTCCTCCCTCTGATCTTCCATCAATGCCCTCACCATCTTCTTCTCCAACGTTGATCAATCACATTGGTCCTTCATATCAACCCCAATCTTCCAAACCTCCCAACCCATCTACTAATCACCGGCTGGTCCGCCAGTTGGGGCCAGCAAAACATCGGGACTCAAGGGTAGAGCTCAATCCACCCAAACCTTCATGGGCCCGGACCTCCTCCTCTTTCTTGCCAAGAATTTGGTCTTAGGGCTAACGAAACTCTAGTGCCCATTGGCAATGTGGCCCAACCCAACTGCAGGTGATCCAGACTTCCTAACATAGAAAAATAGTTATGGACTAGTAAATTGATGGGGACTTCCTAACAACGAAATAGTTATAGAACTTGCATGTTACGGGAATAGCACTATTTTGCTATTTTCAACCAATCATGTAATGTCATGTGGAAAAGTTATCACGTGTAACGGAACTTGATTGGTTGAAGATAGCAAAACAGTATTATTTATGTGATATACAAGTTCCTTATAAGAGCATTTCATCATAAATTGATATTTGCAATATGATAGACTAACATATATGTAGCATGTCCTTGACACAGAATAGTTATATAGGATACTATTACCAAATAAGTCCTCGGAAGCTTTTTTCTTGTTATGCCTAATGTGGCCAAATCTACAAGCTAAAGGCCTCAAATCCAAGAGTAGCTTGGAGTTAGAAGAAGCTTTTCTTCGGTCCTTCATTTTTGTTTCAGCTTTTCACTTTAAGTTATGCTCTTTAGTCTTTCCCCTTTAACCAGAGAAATCTTATTTACTATACACAAAAGGGAAATCAATACAAAATGAAAATGTATGCATCGCCCCACATATAGGCACATACACAATACCTTAGGTTAAAGCTAGCTTTAATAAATAAAGGTTCGGGACTCAAATTGTTAAGAACATTTATCCTTACACTAAGTTCTGGTGTTCAGTTCTTTCTTCTTTCTAATATTACTTGTATATAAAATAATTATTAAAAAAAAAAACAAAAAAAAACTAACCTTAATGAAGATAACGATACCGACAATGTACTAATAAAAGAGGATTGGAATATGACAAGGACAAGTAACAAAAAAACGGAAAGCCAACAGAGAAAGAAATAAAACAATGACAGATTCCAGGAAAATGAAACAAGAGTCCAAGTATTTTCCCCACATTTTATTTGAGTTGGCTTGCTTTATTTACACACCCATTATTCGGGAAGTAGGCCATGCTCTCCTCCATGTCCTATGCCTATTGGCTGTGTTAAAATTTCAGACATGGTAAGTTTAGCCATCTTTTGTTCTCTAGCTAGCACACAGCACACAGCACACAGCACACAGGACACGCCTCTTTCTTGATATTAACAGCAAATAGTCACAGACATTGCGAATATTTTGATTTAATTTTGTAGATGCAAAGCTTAAGAATCTAATCATTGATCAAAGACTCGGCCTATCCACTTAGGATCATATTAGCACTATAGGTTACTTTTTATTTCGAGTAAAAACTAAGGATGCTATAAAGAGCATGAAAGCTACTAGAAATCTCTAACTCAATGTAGACAACAAGGATTGTTACAGTTTATAAATCACATGCGTATAAGAATTGTTACAGTTCATAAATCACATGCGTATAAGGATTGTTACAGTTTATAGATCACATGCGCATAAGAGCCCATATATATATATCAACGATTATAAATTAATCACAAACCCAATTGCGATAGTCCTAACGTTCTCACTAGATGATACAAAATGAAACAAAACTTACTTTCTTCGTCTTTGCACTTGTTTGGAAAATTGTTATTTGCACCCTAAATGGTTATCATTCATCCTTATAAATGTGTTTTTTCTTGAAAGTGTTTTTGTTTTCCGCTCTTAATAATAATGAGCAGTGTCATCACATCATTTGTCATCGGACCCTAAATTTAATTTTTGAGATTTGCGTAACATGTGAATTAAATATACTCATTAATCAACAATTAACGTCTTAGTAATGCTCACCACTAATTAAGTGTTATGAGCAAAATATTATCTTTCTTATTTTTTAGCTCTTTCGGATAATGGTCGATGATTTTTTTGGGATGATTTTAAATTTAATTAATTTTTGGTAAAATTTATAAAGAAAAGACAAAGATTAAGTCAAAGTTAAGGAGCTCTCAAGTCCGAATAAAACCAAAAGAAAGGAAGAAAAAGCCATGTATTGGTTTAATCATAGGTCAGGCGCCTAAAGCCACAGCCCAGCTCCAATCAGAGCGGCCGCTGACGTAAGACACAGAGAACTTTTCGGGCCCCACATCTCGTGGGGATCCGTGACAAAGAAAGAAGTCTCCTGGCTGGGACCCCAATAGCCACCTCCCCCTACAATGATGTGACTGCCCTCATCATGTAGCCTCATACCTACACACACCTCAATGCATATCAGCCGTCCGATCAAAACCGAAACGATCTCTGCACCGCACCACACACAAACACTCTGCCTCTGCCTCCTGTCTCTTTCTCTCTTTCTCTCTTTCTCTATCTCGGTCAGAGTCAGCAAAGCTCAGAGTGACAGTGTGTGTGTGTGTGAGCATTGCAGATTGTCTGTGCTCCTCTGAATCATCGTCTTCTTCTCCGGTGAAAACCAAAACGCACTCACGAATTTCAAGAACAGCAGATTAAACCAGTACCCGAAGCGGCGTCGTTCTTGGCCTATGTGGCGGTAATTCTTTTCTTTGCTTATAATCTACGTTGCTTCGCGCGGCATTTGTTTTTTGTTTTGCTTTCGTTTGTTACGTTTCGGATCTATTTCGGGATCGGAGCGTTTCGGTAAATGCGTTTCTTCCATTGTTAAAGAAGCTCGTGTGAGAACTTGTTTGGCTAGCTAGCACATTTGCATTTGCATTTTTGTTTATTTGTGTTCCGTTTGGTTGCCGAGAAAGTAGATGCTGAATAAAAGACAATGAGTTGTTTTTCTTGAAATGTCATTGCTGTGTGTGAGGGGCTCACGATTGGAAACTTACGAACGTAAAAGGCTTTATCTTGATTCTTGTGCATTTTACATTTCTTCGTTTTCTATTCAGCCAAACAGAAAAGAAAAGCTTGGAGGTCTTTTTGTTGTGCGATTGCTGCTTTCTTAGGGTTTTGTTGGATCTATGAGTTTTTGCTTTCAATGTGATGATTTCTGTGGTTGCAAGACTGGATTGTTTAAGCTATGTCATAATTTTATTTCCTCTACATAGATCTATTCTTTTCTTTTTCTTCCATATGAGTTTGGTGACATCAGGACTTTACAAGTTGTCCCATTGTTATTGAAAAGTGCAAAAAACTCTCTGTATTTGGTTACCTTAAAATTGGAATGTGATATCATTCTTCCCTGTTTACCATCTGCATTGGATTGTTTGATCAAATCCTGTGTTTTACAGCCCCCTGATTTGGAACTTATGTGATTATTTTGATTATCGTTTTTCTTTTCTTTTCAGAATTTAAGGTTGGATAAGAGTGAGTGGGAAGTGAGTGCTGGCAGCTAATATGTGAAAATGAAGCTCCAGAGCTACAATGCAATCTGATGTATGTCCAAGTAGTCGCTTTGTAGAACCTGCTGAGGAAATGGGATCCAGAGTAGAGCTCAAAAATAGTTCAAAAGAGCAGAACAAGTCTACCATAGAGGACAAGGTTCAACAGCCCCAATGAGTCGAAGAACAAAGCATCTAGAGAAGGTGAAAGTGAGATCCGCTGTTGGTTTGCCAGAGTATGATCTGCATCAGAAAGCAAGACAAGATGCAGATGATAGTGCCTTGGTCCAAGAAAAGTCTTTGCGAAATCGGCATAGGCAGAGTATGAAGGCGAATGCAGCTAAAGTTGATGAGCTTGTCAAGCACATGTCAAACTTGCCTGGTTATCTTCAGCGCCCTGAGAGAGGAGAGAACGTCAAAGAAAAGGCGTTGAATGTTGGTGTTCTGGATTGGGCTCAGCTAGAAAAATGGAAGCACAAGCAGAAACATCCCCCAGAAAAAGGTAGCAATAGTTTATTGAGCAGTAGCCGAATTTCATCCTTGGAAAAGACTATTGGATCATCTACATCATCTGATCTGGTTCGCACTGGGACACAACACTCCTCGCGCTGTTCCAATCTCAAGTCATCTCAAAAGGAAGGCCTTTCTCAGGGTGCCAAACCATCTATCCAGAAAGATGTGCGCTTTCAAGACTCTAAAACTGCTTCGAAGAATGCCATTCATGGGCACAAAAAGATACCCTTCCCCTATGGGTCTCGTGGAAGAAACCACTCAGATATAATGGTTGATAAGGGAAAGGGAAAAGATTCAGGTCAGAAGATCACTTCAGAAATGGGAAATGCGGCAGCAAACTTGAAAAGTTACCGAGTCTCACTCCGTCAAAAGGAAGAGGTTAGCACTTGGGATGGTCAAGCTAAGAATACCAAGGAGTTGCAAGAATCAGATATCAAGAGGAAGAATATTGATCGAAGAATTATTTCGGAATATCACGAGGGAGCTATGTCGTCCAACTTGGGAAGATATGATGTCTCACTCAGTTCAAAAGGAAAGGCAATTGCTTCCGATGGTAAAACTGAGAAAAAGATGGAGGAGTTGCAGAAACCAGATATCAATCTATGTCATCAGCGTTTCCCTGTTGAGGAGAATACCACTGTTCTTTCTCCACCAAAGGAATTGCCCCAAAATGGCTTTACAGAGGTACTGGAGCTTTCAAAACCAAGAGCATCACGGGATGAGCGTGTGACAGAAGCTAAAGGGATTAGCTTCTCAGGTGGCTTTTCTACCAAGGAGATGGACTTTGCAGAACTCTGTTCTGAAGTTCCACACTCATGCCCACTGCCTTCTGGAGTTGAGTTTAATAAAGTGTCAAACATGATGTCAAGTGGCTCAATCAACAGTAACAGTATGGGGCCTTCCTTTGTTCCATCTCACATGCGCTCATGCTCAAAAGGAACACAAGACCTGCTATATGAAGATAAATTTATAGAGAAGAAAAATTCAGAGAAAAAGCTTACCCGTTCAAGTTTTGATGCTTCAAAAATATCAGATCAAGAAGAGCTGGCAACTAGAAATGGCAGAAACCCAACTCCCAATCGCCGATTTAGCTTCAGCTTAGGTCGGCTTGGTAGAAGTTTCAGTTTTAAGGAAAGTTCAGATATTCCACAGTTAAGTTCCACATATGTGACAGTCAAATCAGGTCCTGTGAGATCTGGAACTTCTGATTGTCCAGATAATCCAAACAGAGAGAAGGCAAGTAGTCATAATAGAGCTAGGTCAAGCCCATTAAGAAGGTTACTAGACCCAATACTGAAGCACAAGGAGGCAAATCCACACCATTCTGTTGAAGCTGTTAAACCCTTGAAAGCAAATTTTAATTCCTTTGTCCCCAGGCCAATCAATGTCAGTGACTCGTTACAAGCTGCGAAGAGTGAGGCATCATGGGTTCAAGCTTTTTTGCAATTAACAATCAAGAACGGACTTCCTTTGTTTAAATTTTGGGTTGACAACAACAGCAGCTGTCTTGCAGTAACCACGAAATTCTTCTCATCTGGAAAGGATGATGTAGTCCAATATTTTACATTTTACTCTGTTAATGAAATCAAGAGAAAAATTGGTGGCTGGATGAGCCAAGGAAGTAAAGGCAAAAGTTGTCGCTATGTTTACAACGTTGTTGGTCAAATGAAGGTTTCTAGCTCTGACTTCTCCAACGTTGACGGACAGAACTTCAGTAAGTATATGGTAAGAGAGTCTCTGTTGTATGGTGTTGAGCTAAGGCAAGCAGATCAAGAATCACCAAAGTTCGTACCAACAAGGGAGCTTGCTGCTGCTGTTGTCAAGATACCTAGCAAAGACTTGAGCCATGCTGAACAGCAGACTGACGAGGAAGTTCTGGAGAAGGGCTACGCCAAGTGTTCACCGGAGGATAGATGCTCTTACAGCTGGGAAGACAGTACTATAGTCATTCTTCCAGGTGGTGTCCATAGCTCACCAAACAAAGGAGAACCTTCGCCACTAATTGACCGTTGGAAATCTGGTGGGTTATGTGATTGTGGAGGTTGGGATATTGGTTGTAAACTGCGTGTTCTCTCCAACCAGAACAAATCCTGTCAGAATCTGAAAGCATCCACATATTATCCTTTTTCCGATCATTTTGAACTTTTCGATGAGGTATTCATTTTTGGTTTCAGCTAAGCGCCATCTCTACACCACACAATTGGTGATGTTGTTTTAGCCAATTTACATGTTGGTTTTGTATTTCATTTCAGGAGGGAGCACGGCAGAACAGGCCAGTTTTCAGTTTGGCACCAGGGAAGGATGGAAGCTACTCGATTGAATACAATACATCACTTTCTTTGTTTCAAGCATTCTTCGTCTGTGTTGTTGTGATCAGCAGTAGGAAACCATCAGATCTGTCGGAAGTGAGTAACAGGTCAGAAGCAAAAGTTTTCCAGGAACCGAGTTTGATTGGAAACAATGGAATCCAGGTGACAGGGCCAGCAAAATATGCCCCAAATCCACCACTGTCCCCCATTGAAAGAGTCTAGCTTCGTGCAAGCAAAGCCTTTCGCTGTTCCAGTCCAACAATCGATGGTCTTCAAGATTCAAGAGGCAGTTTATAGAACTCCTAAAGGCGTACTATCTCATAGTCAACAAATCATGTTGTTTGAAAGCTTGCATGAGTATGACCCTTGCAATTTTGTGCTGGTTGTACTGCAGTACCAGCATTACCTAATGTGTAAAGGAAAAAATGTCGTTCAATACAGAACTCAAATACTACAACTCAACATCTTCGAAGAATGATGGTGTAAATACTCTTATGCAGGGTTATTTCAGATATCATAGTATAATTCTCTGTGATGCCTCTGATTTTTAGTTTAAGATTAGTTTAAGATTACGACATTTTTAAGTTGAACAGGTGAAAAATTATAAGAAAAATCAGGCAAACAAAGACGAGAAGACAACAAAGGGGCAATATAGCCAAATTCCAAAATACAATACAGTTTGTAGGTTTCACAAGTCAAGAACTGAAGCATGGTGAATGCAGATAAACCATTTACCATCAATTCTCTCAAACACATTTGTTGCAAACTGTCCCCCCCAACTGCTACCCTTTGTCTTAACCAATTCCACACAAGAAACATACCCTACATCCCCTATAACACGAACATTGACATCTTTCAGCTCAATCTCTAGCGGAAATTCATAGTTCGCCCATACATAGTCCCAGCTAGTCATAACATCTTCATAACCATATATCCCACGTGCACCAGGGTGCACACAACAGACTTCTTTCCGGTTGGCCCAAAGGGCTTGCATGGCAGCTAGATCCCCAATCCTGAATGACTCGTAAAATTGAGCATTTGCTGCTAAAACAGAAGTTGTACTATCTTGGCGCAGAAGTTTGAGGCTATCCCTAATTTGTGCTGCTTTAGCATAGTTCTCCTCTGCAATGGCAATGTCTAGATCACGCTCCAAGGTTTGCACATCCAATAAGACGCTTTCGCCACTTGCATTATCCTTTAAGTCATCGCCTTTCACATTACATGGTCTTAATAACCGTAAACCAGAGGCCTGAATAGAGGATGCTGCACTGAAAAAGTACAGATTAGAAGTGCTCAAATGGATGGTACATTGCATCAAAAGGTCAATGGATTCAAGGCTTTGATGAACATGTAACAGTCGAAACCTTACAATTTATGGGTAAATTCCTATCAGAGGTTTTCAAGATATATAGATTACAGTGGCAAGGAAAATAAACTTACTGGGTCTTTCAGTCCGCAATTTGATACGACGATCCCCAGGCAAAAACTGATTTTTATTCCCCCTTCCAAACGTCTTTGCTACAACTAAATTGTATTGCTTTAAAGAAGGTGAAGAGAGATGATGAAGCATCCCGAAACTATAATTGCAGGAACACGGCAAGCTGTAAAATTCCCTAAAAGAACCATTTCCCTAGAAAAATAAAGATCAAAATAAGTACATATCACCTCAACTTGAAATATAAGAATGTAAACAACAATACAGGAAATAATTAACAAATTCAAGCATCTTCCATTCGTTTCTTTCATAACTTTCAAAAACCCAATCCGAATTTGAGATTTCCAACATTGTGAAATGGAAATTCAGAAAGAAAGTAAGCTTTTTTCATACAAAGATCACAACTTTAAAATATACATTTACTCTAAAGCTTATCATAACTCACATTTAAGCAGAAACTAGATCCATGAAGCGCCATGAAGAAGAAGAAGAAGAAGGTCTGCAATACAACCCAGAAATTATATAACGAATAGGTCAAGGGTAAGGATAAGGATTAGGGTTAGGGCTTTGAGCTGTCAGTCTCCTGTTAATAGTTAGAGAACCTGCAGGAACTGAAAAATTAGGACCAGTGGAGGGCATTTGAGAAGACAAAAGAAAATGGGCCTGATTCAATGGGCCGGCCCATATTTTTGCAATTTTAGGTCAACTTGGTTGGGCCTAGGCCAAACTCTGGACCTTCCAGAAAAGATGTCGTTTTTTTACTTCTCGAAACAAAGAAGAGACTCCTTCCAAGAAACTTCTGGGGACATATCGTACATGTTGTAAAGGCTTAATCGTGTAATGGTGTGGCTCCAAAACATTCCAAGATTGAAAAGATTTCTTAATGAACTAACAACAATACATGTGAATGTCCACCATTTTCCTTGTCAACGACAAATTGCACCCAAAAAATTAGCATAAGATAATATCAAATCGCCTATCTCCAATACTTTATTCTTCACTTTGTTTTTTGTTATTCACTAGGAAATTTCAATTGCTCAAACTTACTTCATTGACAACCAAGTTTTCTTGTTATTTTAAACTTCTAGGACTTAAACCATATTCTCAATGACAGACGGACTTAGGATTTTAAAATGAGGTTGGCTAAATTTACTTTACGTTCAAACCTACACCAAAATCGATTACAAATCCTATTTGATAATTCAAAACTCATAAATTGAAACTAATAAGCCCTAATTACAAATCCCCAATTGATAATTCATAAGTCTCAATTACAAATCCCTAATTGATACTTCATAAACTCCAAGAGAAACTCCAATCTCTTTTTCTTGTTATTTTAAACTTCTAAGGCGGGGAGACTTAAACCATATTCTCACATGGCATGTTTCATGGATTTTAAGACCTAAAGAGTGCTTTGTAATCAAACTATGTATATTTTGACCAAGCAATTAACTTGACTTGCTCAAACAAAAACAAAAACAAAATAAAATTGAATGGTGGGGGCTAAGAGCACGTTGGTCAACAGTTCGAAATTTGGTCCAAGGCAATTGAAATATTCAAAGTTTTGTGAAAAAGCCACTCTCCTCCGTACACCTAAAGACTTTGGTCAAAATTGGAAAGCTCTTGAAGGGTTTTCAAAGAAAAAATGATGAAGGGGATCTGATAAAATCCGTGCACATTTTTTGACAGACCAATGGGATCTTCGGAAGGGCTGTGTGTGGGCATGAAATGGGACTCTTAGAAAGGTTCAGACTGGGTTCACGTAAACCTAACCCACAATGTTAGATTTGCAGAGTACGTAACACGGATTTTTGTATTGTGGTAGTAAATTATTGACAAGTCATCAGATTTTGCATGCAGCAACAAGAAGTGGTTCGTTCAGTGGTCCTGGTTTATATAAGTCACGCTGACCCTTTCTTCCTTGGATGCTGCCTGCCTGCTTATGCTTATTTTGATGCCCCTCTGCGGACAAAAAAGTCGATGACATAGAACATTGAGTAGGCCATATTGTCCATTGGGCAAACATCAGTGAACTTGTCTAACAAGCCTCCCAAACATCCAGGATTTATGAACTTGTCTAGCAAGTATTCTATTTATTCTTTCACTGTGTTTATTAACACATGGGTATTTGAATGATTCTAATTCTTTACTTTCTATTTATTTACTTACACATAAAGAACTAAAATTTCGGTGAATTTAATGTTAAAACTCATAATTAAATACTCTTAAAACAAGGAGTAAAAAATGAATTAGAATAAAGTAGTTGATTTGATGTTTACAGTTGTTCATGAACGCGCATAAAATAAGAGACTGCAAAACTCTAATATATTGGTATCGAGAGAGCCTATATGAAGGGATTGTTTTAAGTAGAAAAATGGCAAAAAATAGGGTTTGGTCTGGTTGGTGGGTAGAGCTGAGCTATGTATAACCATTCATAGTGGCATGTATAATAAGCTAATAAACAAAACAAGTAATAATTAGAGATATAGGATTGGAGAATGAGAAGGGAGTGGTGAGTGGGGAGAGAGATGGGGAATCTTTTGGGTTTTGGCATGGAATGGAGGTAAAGATGTAGGGAGGTTGACTGCCTGCTCTCTCTCTCTCTCTCTCTCTCTCTCTCATCATTCGCTGCTTAACCTTCCTTCAACCCAAACCACCTTTCACGCGTTGACCACCATTTCACCGGTCCATTTTGTTGTGCCCCTCCTCACGTTGCCCAAGTCATTGACGGAACTACCCTTCTCCAATAACTATCTTTTTGGTGCTAATATTATTAGGTTTTTAAATTAAAAAAAAAAAAAAAAAAATCAAATGGGCCATACCCATACTAATTTATTTTTTTTGTCGTTTGGCAGTAAATTATTTAACAACGCATAAAAGGTGAGTGATGGGATTATGCTGCATAAAGTTATGGAATCATCCAATTCTACTGTGTAAAGTCATTGCGGTGGATGAACTCAGATTTGCAAATAAACCAATTCTAGCCACCCAAATCAGTTTGAATTGATTCGCTGTGTTAGAATTGGCCTTTTGGTAGGTTTAACTTTAAGATTTGAATTAAATTATTTATACCATGCTGATTGGCCACATTATTAATGATATATCTCACATTGCTAAAATCTACTTAAAATTGTACGTGTTCAATTAAGTGTTACTTCTTTTCATCTTTTTGTTTGTACCCCATAATAGTATTCATCTAGCAGCACATCTTTCTTAAAATGAGATTCACTTTTCGATTATAAATGGACCGTCTTGACTATTCTTTGTATGATCTCATGATGCTTCTTTCATTTTGAATACAACATTTTTTTAGGCTTTTTATCACAAATGATTTCATGCTTTGTTCACAGAGAGAGAGAGAGAGAGAGAGAGAGAGAGAGAGAGAGAGAGAGAGAGAGAGAGAGAGAGAGAGAGAGAGAGAGAGAGGAGAGAGAGAGAGAGAGGTGGGTTTGTGAGGGGGCAAGGAAAGAGAACAGATGGAGAGGGAGAGAGAGAAGAAAGATATTTAAAAATATATAAAAAATATTTAAGCACATGTATGTGTGAATATTCTTAATATTATACCATTAAGTATAAATATTGAACAAAGAAAATCTAATATATAAACATGACTTGCCACCCAAATAATTTTTCGTAGTAGCGAGATGGTCCCATTTATTTACTGTTCATTTACTTTCCGAATTACGTCATCAGCTTCTTTTCTTCTTCCCCTGCCACAAGCAAGAAACAAAATTAATGTAAAAAAAATAGTAAATTTGGCTTACACCCTTCAAATTCAATTTGCCATACCTAAAACCCTTCACTTTTTGTTCCTATAAATAATACCCAATTTGTATAAGTAAAAACCCATTACTAGGATCCAACTCAGCAATTACCTAATTAAGCATAAAATCTGATTTATTGTACTTTTCAGATTCCAAAAATACCCCCAACGAAGCCATTATTGCATTTTGTATATTAATGTAGGAATCAATATGGAAACAGTTTTTAATTGGATTGTATATAATGACAGATGTTGAATTTGGAAAGATCTCCAAATGGTTGTAATGGATGTAGGAATTAATTTTGGAACATTTTAAAAAATAATAATAATAAATTCAAATTTGGGTAATTGGTTTGTTTAATAAAATGTTTATGTTATTTTCTTTTTATGAATTATACATGACTAATAATCCACTTTATAATTGTTTATGAATAAAACTGTACATACTAATTATGTTGAAAAATTAATGTACCTATTTGTTTTATGAAAAATATAATTTACCTAGTATGAAAAGTGTACATAATTATCTATTCCAATATACCTACATTAATTTTAATGTACTTACAATTAGGATTTAGGTATTATATGTCATCCAATGTACCTACCATTTGAATAATATACCTACTACGAATAAAGTACCTATTATTTATCTAAATAATGTACCTATTTTTTTCTATAAATAATATAGCCTTTTTTCTCTGAATAAAGTTCCTATTATTTGTTTTATTAAACGTAATTTTTTTAAATGAACCTATTTTCTCTCTCCAAATAACTTACCAATTTTTTTCCTCTAATAATTTACCTATCTTTCCTCTCCAAATAATGTACCTATATTTTATATAAATTATTGTGTACCTATTTTTAATTATGAAAAATATACGCAATTACAAAGTAACTGACATTTTTTTTTGGGTAAATAATATACCTATATTTTATATGTATATATTTATATTATATTTTTCATAGGTACATTATTGGATATGTAATTTACAGATTTTTTTTGTTTGTTTGCAATTTTAGGGGGCGAGATGTGAGAGGGAATGACAACTAAAAGAAATGGGGTGATTGATATGCTATTAATAGGGAGTATATTAATTACAATTATGGCAGTTAATGAAATGCTTGAAATAAATTATAAATAAAATATGAAGTTTAGTGGCAACGATGTAAAAACATAAAAATACTACGACCTCTTATATCATACTGGTCATTTAAATTTGAAATTGGGTTTTACACATAGATTTATAGAGTGATGGGTATATGTCTAGGAAATAGAAAATGTATGGATCTATATTGGACAAGCCCAAAAGTTAATTACAATATCCTCGAAATCACAAAGCTCAGTTGGGGAATCTACTTTTGTCTGTATACGTGTACGTAATTTACACAAAAAAAGGTTAAAAGAAGTCGTTGGAAGAAGTTAATGGGTGACAAAAATGCCGAGTCAGACAGACAACTCCATGCTCTATAGACTCTACAATGTAGCAATGCTATGTTCACCTCAAAATTAACCCCCACCACCAATAAACCCCCTCATCTCCTATTTGGTCTTCCCAGGGCGATCCCACGTGGCTTCCACGTGCTCCTGTTCCTATTCTCGAGTGGCACGTAAATGCTCGGTATTCAGTATAATTAATTCACTTATGTTACAACACGTGTGTATTTATTATATATTACAAGATGCATGCACACTCTATTTCATTTCCACATTTTCAAACTTTGAATATTATTGCTATTGATTTTGAATAATAAAATGAATAAAAATGGAAGTTTGAAATTTGAGGAGCCGACGAGGGAGTCTGTTATCCTCGTTTACGGAGCCCAAACGCGGGGGACCAGAGTGCCAGGGCATTATCGTAATCGAACCCGGAACTTTGACCTCATAAAACGATTAGTTAAATAATTAACAAAAATAATAATTTCCTAAATCTGAATTTACGATAATTATATAAAAATTAATGCAGGCTAGGGCCGGACGATTTACCGCCTTCCTACGCGGCCCGCACACTCTTCCCCACAGTAAAACTGTAATACAAAATTGCCGCCACCTTTTATTTTATTTTATTTTCCTATTATTAAAACAACATATACAGTTATAATTTCGAGAACGAGAATATCTGCTTTTACCTCGTTTTCTCAAATTTAGTTTATAATTTTTTTAAATAAACAAATAAAAAAGATTTTACTGTTGAGAATAGTTAGCAAGGTTCACTCATCAGTTTCGCAGAGAGTAATAATAATAATAAGAAGAGCGAGAGAGGGAATAAAGGAAAGGGAGGAGAGAGAGAGAGAGAGAGAGAGGGGTCGGCGATTTGTAGAAAAATAAATAGAAAGGGGGGGCTTTTCTTTCTTTCGTTCTCCCTTTCTCTGTCTCAATCTCCTGTGTGAGAGTTTCTAGAGAGAGAAAGATAGAGGGAGAGAGAGTGAGTTTTAAACATTTTAGTGTGGTTTTTGAATTGAATTGAATTGAATCGTGTATCTCTTTCTCTGTCTCAACTGTCGCCCCCGTGTTCAACTCGCGTGGCTGGCCCAGCACTACCAGACGCACACAGACAGACGAAGAAGCCAAACACAGAGAGAGAGAGAGGGAGAGGAGAGAGAGAAGAGAAAGAATAAAAAAGCCTTTTGCTTTTCTTTTTCTTCCGTTTCCCGATTTATCAAATTGTACGCGTTATTGGTCTCTCTCCGCTTGTAAAAAAGCCTTTGGCTTTGGTGGTGCCCTCCACGCCTCCACTCAAACTCAGAGCCGCAGAAGAGCCCTTCAATCGCCTCAACAATCAGATCTCCTGGGGTCTCAGTGGTGTCAATTCGCGGCTCTGATCCCCTTCAGGAACCGCTCTAAACGACCGTGTTTTGTTCCTCTCCTTCTTCTTCCTCACATTTGATTCGATTTTGAAGGGTGCCCAGCAATCATGTTGTTGACCTTGTGAAGTAATATGGAAGTTGTGGTTACACCAATAACAACAACAACAACAACTAGAAGATGACGCTTTACATTGGTCGCGAGTCATCAAAGGTTTGCTCTTTTTCACTTTGCATTAATACCCTTTTTCTCTTTTTAAATTCAGAAACGCAAAAAAATTGCCTTTTTGTTGCTTATGAGTTATGACTGATGTGCTCCTTTTTCGTTTTTGTTTTGTATTTCTGATTTGAGAAGCTCTGGAAGAGAATTTGCGCTGAGGTAATCACCGAGATCAACCTCCTTGCCGCGAATTGGAAGTATCTTCTTGCCGGTCTTGTTTGTCAGGTGCTTCTTCTTCTTCTTCTTCTTCTTCTTCTTCTTTTCTCACTCTTAATTTCCAAAGCTCTTCACGTTCAATTACTCTTTTGGTTTTCAAACTTTTGGAGCTTCCAAGTGAACTTTGCTTATGGTGATGAACAATGGGTCAACCAGCTTTCTCTGATTGAAAAAGTAATTTACTATGGGACTTTTCATTTTGAAGGCAAGAAAAAAGAAAGTTGAAAGTTGGTTCTGGTACAAGGTTAAGATCATGGTTCGACATTGTGCGAACTTTGAGAGAAGATGTATGCTTTTAAGCTTCAGAGGAAGTTACCATCAGTTTAGAAGCGTCTGACGGTTAAACAGCAGTTTTCTAACTAAACAAATGCTACTATCGCCAATTTTATTTCATCTCCTAATTCAAGTGTGGAACTTGGGATGCATTGATACATCGTTGGTGCTAGTGAGGTTTATGGATTTTGAAACTGATTCTGGCTTTCTTCACCTATTTGATGAATATGTTAATGGGTTTTTATCAATTTAAGTCCATCAGACTAGAAAAAGTTCTTTGTAAGCAGATATTTTGAACAGCGTTGTTTTGTTTTGCTCTTTGTAATTTTCATTTTTTCCCCATGTTAATTTATGTGAGCTTTATATTTCAAGTTCATCTCATTTGCAGTACATACATGGTCTAGCTGCTCGAGGAGTTCATTATATACATCGGCCAGGGCCAACACTCCAGGATGCTGGCTTCTTTCTTCTTCCGGTTCGTAGCAATCACTTTTGGTTTCATCTGTGTAGTGTGAAATTGATCATGGGAAGTGCTTTCCTATATTCAATCCTGTGTATTTGCTATAATGAGTTTGGGTGTCTTTGTAGGAACTCGGGCAAGACAGAGCTTATATCAGTGAGACCCTGTTCAGCTTCATCTTTTTATCCTTTGTGTTGGTAAGGTTCTTCTGTGTTGTCTTTGTTATATTTCTTTCATCTCTATAACATAGTTACATGTGCCTCGTTCTGTTCAATTTAATTTCATGGGGATAGTAGTAGTGTATATATTGGCATTGGTGACTGAATCTGCATGTTCGTGTGTCTTGAATTTGCTATTGATTCATCAAAGCAGTTCATAGTTTTTGCCCTCCTTATTGGAATAGGCTTCTGTCAGCATCTCTTCTATGACACTAAAACTGATGTGCTTCGCAACTTACATTCATGATTAATTCTGTCAAATTGTTTAACTGACTGACTTCAGCTGCAGATCATATGAATAATTGAAAATGTTGTGAAACAGGTTTTTTTTTCTTTCCTGCTTTTTATAGTTTCTTTATTTAATAGCTTTTTGTTTCCTTTAAAGTTTCAAAAGTTTGAGGGTGTTTTATGCAATACTATCTTTTAAAGTAAATCACTTGAACTTAACATGTTATCTGCTGTCCATGTTGGTGTTCATTTTATAGTTATTCCTTTTGAACTTTCTAGCCTCTCTTTCATTGATTGATTAGTGTACAGTTTCAACTTATTTGCCCACTTGTATTCTGGTTTATTCTCTGGTAAGTTCCAGTTGTGCATTTCTGCTTTGCAGAAAAGTTTACATTATATATATTTCCCTTAATGTGGTGCATGTTCTGTTGCAGTGGACTTTTCATCCTTTCATTTTCAAGAGCAAAAAGATATACACGGTTCTACTATGGTGCAGGGTTCTAGCATTCTTAGTGGTAAGTAGTGATAATTTCCTTTTTGGTTTTTGATTTTTGATTTTTTACTTTAACTGATTTGAAATCTGGATTCATGCCGGCGTGATGTCTGAGAAGGATGAAATGGAAAGTTACCTCCAGTAACAGAATTTGAGAAGTTGGTTCTATGATAAACTTGGAAATATTGGTTCATTTTGTTTTGTTATTTTGTTATTTACTTTTCTTTTACTTGTACCTGATTTGACAAACTCATGAGAGCTAATTTAGTTCTAATGGTTCATTTGATATTTGGAATTCTATTAGATTTCTTTTCTTGATTTTTTCGGCTTTTAAGTCATGTCTTGAGTTTCTTCTTTTCAATGTGCTGCCTGAGAAAGATAAGTTGTGAATTGAAACTTTTGTATGCAACAGAGAAAACAAAACTTCGCCATTTAACTTTTTCTGTGAACCGATGGTGACAAACATACCCATAATTTTTTTTTCTGACAGTTTCTACTCTTTATTGCAGGCATCTCAATTTCTCCGGATTATCACATTCTATTCCACCCAGCTTCCTGGTCCAAATTACCATTGTCGTGAGGTAGGCTGATTGTTTAATTTCTTGATGTTGTGGTGTTCCCTATGATGTGGTGGAGTTTAATTTTTATTTACTTTTGAAATTTTCTTTATTGGTGCTGTGCAAAACTCTCTGTATGTTGTAGAAAGCTAAGAAGCTCTATTTTAATTGTGCAGGGTTCTAAACTTGCCAGGCTGCCTCCTCCGGATAGCGTATTCGAAGTCCTCTTGATCAATTGTAAGATATCTTGTTTTACTCAGATAATTTGGCATATTGCTTCTAGTATTACGGCTTTGTGCTGATTTTGATTGCTAAAAATATGCAGTTCCGAGGGGTGTACTTTATGGTTGTGGTGATTTGATTTTCTCATCGCACATGATATTTAGTCTTGTCTTTGTGCGCACTTATCAGAAATACGGTACACAAAGGTAAAACTTAGCTTCTGAATTTAACAACTTGTGACTGACATGAATTTTAAGTGCATTGTGTTTGGCTTACCTCTAAGATAAATTGGCTTCTGGGTTCTGCATAATTAATTTTGTATTTAATCTTTCTACCAATGTCATTTTTCTAGATGTACAAAGTCTTGAATGATTTAGAGTTGTCACTGCAGATTTATAAAGCAGTTAGCTTGGTTACTCGTCGTGATCCAGAGTTTCTTGATTGTGGCATCGCGCAAGCATTACACGGTTGATGTTGTTGTAGCATGGTATGAAGATTTTTGCATGCTTTCATGTTTACATTTGTTTTTAAGCAGATGAAAGTTTCTAAGTTATTTATTTGGTTGAATAATATGAATTCCTGCAGGTATACTGTTAATTTGGTTGTATTCTTTATTGACAAGAAATTGGCAGGTTAGGTTGTTTCCATTTGTTTTTTTTTCTTTCTAATTTCTTCATATTTTTGGTTTGGTACCAATGAGCAGCGGTACTAACATAGTTGTTATTGCAGAATTACCTGACCGGACCAATGGAGCTGCATCTCTCTTGTTACCCCTAAGTACGAAGGACAAAGATAGTAAGAACAAAGAAGAGAATCACAAGCTCTTGAATGGAATCTCCGGAGACCCTGCTGATAGGGTATAGCGAATCTGCACTTCTACAATTTGAATTTATCAGTACTAAAGAAATCAGCAGAGCATTTTGTGATATGGACTAGAATTTACAGTTTTTGCTGTTATTTATGCAGAGGCAAAGAACTCAAGTTAACGGCAAGACTCTGGACGATGTAAACACAGTACATGTCGATGCTACAATGAACGGTGCATAGAACAGAAGGGACGGTGCTGCAACAAGCAGACTTTTGTTAAATGGCTTATTGTCTATTAGGACCCTGAGTTGAAATGAAAGGTTCTGTAACATGTGTGGATGGGTTCTGTGCTGGAGACATATGACATGATTTGTATTCTAATGGAAATGGAATTTGGGTTACGTAGTTTTCACATTTTGCAGTCCTTGCGTTGTTCTACTTACAAGTTATAAGGACTTCATATGATCATCATCTAATACCCAGCATCAGCATGCACCATCGGACTTAGAAGTTACACGAAATTCTGTTTTTACCATGCAAGTGTTCCCTTTTAACCTGTTGACCATTGGATGGTTTTGGAAAAAAAACCTTTAAATTCAGTAGATCTAGACAAGTCATAGCTTGATGAGAGAGGGAAGGGAGCACATGATTTGTGCTGTTGGTCCAAGTTAGTGCTTCCTTCCTGTCAATTTTCTATATGCAGCTATTGCCCCACATTGTCTTGTAGACAGCAGTTTCCTTGTATGTACAGAACAGCACAAGATTTCTCATCCGGAAAGACGTCTCCTACAAAATTGAAACCTCACCTCACATGCCCTCTTCTCTTGTCACGTGGAGGGATAACGTGCCTCCCTGCCTTCTTTCTATCACAATCACATTACAAAACTTGGTTTTTTTTTGGTTTGGGTTGGGGGGGAAGTAACGGGAATAACATTATTTTGCTGTCGAACTACTTGTAACGGGGATAACATTATTTTGCTATCTCCGATCAATAACATAATGACACGTGAAAAAGTAATGCAATCCCCATTGCGTGAGAGTTTCTTTCCAGAGGGGTTTCTTTTATCACATATATAATATTAATGCAGTCCAAGAAATTGGGTTTTCATAAGGGAACCAATTTTAATTTCTGAAATTGTATTTCACAACTTGATTGCAGCCGTGCTGTCCTTGCTTTGTGATCACTACACAAATGCTGAAGGAGATTAGCTTATGCTGGTATCGTCTTAGATTGCCAATGCCTTTTGTTGAAAATGGGGTAAAAAAGGTTATGGTATAAAGTTGGCATGCTTGTGTACTTACACTACAATGCTTCATGAGTAAAAACTAATATCGCGATTACTAAACAATTTTCTTCCATTATGGTGTCAAACAAAAAACCAGCTTTTGGGCATACCAGGGTCATATTATGGCATGCATCCGATGAATTGCACCGGATACTCGCAGAAAAAAAAACCCTATAGTACAAATCGACTCTACTTCATGATATACAGACCCAAACATATAGAGGGATGATTTGAATTTAACCCATCTAAATCAAGCTTTGAAACCGATGCATCATTGCAAAACCAGATCTTTATCTTTGTCCTTTAATTATTATATTCTGTTGTTGCTTATATTTTAGTTTCAAATATATGCCCTTGGGATGGGCTGTATGCTGTATCTGTATTATCACAGTAAATTTTGCTTGCCCATGTGAGCTTTCTGTTGATACTTGACAGCATAGAGAGAGGCCCCATATGTATAGCTGGGCCATCTTATGAGTTATATATGAGATGAGATGAGAGGCAGGATAAAGATGAGCAGCATATTGCCCCCACTCTCCTCCATCACCAGAAAGCACGCTGGCGCAATTTCAGCTGCAAAAGCTGGTCAATAAAGAGAGCAATTTTTTTGCCAAGTCTATTTGTGTGATCTATTTTATCATATGAGCCTTGTCAATGTCATGATTGAGGCATGTCTAAACTAAACTCTCTAAAAAAACCAACCACTTTTCTCCTTTGATATGTTTTTTCTTTTTCATGTAGAAGAGGGTCCTCTAGACCCCCATATGGGTGCATGTAACACTGTTTCTACTCATAGCAACACTTGTCACACTGTCTGATCAAGCATGTTCTGTTTTTTCTTCTTCTACTAGCATATATGCATGATATTCGTGGTTAATTTTTACCCAGGATTGGACTTGTATTTGCTAAATTATGTGAAACAAGGGTAAAAAGTAAGAAATGATTCTCTCTCTATAAGTTGGAACTGTCACTCCTTCAAAACAGAGGCACACAATTTGTTTTTTTTGCTTTTGTTTGTGTCTTGTACAGTATTTGATCTGTGTTGATGTTGAAGTTTCGTGCAAGAACAAGTTGGGATTGCAAACACATGGCTTCAGTGTATAGTGGGCAATGGCATGATCATAGGTTATTAGTATTTTCATTAACAACTTCATTAATAATTCATCATTATGCATAGCTTTTCCATAACAGCAATCAACATCAAACTGTATATGTTATATATAGAGGCCTTCTCTAGTAATCGTTCAGGTTTTAGGTTGTCTTTTAAGAATTACTCATGTAAAAAGATCAGCTAAATAATAAATTGTTTAGTCATTGAGTTATCTGCATTTTCTGTGTTTTTTTCAGACACATTTTAAGTAACCAAACAACTTCCGATCTAGATAATATTTTGCACGAATGATGATGACTTGAAATATAACGATTCCTATCATTGACCTGTGTTGTAGGGTTTCGCACCCAAAAAAAAACTATGTTGTAGGGTAAATAACTACTTTCTGCTCGTCTTCCATTTCCCACATCTGAATTCCCTTGTCACCTTTCAAAACTAATACGATTAAATAGACTTCAACATTCATTAAAGCTACTTAATTACCCTGAACCTCTGATACAGAACAGAAGTCACTATTTGACACCAAAAAAAGAAAAAGAAATCTATATGCATATAGTTTTATTTTAGTGCTCGAAATGATCAGGCTTTAATGGCCCTTGGGCAGCTGCTAAGTACTGCCATGCCTGTCTATTCAGTAAGAGGCCAGTTTAGGCATAAAACACAGAGAGACCAATCAATTAGTCCAAATGTTGTCACCACCAACTGCCATCAATTGTTGTCAACATTCTTTGTATTAGAATAATGAAGCCAGTTTTGTTTTTTTTCCCCTGGGACCCCTTTCTGTCAAATTTGTGAAACTATCATAAGCTGATGGGGACTAAACAGAAAAACACAATTAAATCCTAAGATCGATGTTAATGACGAGTGATTAATTTTTTTTTATTTTTAAAACAAGAATTTAACACATCAATTCATCCAATTTGTTTTGTTTGACTTTGTTGACCTAATTCAAGAACAAAACGGCCACTTGATTTGACCACTAATCCACTCTTGAAGAAAAAGGAGAGAGAAAATGATGACTTTGCAGACCATCAAGAAAGTAGACAGAAAAAGGCCGTTTCCTTTTCATTCTGCAATTTTTTTCTTTCTTGGTGGGTTGCATTTTTTTTGCATTTTGCAACACACACACACAGTCTGCCTCTGACACTCACACACCAAACGTGAAAGCACACATTCACACACACACACACACTGTGATTATAATGGCAATGGCCTTGAAATCAAAACAATAATAAACAAATAATAATACTCCCTTATTAATAATCTAAAGCACAAATTAAGAATATAATTTCAGTTTTATATTTTACTTTGTTACACTGAAGTTGATTTGAACTTACTGGTAGCTTAGCTATTACACAGAGAGCAGAGAGAGAGCTGAAAGTCTGAAATGAATCAACTTTGGATCCACAAAACTTCACTCTCTGCAAATTAAACTGAAGCTCCTCTGTGTCTGATTGATGTCCACCGACTGATCATTTGACTTTCCCACTCCCTCTCCACCGCTCGATCCCTCTCTTTCTCTCCTTCAATGGGAGGCCGCTGCTCCAGATTCTCCCTCTGCTGGTTCACCTCCCACCTTAAACCCTCCGTCCTCGAATCCTCCGAACTCGGTAACCATTCTTCTCATCACAAGTTCAAAACTTTCTGTTTTCGCTGTTTTCTTTTTTTGTTGGTTTGTTTGTTTTGTTTCTTTTGAGCTCTGAGTGATGCCGTCGTTGTTTTGTTGCAGAGAATGGGGGCAAAAGTGACAAAAACTTGTGGCCGAGCTTCACTGAATTCAACCTGGATCAACTGAAAACCGCCACGTGTGGCTTCTCCTCCGACAACATAGTCTCGGAGCACGGGGAAAAAGCTCCAAATGTTGTCTACAAGGGAAAGCTCGATAACGGCCGTTTGGTCGCCGTCAAGCGATTCAACAAGCTGGCCTGGCCCGACTCTCGCCAGTTCCTGGTCCGTCGTTAAACTTACCATTACTATAAATTTGTGATTTTTTCTTTCTGGGTTGTACAATATTTTTATAAAAATGGAAGCTTTTGAAATTGAAGTGAATTAATGATGGTTTTGATAGGAGGAAGCGAGATCGGTGGGGACGCTGAGGAGCGAGAGATTGGCGAATCTGATCGGATGCTGCTGCGAAGGAGATGAGAGGCTGCTTGTAGCGGAGTTCATGGCTCATGAGACTCTGGCCAAGCATCTGTTTCACTGGGAGAGCCAGCCCATGAGATGGGCTATGAGGTTGAGGGTGGCTCTGTATTTGGCTCAAGCTCTAGACTATTGCAGTGGCAAAGGTCGTGCTCTGTATCATGATCTCAATGCCTACCGGGTCTTGTTTGATCAGGTAAAATTAATAAGGCCTGCCTTTTGAAATCTCTTCATTTTATTGAATGAAGATGTTTTTTTTTCTTTAATGTATATTTACCATCTGGGTTTTTAACTTGGCACCCACAGGACGGTAATCCCAGGCTGTCATGCTTTGGCCTCATGAAGAACAGCAGGGATGGCAAGAGTTACAGCACTAACCTGGCTTTCACTCCTCCTGAGTACCTCAGGACAGGTATGGCCACCTAATTGAATACCATTGTACTTTAGAAAATCAGGCTAAGAAAATGTTGAAAACTATTTATTGTGTGCCTTTACCTACTAGCAAAATTCTGCTTTAGAATTTAATGTAGTCACACACACCACATTTGAAGACCCATTTGCTTTTCTAACTTCGGGGAATCGCCTTCACTGATTTGGGGATTTGAATATTGACGATGATGAAAGTTAAAATAAGCTTTTTGTGCCACCTTTATTCGTTTGGCTTTCATCTCATCAGTCTCTTTCTCTCAGTAAAATTCAATGGAACATGGATTACAGTTTGTATATAGTTGGTGCCATTGACAAGCATGGAAACCAGCATTACCTAGTTGATCTTTCCTTCCCCTTTCCTCTAAATTATGAATTCCATTGGTTGCCATATGATAGTGAATATACGTGCGTCTTTGGTTGGCAGGTAGGGTGACACAAGAAAGTGTAGTTTACAGCTTTGGAACCTTATTGCTGGATCTTCTAAGTGGCAAACATATTCCCCCCCAGCCATGTGAGTTCTATGCCTATTTCTCTTTACAATAATCCACTAGAATGAAGGTTAATACATTAAGTTCTTTAGATACTTAATAGCAAGTCGGTGGTCACTGAACTTCCCCTTAAATAGGCATCTTTTCCAAAAGACAATAAAGATGTCTAAACATCTGATCCCAACTAAACAACAACATATTCATTTATTTAAGTAGTCGCTCGTAAATTCCTCCGAACTGTGTTTTTATTTCTTTCATTTGGTCTCTAAGAGTTAGTAGCCTGGTGTTTGGTTAATAATACTAGTACGCAGTTTCATGCTCCTATTGCTAAACTTTTTTACTTCAAAAATTGATCCTAAGTGATTGCAGAAGTGGTAGGCGTAAAACATGATAGAAAATTACCGTACCCTTGTCTTTTATTACTCCAAATATTGGTTTGAGTATCAAATTAGGGGTTACCATGTTTGCATGTCTTGTTTGAAGGCACTAGATCTAATTCGTGGCAAGAATTTCCTGATGCTGATGGACTCTGCTCTGGAGGGTAATTTCTCAAATGATGATGGAACTGAGTTAGTACGCTTAGCTTCACGCTGTCTGCAATATGAAGCTCGTGAGAGGCCAAATGCAAAGTCCATCGTCACTGCTCTCATGTCACTTCAGAAAGAAACAGAGGTAGGGCTGGCATCCTTATTTTTAATGTATATCACACATATTTCACATGATCCTAGACAAATGTTAGGCCTAGATTCTTACTTTTTCTTGTATCGTAGTACACCCCTTAGGCATATAAATAGGCTTTGCCTTGTACATTATTACTCTCTCACAACAACATAATTTCCTTTTTCTGTCTTTTGTGTTGTTATTTTAACGTGATACTAGAGTCACCAATTAGTGGCATGAATTAATTTCGATAGTGAGTACAAGTGCTTGTCCGTCTCTACACACCTTCTCTGTTCCTTTTCTCTTTGATCAGAATCTGTATTTGTCAAATCAGTTTGACAGTATCCCCATTTGATTCATATACCATCAATATATCAGGGATGAAGTAGGGTAAGATTTGGATCCTACCTCTGTCTAGATGAATTATATATGTGAAATGTGAGAAATACATTAACAATGTCTCAGACTCAAGGTGATATACAAGAAACCGTCTTAAGCTAACATGTATGTATACAGCTTAGATACACGAACTCAACATATAATATTACCAACTTCAACATACAGAGTTCTATTCTTTCTTTTATGTTATTCTTACAATTGCTTACCTTTTTGAGTTTGTCTATTCTCAAAGCATTATAACCTTTTCTTGATACTAACCTCATTTCTTTTGCAACTTAAAAACAAGTGGGGATGGAAACGAATTTCTGCTGAGAATGAAATTTAGTTTTCCCCTGTATCAATTGTGGACATCGCAATGGTTGTCCATGCTAGCCTGCCTTTTAACAGCTAAAAGTTCGCTTGGAAAGAGTATAATTTCTCATTCCATAGTTTTCGAGCAGGTTGCATCACATGTTTTGATGGGTATCCCACATGAAACCACATCCTCGACGCAGCCATTGGCATTAACACCTTTTGGAGAAGCTTGTTCGAGAATGGATCTCACTGCCATACATGAAATATTGGAGAAGAATGGATACAAGGATGATGAGGGGATTGCTAATGAGGTCTGCCACTGCCTGTCCTGTACTTTATTCTTTTAACTTTGACATATGATATAGGGACTTTGCATTTATGAACAGTAACAAGTGCTTTTTAATATGATTCTTCCCCATATATTTCTTTCTTTATTGTTTGGTAATCACTTTAGTGCTAATTCTGCTTGAGATATTTGGGCACTGCAGCTTTCTTTCCAGCTGTGGACTAATCAAATGCAGGAGACCTTGAATTCTAAGAAGAGTGGAGATTCCGCTTTTCGAGCTAAAGAGTTTGCCACTGCAATTGATTCCTATACACAAGTGAGTCTCTGTTTGTGAATAATTTTAAACTGTTATATAGAATTATGCTTTCTTCTAACCAGTTACCGAACTCAACACATTGCAACCTTCAAAAAGTGGCACAGTATCTGGATATTTTCTTTTCTTTTCAGAGCACATATAATATAAAAAAGTTTAGTAAGGGTCAGAAATCTGATACCTGTTTCAGATTTAGTTGATTTTTGATCTGTTTGCTATACACTGTATCGATAATTTGATATAAGTCATCAGACAGTTTGTATATTATATAATGCTGTTGAGAAAGATAAGGATACTATCATTGAGGTGTTTGTTGGGAATGTAGAATTTGTCAAGTCCAGGCTGATTTTGTTTCTACACTTTCTGGTGTCTTTTGTAGTTCATTGATGGCGGGACAATGGTATCACCCACGGTGTATGCTCGGCGTTGCCTATCTTACCTGATGAGTGACATGGCACAAGAAGCTCTGGGGATGCTATGCAAGCCCAGGTGGTTTCTCCTGAGTGGCCTACTGCTTTATATCTTCAAGCAGCTTGCCTCTTCAGCCTTGGCATGGATAATGATGCACAAGAAACACTCAAAGATGGCACAAATTTGGAAGCCAAAAAGAACAAAACTTGATATGTATAGACTAATAAATTTTTATTTTTATTTTCCCTTAACACCCGGTGACGTTTTTATTAGTAGTCAGTCTTTGTATCTATTCTTTATTATGATTTGCATATTTTAAGCTTTGCTTGCTTCAAGGATTCTTGGAAAATTATTTTTGTTGGTTTTGATAATGTCTTTTGAGTCCCTTATGTTAGCATGTGGTGATTGATGCATGAGTATATTACTTTTCTTTTCTCCATGCATGGAGATTTGAAGTTAGGATCTTTACTCTCACTTCACCTATGGCATGCCATTTGAGCCAAGGCTCATCATGGGGGATGCTACCTGATCACATCAGAAGTATAGCTCTTAAGGATTTTTCTTTGGGGGAAACACAAAACTTGACCTAAGCTTACATATTAAAATGGAAATAGAATAATGCTGAGGGCCTCAAATAAATTTCAATATAATTTGATATTTGATATGATATGTTTGGTTTGCTTTAGACTTGTCAAAACATTGTATTATTGAAGGGAAAAAAAGGTTTTCACCAAACAAAGAAGGGAAAAAAAAGGTCATAGTTGACGTATGATGTGATTGGATAAAGTTAAAAAAAAAGTCACAGGCGGCGCTGAGGCTGTGTTTTGCTTGAAAGAAGAATGCAGCAGTGCAATAATACAATTCAATTCAGCAATTCCCCTACCGTTCAGAGAACACCAAATACACTGGCTAAAAATTAAGGGAGAAGAAATATTTTATATATTAGAATTTATAAACCCTTATAAAGGCCTTCAATAAAAGACCTGAAAAAGCTGTGACTTATGCACAAGGAAGGGGGCGATATTGATACATACAACAAACACTCTTAGAGGCAACAGATGATGTATTGCTATATATATGAATGCTGCAGAGCTTGAACTATGTGTTACTCAAATTTTGCAGCTTCTTTTACACTTGTTATTTTTTTCGCTTTCAATTTTCCTCAACTCTTTGCTGAGGATTTCATGACGGAACGTTGAAGTGAAAGAGCCATGATATGACAAAAGCAAATACCATACAAGCAAGAAGGAAGTTGAGGAACCGATGGCCATGCCAGAAGCTTTGAGTATCCGTGGAGGGCCCTGGTGCTGAGACTGCAGCTGTTGTTGATGCACTATTGGCTTCACTCAACTGCTCAGTAAACTCAATGTCATTTGGACCACAACATTGCGTGCAACTGACTGGCATATCTCACAGGTCCTGGAAACCATGTAGACTGAAATTAATATAGTAACCAAGTGATATTCGTTTTAAAGACTAATCACCATTAGCAAGTAAAATTTAAGTTAATCAACCTACGGGACACGGTAAGTAAATAAACAAGATTAACTCCCATGGCTTGATGAGAAAACAAATTAAACCCAGAAACCTACAATACAAGACAGAAGGCAAGACTTTTAACAAGACAACTCTAGTGGGCTAGCATTCCAGGATAAGGAATCAGGAAAACAGGAGGAAAGAAAATATACGGATATAATTTACGCAAGCAGGCCAATAGTCAAGCTCAACCTCAACAGGCTTGAATTTTCTGTGACAGATATAGTTTAAAGCTAAAAAGGCAGAGGTATTAAAAAGATGCACAGCATTATGACATCATACTGCACCAGTAATACAAATTTAAAGAAGATTTATAAAGACCCTTGAGATTCCAACATTGAAATTGCACGATTCAATGAAATATCTGCCACCGGGTTTGGGTAGGGATTTTGATAACAATATCTAGCTTTAAAGGAAATTGATGATCTCACCGGGCATGTGCAATCAAGAGATATAGCCTAATGGCACAGTGGATGGCAATTGGTGTTAGAGTGTGGTGATGCCACCACAAATCTGACTGGTCAGGTCTAGGGTGGTGGCATTGTTAATCGTAGTGACACCCACTATAAACCCACATGAGTAAGGACACAGGGCAATCCGCCAAAGGCTCAAAATAGTGATCGGGGAAACTTGGGGGAATCATTCTCCATCATATATACTCAAAACAAACAACTACGTATAGAAAAAGTTCATTTGTCAATAAGCATGTGGGAGAGTAGGGCGTGGATATGCAAGGAAATCATAGTTTATTTGTGCGTCGGCAGACAAGAAGCTTTTGGCAAAGCTAAATTGTATTGGAAATATCAACAAGAGGTCAAAATCCCCATCCTAAAGAAGCCAAGACACAAGGGAAGGAGCAGGAGAGAGATTCTATACTTGGAGGGAAAAGAAGACAGCAAGGATTTATAGTTGTACTGGACATATTCAATGTGCGTTACTTTCCTTTACTTTGTCCATCCTCTTGACGCCAGTTGTGAAGCAAAAGTTTGTGCCGCATCTCTATCTAACCCTTTTATATCTATTTTAAACTACAACTAGACTACTCAACATTAAGAATGGATAATACAAATCAATTAAGAAACAATAAGCTGAGATAGGGTTATCAAATTCTCAAAAAAACATATATGAAACTGCAAATGCTAAGAACAACCTAAGACAGGAACGGGTTTGTCATTCAAGTGGTAAGAGATGTACTCATGAATCCGAGTACTGGTTCGATTCCCTCCCTCCTGGTATTGCTTGTATAAAAAAAGAAAATGTAATTACGATAGGTACTGGTTCGATAACTCCTTACCCACTATCGCGGTATCAAAAGAAAAAAGAAAACCCTAGCAGAAGGGGAAGCTACAATTCCCAGAAAGACTTGAAAATTCTAAAAGAAACCATGAAAAAAAAGAGAACGAGAAATTTACTACTGTACCTTTAATTTTGAACCAAGTATCAGCGAAGTGCTGTGGCAAGAGAGCCAAATCCTCCTTGCAAGAACAACCCAATTCAATAGGCACCCCAGATTCATTGGCTTTTTTTTTTTGCTGTCCAATTTTCCAGCTGACAAAATTTCTATTTTTTCTAATTCGGACTTTTCATACTGTTTAGTTCCATTAATGACCTTAATTTATATTGCATACCCAATCTCAATGTTCGAGCTGGGACGCACCGTCGAAACGAAGGGCTCTCCCCCTGGAATCTGATGACCACCTCAGACTCAGGATCAGAGACGAAGGCAAAAATTGTAATTTGGGAGTAGGAGAGTCACACGGACCGTACGGAAGACAGACGCAGCGCGCGTCGGCGCTTACGTCACGGCGGTGAGATCCGTGCGCTAAAATCAACGTGGGACATCTTCCTAGGGCTAAAATTTCAAGAGGCCCCCCAGAAACCAGAAACTTTGCTGAACGCCAAGACAGAGCATTCAGACATTAAAGTGGGACGCTTTGGGGTTTCTAACACATAAGGATGGAAACACAACGCGGAAATTTTAAGGAAATCGGTATGGATTAGGTGCAACTCAACTCCATGAAGATTGTTACGATAGTGATAACTCTAAAAACACCAAACAACCTAAACACCAATGAGAAGGTAGAAGCGGAGAAGCAGCTCAGGAGAGAGAGCGAGGAGAGTGAGAGAGGGCAATGAGGAGAGGTCATGTCTCAGAGACAAGACTCATGCGTGGCTTAGAGGCTTGCCCTTGAGGGACCCCATCAAAGGGAACCCCCAGAGAGGGCAGAACCGTGCGGGGTTTGCATTGATTATATCTCAGAAAAGATTTCTTGTAAAAAAGACAACTCCACTTTGAAAAGCAATGCTAGAAAATTAAAAAAAAGGAAAAAAAGAAAAAGTTGGTGGAGCGAGCTAGAAGAGACAGGACACACGAGATCAGCTTTGATTGTCTTACTCGCTAATACGCTGCTCTGTGTCGTGCTTTATAACTGGCAACTCGGTCTTATAGGCTGGAGATCCGCTCGGCTCTTGCTATAAGGGGGTTCTAGTATTGACTGTGAAAAAAATGTTGGGAGGAAAAAAAGTGGTGTAGATTAAAGGGATATCCGTACACACCAGAGAAATTCAATCAAATTCCATATAATCATAAATTTGGCCCAATTACTAATGATAGATATGTGTGTCTAAATCCGCTTTTTAAGGTGGGGTAAATATGAATAGAGACCATCCATCCAAGCGAGATAGATGGGGAATAATTCCGTCTGGTTTTTAAAAAAAAAAAAAAAAAAAAAAAAAAAAAAAAAAAAAAAAAAAAAAAAAAAAAAAAAAAAAAAAAAAAAAAAAAAAAAAAAAAAAAAAAAAAAAAAAAAAAAAAAAAAAAAAAAAAAAAAAAAAAAAAAAAAAAAAAAAAAAAAAAAAAAAAAAAAAAAAAAAAAAAAAAAAAAAAAAAAAAAAAAAAAAAAAAAAAAAAAAAAAAAAAAAAAAAAAAAAAAAAAAAAAAAAAAAAAAAAAAAAAAAAAAAAAAAAAAAAAAAAAAAAAAAAAAAAAAAAAAAAAAAAAAAAAAAAAAAAAAAAAAAAAAAAAAAAAAAAAAAAAAAAAAAAAAAAAAAAAAAAAAAAAAAAAAAAAAAAAAAAAAAAAAAAAAAAAAAAAAAAAAAATTGGTGTATGTGCTCGGTTTCAAAGTGACCCAAAAGAGTCTCACTTGTTTGCTGTTAAGAGAATTATAAAATATGTGAGTGGGACTAGTGAATTTGGGTTGTGGTATACCTATGACACTTGTGTCAATCTTGTTGGGTATAGTGATGCCGATTGGGCAGGTTGTAGTGATGATAGGAAAAGCACTTCCGGGGGGGTTTTCTATGTAGGCAACAATCTTGTTGCTTGGCATAGCAAAAAACAGAATTCTGTCTCCTTATCCACTGCTGAAGCAGAGTATGTTGCCGCTGGGAGTTGTTGTACTCAACTCCTTTGGATGCGACAAATGTTGGAAGACTATGGTCTTGCTCAATCATGTTTTCTAATCTATTGTGACAACATGAGTGCCATAGATATTTCAAAAAATCCTGTTCAACACTCTAGGACTAAGCATATCGACATTCGGCACCATTTTATTAGAGACCTTGTGGAAGACAAAATTTTAACTTTGGAATTTGTTCCCTCTGAAAAACAGCTAGCAGATATACTCACCAAGGCCTTGGACTTTCAGAAACATGGTACACTAAGGCAATCCATTGGCCTTTGTTCCATTGATTGATTAGCTAGTCTGCTCCTTGTCTTCAGCACACTTCCAAACAGTTGACTAGTCATCTTGCTTGTAAGTTGCCTAGTCCACTATGTTACTGTTCATATCACTCATCTCTGCTGGTGTGCATGCTGAATGTTTTTGTGCTTTGTTTGACTTGTGCATAATCCCTTTTTCTTGTTTTTGAGCTGTTAGTTGAGACCAAAATCTTGCTATCTTGTCCTCTTGGTGAGCCATGTATCTCGGCTTCATTTTGGGACTGTTCTTGTTATTCTCTCTTAGCTGGTCTCACTCTCTTTGCCAATCTATTTCAAATTTTAACAAAAAAAAAAAAAAAAAAAAAAGGGAAGTGTGACCAATGTAGTCACGGCTCTAGGAAGGTATAAGGTGGTTTGATTGAAGAATCTAGAGCAAAGAGCCGTAAAATTGGGCCATTCAAAGCACTTATGTTCGGGATGTGCAAGTACCACAAACTCAATCATCAAATATTTTGTCCATAGAGAGTGCTGATTTTTGCTGTGAGCCCATACTATGATCATGTCTTAAGAATGCAGTGTATACGTGTCTCTCCAAGAGAGATTAGATATCATCTCTTGTGTCCCTTGGCTCTAAACCTCCTTCTTTCCTAAATATGCCTTGTCTCTGAGCATGAATTGCATCTCATTGCGTGTCTCTCAGAGTTGATTGTCTATGTACACTGCATATGTCTTTAAACTATTCCTCTTTTTCATCTCTTTTCTTCATGTGTTGAAGACTTGGTTTAGACTATTGTGCTCATGCCACCTTGGTCACTTGATATATGTGCTGGTTCATGCTTAAAATTTAAAAATAACAAATAAAAAATAACCAAAATCATGTCTTTCACAGGGTCGATATTATTTGGTGTGTGTCATAATGCTGGTTTAGTTGCCTAGTCATCTATGCTTATGGTTGCCTAGTCATCTGGGTGTTTTGCCTTGCTGTTCCTCTCATATGCCTTAGTTGACTGGTCATCATATTTGTGGTTGACTAGTCATCTTGCTTGTGGTTGACTAGTCATCTGCTTTGTTCCCTAACCAATGCGTCTTTTTCCATTTCTCGTGCTCTGCCTGTGCCAATTTTGCCTGGGTTGACTAGTCATCTTGCTTATGGTTGACTAGTCATCCGCTTTGTTTCCTAAACATTGCGTCTTTTTCATTTTTCGTTTTGGCGGTTATTTTTTCCATTTTTGGTTCTGAGCGGTTCTTTTTTTTAGGTCGTGTCGTTTGCGCCTTTTTCCTTTTTAGGTCTTTTATTTTCCCTTCTTCGTCACTTTCGCTTGTCTCTTCCCTCTCTCTCTGTTCTCGTCAGTCTTCCGTTTCAGAGTTTTTCTCTCCCTCTCACTCTGTTCTGGTCTTTTCGCCCCCTTCTTCCATTTGTTTTCTCTTCCAAATTCCTTCCCGCTGCTGACCATGTCTTCCTCCGAGCCTCTCCACACTTACCACCGTCGCTCCAAATCAAAATCCACTGACAGGGTGGATTTCAATCCGTCAATTCCTAGGGTTCCTCGAACCCGTTCTTCTTCCTCTGTTCCTGTTGGAGATTCTTCTCCTTTTGTGTCTAATGAGGCTGCCTCCTTCTTTAATGAGGTTGTCTCAAAGAGAAAATTCATTCCTGAGAGGACTTACCAGTTTGATGCAGTTCCCTTGGCGGCTCAGGAGTCTGCAAATCAGATTTTGGAGCACTACCACCTTCAAGCCCTAAATTCTCTCTCTAGTAAGTTTAACATCCCTGTTGTTCAAGAATTTTACTCTAACTTTCCTGCTGACCCTAAGGAGTCCAAGTATCAGATTTTGGTTAGGTCAGTACCCATTACTCTGAAACCATCTGTTATCAATCGGGTCTTAGGTTTTCGATCATGCCCTGGTTTTGATTTTGCAAAATTTGCTCTTGCTTCTGCTGAATACTCTGTTGATCTTTTTAAATCCATGGCATACACTGATCAATCCTTGCCTTTGACCTCTAAAGGTCTGCCTATCAAGTCTTACCTGTCCCCTTTTATAAATTTTTGTGGGATTTTATCCGTCATAATGTTCTCCCCACTGGGAACAATTCTAATCCCACTCTTGCTGCCTGCCAACTCATGATATCCATGGTGAATCATGATAAAATTCCCCTTGGTGATATCCTATATAATGCCATTCTTGGGAAAACCATTGGTCATGGTACCAAGCACAAGGGGACTCTTGTGTTCCCCTGTCTGATTCAGCGCCTTTGTGAGAAAAATGGGGTGGCATTTCTTGATTCCGATCAGTGGCATCCCCCCATTGCTCCTTATGGCAAGGCCTCTGCTGCCCTTAGCCAGAGAGTTTCCAGGACCTTTCTCACTTCTGTGTCGTCTTCCTCTGAGAATGCCTCTCTCAGAGCTCAGCTGGCTGCCAAGGAGGAGTATATTCAACATCTTTTGAGCCTCATTCCATCCACTTCGATTCCGGCACCTCCTGCTGCTGCTGCTGCTGCAGATCCTCAGCCTGCTCCTGCCACTGATGAGGACTCGGATGACTCTGTGGATTCTGGTGGCTCTTTGATCTTTTAGCTTGGTGTTGCTCTTGGCTGTGTCCTAGATAGGAAGATTACGTCTAGATAGGTTGTGCATTTTGAAAAGGGGAGGTGTTTTGTAATCTCATTGTGAGTAGTCTGTGCATTTTGCTAGGAGGGATTGTTTTTGTAAACACATTGTGGGTAGTTTATGCATTGTGATAGGGGGAGTTGTTCTGTCCTATTTTGAACAACTGGTATTTGACTAGTCATAACTCTATGGGTCTGTACTGTTTTTAAACTATTGTTGGTTGACTAGTCATCCATCTATGAACATGTTCTGTTATCCTTGTTCCTATATGCCTATCACTTTGTGGTTAATCCCTTTTATCTGATGTTTCTATCTCTCTGCCTTTTTGCACTTTCCTTATCAACAAGGGGGAGAACACTCTCAACCCCACATTGCATATTGTTTTAAAAAATTTCTGTGATAATATGCTTGTTTTTGTGCTGGGAAGATTGGTTGTTCTTGCAGGTACCTTCACTCATCATCTCCTTAGTCTCGGTTTTGGGTTGAGTGTTCTTAGAGAGTGTGTTGTCAAGGAAAGCCAAAAAGGGGGAGATTGTTAATGTATGGTTTTTACTATTTTCTTTTGGCTTCCCTTGACAACTTTGTAATAGGATGTGTAATGTAATTTATCAAGCTCAAGTCTAGATTAGGGAAAACTTTATTGGTGCTCTTCTCTATTCTCTGCTCTATGGTGGCTCAAGCAAGTTGACAAAGGTATTGAGCATTGCATATCATTACATAAAACTGTCTTTCATAAAAAGATGACTAGTCAACCGTTTCTCATATGACTAGTCATCCTTGCCTCCAGCTGGATAACAAACTGTTTTGTCCTATTCTTCTTTCTCTCTCTCTGCTGTCAAGTGGGTTTGCTGACCTAACGATTTGTTGGTCTGTATAGCCCACGATATTTCTCATTTGGCTGTTGTCTCTTTTCGGGTGGAAGTTTTGGAAAGTTTGGCTTGCCATCTTTCGCTTCTTCTTCCACGAGAGAACCATTATTTCATCTATGAGTTTTTCCAATTGATTTCTTTTTGAAAAACTGCATTTGAAACACAAATCTGCATCTAGCTATTTAAATCATTCTATCATTTATATCTAGGTCGGATTCAAGATTGATTTCTTCAAGAGTATGGTTTCTTGAAGAAATTGGTCTTTCTCCTTTGAATCCAAATTGGTTTCGGTTTGTGTTGGAGCTTGCAAGCTAGTGCCATGGGATGAACGAGCTGGAGAAGGAGCTGCCATTGCCATGAAGGACTGAGCTTCAAGCTTTGCTAAGTTGGAGAAGAAGATTGCACAAAGGAGGTATTGCTCATATTCCTAAATAGACCTAGGTGCTTCTTGAGCTTGGTTGTGTTTCCTTTGTAAGAATCTTTTTCTACTTAGTGGATTGCCTGGTCGGTTGATGACTCCCAGTTTTTCCCAATGGTGGGTTTCTGGGTGAACAAAATCTGTTTTGCATATCTGTAATTTTTCTGGGTTTGTGTTCTTGGTGGTTGACTAGTCATCTGTATCTGCTGTTTGATGTTTACATGATAATGATGATTTTCACACACTTTCACCATAGTTGTTGCTAGCACAGGGGATGCCTAGATTGATGGGTCCTTCTGAGTGCCTAGGTTGTCACTAGTAATCTTCTAGGATTGCAGGTACATTGTGGCATGCTCTGTGTATTCTATTGGTTGTGATTGTTTCTTGACTAGTAGTTGACTAGTCATATGTGTATTTGGTCAAGGTTTAAAGTGTGTGAAGCTAGCTGTGTTGTTGTGTCTTGTTTGTGTGATTAAGTTTACCCCTCGTCACCTAAGTATCATTTCTCCATGCCATGGAATTTATTGGTTTTGAAGTGTGATATAACTTGCTTTATGCCATGAAAGAAACTTTTATGTGTAACATCATATCAAATGTCGTTTTGTTAACACTCTCATGTGGTGGATTGAACTATATCTTATGCATCTCATTGGAAACATGACTGTGACAACTTCTGCAGAATGGTTGCACCTCAGTTGAAGAACTTTGAAGGCATTTTATCAACTGACGTAAACTCTGTGAGTGTAATTGTTTAGTTATGAATAGGTATTATGTATTATTTTCTCGTAATATCGTGTTCTATTTGTACTTTAAAATGTTTAACTTGTTAAGCCTAGAAAGTGAGATGCTGCGCATCACTGCCTCTAAGTAAATTAATCAGGTTATTTAGGTTTTCCATAATCCATTCTACTTATTATTCACCAGAGCTATTAGTGGAAATATGACACTTGTTTCCAAATTATGCACAATCCCGTTACAGATTCTTGAGAACGTGGTCGAGACGTGTATTGTTTATTAACTAATTTTTCTTTTCACTATTTGATAACTTTTTAACAAACTAATCCAAAGAGTAAATCTTGTGCATTGTGATTATTCACAACATGAATGTCTGTGTGCTGATTGAAATAAGTTTTGCTTGTCAGTTGTATGATCCAAGTGGAAGTACATGTTTATCTATGTGGATGTGCAGGATGAAGGATTGAAAGTGGAAGCTTTTGTCAAAGAGACGTTTGATGCTTCTTTGTGCGATCAAATAAGTTTTGCTTGTCAGTTGTATGATCCAAGTGGAGGTATGAATCAGTTGAGTCTTCTCATTACAGAGTCATATGATTCGATGTTCTATGCTACAGATCTTCTTACTCTAAGGCTAATTTTTATTATTTCTGTTTTTGGGATTACACTATGAAGATGCATGATTTATACAGACTTTACTCAGTTGTAAGTTTGTAACTTTCTGCAGAGATTGAGGCTATAAGACATCCATTAAAGTGAAGTTTTATACTCATTTCTGGCCCTGTGTTCTACCTGGTTTCTTTGTTGAATTATAAGTTCTTAAGCTGACTTATTAGTTAGTTAAAACAGTTTTTCGTCTCCTTTAATTTTACAAGCCAAGTGTAAAGATCCTATTGGATGTCTAAATGAATGGCTGAGATCACCTTTGTGATGTAACGGCTATATTCCCTCACTCCAAGTGCGTGAGGCTGAGAGTGAATAGAAATGAAAATTCCTCTGCTACACGTATAGCAGAGCAGTTTCTGCTACACTCAAAACAGTAACATTCTTTTCTTCTTAAATTTTTAGAACTTGCCAATTCTGATCAAGGGAGCACTCACTCATGAAGTTGGTAAGATGAACTGATCAAGGCTCCAAATAATCGTATCTTTATCTTTACGTCTTGTAAGTATTAACTCATAAATTTACGTCTTGTAAGTATTAACCCGCCTAGCGCCCGCCTAGGCCGCCTTGTGCCCGCCTAGGCGGCGTAGCGCTAGCCTGGGCTGGTCTGGGCTGGCGTTTTGTTGTTGAGGCACTGCATGAAGAAAGACCGAGAGAGAGAGAGAGAGAGAGAGAGAGAGAGAGAGACGAAGTCGAAACAGCGAGAGGAAGGAGTGTAGGCTGCGCTGGGAAGAAGAAGACATCTAACCTAATTTTTAATATAACTAACGGGTTGGGTTTTGTAAAATGGGCTTAAACCTTGTATTAAAAGGGCCCTATATTAAAAAAAGTAGACTTTTTTTTTAGCAGGTTTTTTGTTTGTTTTTGTGTTTTTGTTTGTGATATCAAGGATACAGAAAATACAAAAGTAAAAGTAGTATAATATCAAGGTTTGAAAATATAATATTAAACTTATAAACCACCATAATAATTACGGCAACTTGAATCCTATTGAATATTCAAATAATATTTACTGTCAAAGTATTTATATATATAATGCAATATGAACCATTCAGATGATATTATCTTACAAATGACCGAACACAAAGGACCATTTAATAGGGCAACCTCATAGTAGGGGAAAAATAAAAACAAAGAAAAGGTTTCAATGTCCATGCAAAGATTCTATATGTTACCTCCATTTTCAAACTAGAACCTGCATGAAGAAGATCAATTGGTGCCACTATTGCGCTCAACTTTTCTTCAATGCTTAAATCTGAATATTCGCCTTCCATCAGTCCTAACAACCATACTTCTCCTGGATGGCTCTCATCAATTCGGTGTTATACTATCACCATGTTATCTTTACTTTTGCCACGGTTCATATAAGTCAGCTTTTTAATTTGGAATTTCCTGAATTGCACCCAGAATCATCATCACTGAGGTCATCATCAACAGCTCCAGAGTCTTTGGTATCTGATCGGGATTCCTCCACTTTCTTTTCAGAAGAATTAATACGCACACGATATGTGGACGATGAAATCTTTTCAAATGTAATATCACTTGAAAGAGTTGAACCAATTAAAGACTCTAGTACCTCTATTCCGCTGGAAAGGTTCAATTCAGAAATCTGCAAAACAAAAACAAAGTCCATCTCTAATTCAAGTGTAATATCACATGAGATTATGATAACAATATTTTCAAGAAAATTACCTGCAATGACTTCGCCAACTCAGAAACTTTAAACCCATGAATTCCTTGCTCTAGCAGAACTCTAAACAATTCACCCTTCAAAGTACCAGGACGTAAACCATACTTCACCATAAGGCTCATTTCCTAGATAACAGAAGATTCAATTTGAAAAACCAAATTTCACATTTATAGATAGGTCTATGCAACAACAGATAAAGCTTATCAATTGTATAACATAAATAAAACCACCATAAGAAAGTAAATAAAGGCTCATGCGCTTGTCTAGTCATTAAAGCAAATAATTCCAGAGACAAGCGGAGACAAATAAACATATGCTCAACAGATATTATTTAGGAATGCACGATAATGCCAACAAACAAAACTGAAGAAACTATTTCCTTTAACATTCAATCACTACATGTTATATGTAAAACCTAAAATTTCTGATTTTGGTCCTTAAGTACGGAAAATGAAACCATCCAACTGGGGCTTTGCCTCAAGGTAGAAACAGATTATTCGGGGTAATGACAGATCTTAAATTACTATTGCCAATAAGGCTTTGAATGCTCAAGGTTTTGGGTGATGAACACATATTATTGGGCATCTATAGCACTTAACTTGTAGAATACAGATGTGTTGATAATTAAATACATTTACTAGAGAGGAAATGGAGCTTAGAAAAATCAATTGCAACTATGGGAGTTAAATTAGAAGACCTTGCTAAGGGCATCCCTTCGCCTTGCACCTTGCTTTGAACCAAAACCAGCGGCAGCCAGTACTTGACGCAGTATTTCTGTCCATGTTAAAGGGTTTAGCGATCTCTTCCAGAATTCCAGAATTCCATAGTGGGTTCTTGATTTTCAACCTGCCAAATCATTTGATAAAGATGCTTAGTTATTGAGTACTTCCATTTTAAAAAAAAAAAAAAAAAAAAAAAAAAAAAAAAAAAAAAAAAAAAAAAAAAAAAAAAAAAAAAAAAAAAAAAAAAAAAAAAAAAAAAAAAAAAAAAAAAAAAAAAAAAAAAAAAAAAAAAAAAAAAAAAAAAAAAAAAAAAAAAAAAAAAAAAAAAAAAAAAAAAAAAAAAAAAAAAAAAAAAAAAAAAAAAAAAAAAAAAAAAAAAAAAAAAAAAAAAAAAAAAAAAAAAAAAAAAAAAAAAAAAAAAAAAAAAAAAAAAAAAAAAAAAAAAAAAAAAAAAAAAAAAAAAAAAAAAAAAAAAAAAAAAAAAAAAAAAAAAAAAAAAAAAAAAAAAAAAAAAAAAAAAAAAAAAAAAAAAAAAAAAAAAAAAAAAAAAAAAAAAAAAAAATACTTCTCCAAAATAAGTATTTATAGTACAGGATGTAAAAACTAGGAGTGTCAAAAATTAGGAACAAGATAAAAACCTAATTACCACAATTTTGTACCCAAAAAAGAAAAAAAAAAAAAATAGATCATAATAAACTAGGAAATAATATATAATTAAGCTAGGATCTCGCTAACAGTTCACCTCATGTATTTGACAAAGACATTCCCAATAATCATTATATAAGGTGAATGGTTGCGCATGAATGGTTTTGTGATTCTTGACGCTGTACAGCTTCACGCGAAGTTCATTGGGTATCGGCACATCGAATTGGACAAAATGACAAAAATTAGTTAATTAAAAAAAAGTCAATTAATGGCATCAAATAGGACCGAAGCGGTTTCCAATCGATTTGTGATTTTGATTCACATCCGCACCCAAAAATGGACCATATCAAACCGGACCAGTAGTGATATTTATTTATTTTACAAAATTATTTAAAGTCCCTGCTATGTTTTTAAATTTATAACGAATATTTTTCCAAGTCCAACATCAAAAAATCGATTTTTTTTAGGCTCAAATCTCTTCTTTGATGGAAAGTGGAGTATTTGTTAATTTTGAAGCGCCCAAAAAAATAACATCTTAGTAGGAATTTGTTTTAAGAAATACTAAAAACATAAATATTCCATTCAAACTGGGAAAAAAAAAACCAAAATAGGGACCAGAAACTAGTGAGAACCGAACTGGCCGATTTAAAAAAAAAATTTACTAAATCAGATCAATCAGACGCTTAAAATAGCACAATTTCGGATCCAATTTGAGATGAGACTCGGACCCGACCAGACCTCCCATACATAGTTCATATCTTGTAGGATTGCTATAAACTCTTGTTGTTAATTTCTTTTACACCTATATGAATTTACTAGGGAGTTTGTTTATGAGTTCTATTTCTGCCCATGGTTTTTATTCACGTGAATTGATTGTGAAGCCCTTAATTAAGCTTACATTCATTTCAATCCACAACAAGGAAATACACCTTTGGTGGAAGAACAATTTCATCAATCATGGGGACCTTATTGCCTGTCTATGATAGTCATCAATCATCATGGATCCCTGATCGCTGACATACGTTCGATAGTAAAACTACCACGTAGGAAGCTGGCATAGGAAAAACTCAAAACAAAAGGGCTTGTGGTAAAGGATATATTCAATCTGATTGATCAAATTACATAAGAATGCTGCTACATAAAATAAAGGGCTACAGGGACTACAGATCACATGATTCCGAGTCGTTTTCACCCCGGGGGCCGAAGTCGGTTGTCTCCCACTTTTTTTTGAGTCGACTTGTTTTTTATCCAATTTGAGTCGACTTGTTTTTCTTCTTTTCTTCTTTTGGACCTTATATAGACGTTTGTTGCCCAAACATGGAGAAAATTTATACAATAACTGAATTGAATTGCTCCCTCAATTTTATTTTCCCGAAATGTGTGGAAGGATGACTCTTTTTTTGGCTCTACCTTAATCAGTATCATCATCTTTTGGGCTAGTTGGTAGTTGTAGCACAGCACAGCTAGTGGAACACCTTTGCTAGGTTCCTTTAGCATCCCAGATGTCTTTTTATCCTTTAGGCTTTATGTTTAAGGAAGCTTTGTTAGACATATCTTCACCTTGGTTACAATGGCAGACCACGATTTGTTACAGGGGGTTGGGCTAAAATTTTTTTTTTTTACACCCAAGTACTTCAGAACACAGTCGGGTCCTCCACCAAAACAACCCAGAGCTCAAGGATGATCAAACCGCCCTATTCACCATCAGGCTAACATCTTCACCACATACAACCACCCATCGATCTGTAGACTGAGAAACACATGAAAAAAGAAAGAAAGAATAGAGTTAATAAACACAATAGAGAAAGACAAAAGGAACAGAAAGAGAAGCAGAAAATGGCGGAGCGAGAAGAAGAAGAACAAGAAAAAAGAGAGGACGATGAGAAAAGAAGAAGAAAAACAGGCGAAACAGGAGTAAAGAAGCATAAGAAGACTCGGAGACAGATAGCAGAAATTTTTGGGCAAAATGTGAGTTATCTAAAATTGGGCTTACAAACTTTAAAACTACTTCTCAAAGCACCAACGAATTGCCGAGCTGGGGTAGCCCGCACGTGACCCATACCATAATCCTACACTCCATTATTCTACTTGTTGCTTTGTAACTTTGTGGACTCTTCAGCTCATGTAAAGCTTTTTCGCTTCGAATTCTGCTTTGTCCCGTGCCAGCTTTTCCAATCCCCCTCGACATGGCATGAATCCCCGAACTGCACTCAGGAGTAGTAATGCTTTGAAAAAAAGCAGATTCATAAGTGAAGACGCTAACCGAGTTAGTAGTTAGAAGAGCCGCAAGCAAAGATCATTATAGCAGAGAGTTGTACCTGCATCAACGTTCACCGCAACCTATAGAATGAAAGGATGGAGGGTCCTATGATGTTCGAGCCACTCTTTGATTAATCTTACCCCCCCCCCCCCCACCCCCCCCCCCCCCCCCCCCCCCCCCCCCCCCCCCCCCCTCCCCCTCCCCCCCCCCCCCCCATCGCTAACCAGCTGCAAGGCCTCTCATGATAAAAGCCACCCACAAAAATTAGGTTTATGGATGCATGGGACTCAATTCACAATCGTGTTCAATTGCCACACCTTATTTGCGGTAGCAAAAAATTAATGCCAACACCATGTAGGTTGGAGTAAATCCTAGCGTGTGTGACACACTAGGCGAACATGAAAAAAGCTAAATGGAGTTTAAAATTCTTAAAGTCGGAAAGTAGTCTCCTCTGGATTTTGTTCAACTTTCTTTCAAAGGCAGGAGATCCGAGTATCCAATTTTTTCTAACAACAAGGAAAATGCGAGCTACTATAGATTTTATAAACATTGTGGACGCTGCTCTAATAGGGATGGGCCGTTTGTAAGGTGGGCTCTACCTCAATTACAGCACGCCACAGTATTACTTCTAAAGTAGGTCACCCTTGCTTGGTTTCATCCGCTACCAGCGGCAATTTCTTATTATATAAAGGCACCTACAAAAATAGTGTATGTAGGCAGTGGAGCAATCACATATATGGAAGGAGTTTGAGGTTTATCTCAAAAATTACTTGACAATAAGGGAGTAGCACAATACCTTGTAAGTATTGTTAAGTTTTTCAACTTTCAATGTGGGAAATCTTTCAATTTCACTTCTCAGCCCTACATCTGGGGGAATTTTTAAACCTACACATGGGGACCTTTTCGTAACAAAAAATTATCACAATCACATCTAAGGAGACTTTTTTTCTTTGATTTTATTGGGTTTTTTTTTTTTTTAGAGAAACTAGCCGACATGGTTCTGACCACTAAATGCCTATGCAAGAGGGCAAGAGATGCCAATCACCAGTGTCTTTTCTGTATGAGACCAAAGTCTATATCCTGCGAGAATAATTAGCGCTCCTTTCTGCGTATTGTTTTCTTTGATATGATGTATCACTGATGACTGAAAGGAACTAAACCAAAGTTCTCCTTCGTCTTTGGGAAGAATTACATGTTCATATTCTTTTTAGATGGAGCCAATTTACTTCATTGCCCTTTAACTACAATAACAGGTACATCACATATGCTAATACTGTTACAATTTACATAAGCAAAAAGAGGTCTGCAAGCCTGAGTTTCATGTGGTATGAGAGCTACAATTACAGTTCTGTATAATCTAGTGTTCAATTGCCACATTACCATTTGTCGTAGCAAAAAATATGGCAACACCATGTAACAAACATGAACATAATGATGTACCCTTAATGTCTTTCAGTTTGCAAATTAGACCATCTTTTTTGTAAAAAAAGTGTTCAGAAAAAATATTATAAAAAAAAGGAAAAAGAAAAAAAAAAAAAAAAAGGACGTGAGTATATTTTACTAACTTGTTCGTATACATAAAAAATAGGCTTTAAATGTCAAACATGGTCTCTATGTTGTTACTGTGTTGGCCATTGGTCCTTATGTTTTCAATTTGACAAATTTTAATCCTTGTGTTATGTACATGTTAGACAATGGTATTCCCTTTAAAGAATTTAAAAGCTATTAATATTTTAAAAACAACTAATAACATTGAATTCACTTTAAAATATAATAAAATAAATAAGAACTAAAGAAATAAAAATGGATCTAAAACTGAAAAAACTAAAACCAAATAGACCACCACAGAAGATTACTGTCTATATCTCTATTAAGAATATTTTAGCGTCGCCAGAGAACACATGAAAAAAAGAGGAAGAGAGAAATAGAGATTTATAAAACAAAGAGAAACAAATAGAGAAAGACAAAAGGAAAGAAAAGAGAGGAAGAAAAATGGTGGAGGGGAGAAGAAGAAGAACAGAAAGAAGAGGAGAAGAAGAAAGAAAAGAAAAAAGGAGAGTATATATAATGGTCACCCACAAAAAATAGTTGATGTTGGCTGTGTATCGAATCACAGTATTAAGAAAAGTTAAGGTTCGATCTCAAAATTAATTGGCAAGAGGGGACTAACCCAGAACCTTATAAGGCATTGTTAGGGTTTTCAACTTTTCAATGTGGAAACATCTTTATTTCCATTTCTCACCCCCATGTATGGGAATTTTAAAC